TGTATAACAAATAATAACCCTTTGAGAGATATTATACCTTTATAAATTATAATCAGGGGCATGGATAGTCGGAAAACAATAGATGCCAAGTCAACTATAGACTACAATATTACAAAGGCATTTGTTTAGGAACTCAATATTTTTTTCAATTCGTGTATAAAAACAATGCACGAATAAATTATTATACATAGCAATACCTAGAGTATCACTTGGAATTTCACAAAACCTTTAAGTCAAGACAGATAAGTTGACATAACATGAACTTCATAATCATCCATTTAAAATTACAAAATTATCACGAAGGTGAAATTCTATACATCCATACTATAAGCTTCTTAGCAGTATTAGCATATTATACATTCATAATTTTGCCAACAATTTTAAACGTCTATGCCCCCTTTTTGTAGATTTAATAATAATTCTTAATTCCAATGGACCGAAACCTTAGCTAAACATAAGTAATGTTTTTTTAGAATTAAGATATAAATATATAGTAAATGAATAGTTAAAATTGTTTCAAGATTAGTGTGTAAGCTATAATCATACAAACATGAAACAAGTTTAACGTTGGTAGTGCATTTGAATGGGTGACCAACACTCCTTCCCACAAGAATTGAGCATTGTTAATATTTTTATTTTATTTAGTAGTACCTATCTATGGTGAAATAATTGCCAAGCATGCATTAAATAAAATTAAAAATAAATATTACTGTTAAAAAATCTAGAAGTTGATTTAGAGTAGTAGTGTAATGCATGGAAACATTCTGTATCAAATTTCAATAAAAAATTGTAATTCAAGTTATCCGACTTTATAATTGACTTTTATGTTTGAATAAAAAGTATAAACATGTTTACATAGGATTAGGTATTTAAATTACATTATGTGAAATGCAATATTTTTTTATACACTATAATTTATGATTACGCCTTTGCCTTTTTACCAAGCGTACATACAAAGAAGTAAAAATACTACGCCTAAATTAATACCCAATACCCTCATAATGATGCAAGATTAATACTAGATTATTGTTTATTTATGTTTATTAGTAGGGGCTCGGAATTTATTGCATTTGCATGATTTTTTTTGGAAAATTAGATTTATTATCAAGTAAGCTTGAAATTAAATTCACAACACTACGAAAAAATATTACAACTTTATAGTGTGTATTTGATGATTAATAGTATGTTTATAAAACAATTTGACAAAAAAAATAAATACTAGGTATTATTGTATCGAGTTTAGTTTTTCAAATCCCTAGTTGGTACCTAATACCTATACAATTTATCGTTTCTATTAATAAAATATTTGTGTTGATGAAAATTGTGAGTAGAAAAATAAGTAAATGCACCTATATTTAGTACTTTTTAAGTGCATTAAGTTCTGAACCTTACTTATTAAATATCTCTATTGGCACTATTCGTTCATAACTAACATTAAATCTGTCCCCAGAATATTCAGTAACAAAAAAATCTTTTTTTTTAAATCTTAATTTAAGATTTTTCATTTTAGTGAGACGTCATGTCTCTATAAGAAATTTCAAATGTAGTATCCATCTAATATCTTGTATTTTACAAAATTATATTTAAGGCAAGAAATACAATTTATAAGTAGATGGTAACTATTTTATTAATAATTCTATAACTAAATAAATTATTAGACAATATTTAATAAGTTAATGTCCTTAACTCTTAATAATGAAGTTTGGTCTAATAAAAATAAAAATTGTTGATTATAATTTATAACTATAAGTTATCCTATTATAAATATTATTACTATTACTCACTGGTTAAGATATGCTAAGTCACCCAAGATAAATCACACATGTATTTTTACTCAAGTTACAATTTCAAACTTTGTAGATGACTTTCATTCATGAAGTCATTATTATAATTGCTTTTCTTACTCAAATCATTACAACACTTAATAAATAAAAATTAAAAACAACTAGATTACTACAAATTCTTTTCTTATTTTAAATTTTCCTTTTCAGAGCTAATGAGCTTAAAAATTTAGTGTAAATTACTATAAAATATTTAAATAAATACCTAATTAAAAAAAAAAAAAAACTATTATTATACTTTAGCACCCTTTTGATGGAAAATTATTTAAATAGTAAATTTTTTTACTCAATTCAGAATCAAGTTTATACTAGGCAATGGAAAAAAAACAGTTTAATTGACAGCAAGAATAATCAGATACCATGCTCCACCAATCACCAAGTCGGTTGTCCAGATGTATAGGTTTGAGCATTTAAGTATGTGGATTCTTATTCTGAATAGAGTTTAATTAATAATATAATATTGTAAAAATAATATCATAATAGATGTAACCATAAAAGCACAATTACTTTTAAATATTACTACAAAAAGGCTAATTACCAGAAACATGAAACAAAACACAAATTCATAAATTTTATACTTTTTTTTATTTTGTAATTTTTTATTTTTAAGCAATATAATTAATTACATTTATTGAGGTGGAGCTCTACCACGGCCAAATCCACCAAATGCACCAGGTCCTCTCTGAATTTAAACAAAAATATTATGATTAATATAATTGTTGATTTGTATAAATAAAAACAATAAATAATCTATCATGAAATTTAAATTATACTTACAAAGTCCAATTCAGCAGTACCAGCGCCCACTTCAGCTTTTTTGTCAGTTCCAGGTGCACCTGGAGCCCGTCTATATGTTGCTCTGTCTTCACCTGATCGGCCACCTTCGGGCCTTCCTCCTGGTGTGGTTCTAGGTCCTCTTGCATCTTGTCTAGCTTGTCTCTTCAATGTAGCTGGAACAATCTAAAAACAAGTATTAATAAAATTGCATTAGTATTTAAGTTACAACAGATGAAAAAAATAAGAAAGTTATTGGTTATAATAATTATTACTAAATTATTTAAGTACATGTATTTACAAACAGAAAAACATCCATTAACGGACATCTCTCAATAGTGATCTTTTTTAAGGAATGAGGACATTTTTACTAGTTTTTGATGGGTAAACCTCTGAATAACAGATATTATTTTAATCTTTATTTGAAAATAATACTTTAATACGTATTCGCATTCATATATACTCTTATATGTAATTCCAATAACAAACTTGTTATGGGACGATAAGATAACAACAAATTTGATTATCAGTGAAATGTTTATGAGTGATATGAAAAAAAATGTCAGTTAGTGACATTATGTCTGCTATAACGAATGCAGTAATTTTATTTCATCAATAGAGATAAAGAGCAATTCTATTGTCAATGATATTACTAATGAGGCTTCATAGATACAGTGTAATTATAAACAGACAAAGCTCACCGATTTCTTCTCAAAAAATAATTTGTTAAAGTATAAAAACGCAATAATTTATAGCAAATAATAACATTATACTTACATACATACATAGTACATTATTTTATTTAAGTTAAAAACCTGGTTTTTTTCTACAAAATTTACACTTAATAAATTTTAAAAATGTATCACCTCTTAATAATGGACATTTTTAAATAATGAATGAAATTTTGGTAACCAAGAGTGTCCGATATTCAGAGGTTTTACTATATCAAGCCAAGTTATATTAATTACTTAATAAAATAGAAAATTGCTTCAAAGGAACAGGATTATATAAAAATGGGTTATTTCATTTAATTGTATATTTCATCATATTATGCATTTTTATTATATTATATATTATAAAGAACATTTCAATTTTTTGCAAAAACTTAGTTTCAAGTCAGTGCCAAGTAATTGAAGTTTATTAATAAAAAAATAAAAATAAATTTAAACATTTATTTTAAATTTAATATCTACTTTTTAAAATATAATCAATAACCACATAGCTATACGATTAAAAATTAACACAAGTAGTTGGTTTTTAACGAGTTAATAGTAAAAAATAAAACAATATGAAGAAGATTAACTTATGAATTAAAAAATTTAATAGACATATTTTTTTTTTTATATATATAATTTATGAATTTTCTTTACACAGATTTTTAGAAGCAGTTACATACAGCCTTTAATTGCATGAGCATTTGAACTCTGATGTAGGTTATGTATCAATATTTTAGTTGGAAATAGATTCCATATTACCTATTTTACTTAATAAAACATCTAAATAAATTTAAAAAACATGTATTTACCTCAGTTGGTAAATGAAGATAATCCCTAAGGTATTGAATTCCCTCATTTGTCAAGTACCAATAATAATGACGCCATGCAAATTGTTCTTTGACATAATCTCTAGATTTGAGACTCTAAATAAATTTCAAAATATTATTGATACACATCAAATACACATTGAATATATTAGTTAAATACCTGCATAGCTTTAATGACTTGTAAATTTGGAATGCCTTCAATATCGGGATGTACTGGTTTATGGAAGTCCTTCTCGGCAACCATTACACCTTCTTTGAAGAGATATTCATAGATAGCCCTGCGATTCTTTTTTGGCATCAACATTCTGTTAAAATATTATTATTCACTAACTCGTATAGTTGTACAATATACATTAATGTGTAATAAGACAACTCAATATGTACACATTACAAATAAAAGTAACTTTTGAGTTTACGACAAAATCAAATTTATCAGACAGGAATCGTGTTAGGAAATATATAGCACAATTAAATAATAAGCAATTAGTTAATTAAATAAATACTTACTTGGATGTTAGTGGATAAAAATTCTAAAAACCAAAACGGATGAAATAGGTTGTAACTACCACAATTAATAAGAAAGAAAAAGCTATGTTATCAACAGACCAACCTCAAAAAATTTTTAGTCAACAGACAACAATTCTTAGTAATGGTATGCATGGTATACGAAATAATGATAAGAGTTACCACAATCCAGTTGCGGCATCAACCATGATAGTTATTATCACAGTCTTGAATATCTCATATAACTACGGTTATCATTGAAACCAATAATAATAAAATGATATAAAAATGATTGTATACAAGTTAACAGGTATTTACAGTTTAAAATAAATTAACAGATAAATTTATATTTTAATAATTTAGTATTAAATACAGAAATAAGATTTTCCTGATGTCTGATATTAATTAGAATCAGTAATTGATATTCAATATTCATTATTTTTTTTTTAATTTAATTTTACTTTTAAATAATGTGTGAGATTACTTGTGAGAATTTTTATTCCGAATTACCGACCATTGAAGACGCAATCAAAAAATCTGCTTTTATTAGCTTAGACATGGAGTTCTCTAAATTATATGACAATGCATCAAGACCATTTAGGTAAGTTATTACCTAAATAAATGATTAAATGAATTCTAATTAAAAATAAGAACTATGAAATATAACACGGTAAATTAATGTTTTTGTAATATAATATATTTTATTGTACATACAGGTTATAGTTGCCTATAAAGTAAACGAAAAACATATTTTTTAGTTACATGCTCAGTGGAAGATTAAAAAAATAAAAAGTGCAAATTCTTGTGTTGTATAATAGATAGTGTGCATTTCAATACAAATGATTAATATTTTGGTGATAGTTCTCAGTTATAACAGAAATCTCTTTAAAATAAATAATTATAGCTATTGCTAGTACTATCTCACGCTGTATAAAAAAAAAAGATATTGCACTTAAAAATAGAGATTAATATGTACATAATCTTACTTAATAAAACAAAAATTTGTTTTCATATTTTAAATTTAACTTATCTAGCATGTAAATTGTTCAGTGTATTTTTGATCAATATATGTATATATATATATTAGAACAATGATTGTTGAAAATTATACTAATTCTTACTATAGGAATAAAATATTTTTATTTGCAACTTATATCTATGTTTTAGTTTATCTTTAAATAATCCAACAAATTAATTATTATAATTTACTAATATCATAAATGCATTTACAGTTTATTTGATACAACTGAAGAACGATATAAAAAATTGCGCCAACAAGTATCTGATATAACCTGTATACAGTTAGGTATAGCCATTTATATTTATGATGTCGATAACAAAACATTTAATATGAGTACTTACACTTTTTACACCTACCCTCAGACATTTTATAAATCTGATAGTATTGTAAATTTTCAAACATCATGCGTTGAATTTTTATGTAAATATAATTTTGATTTTAATAAGGTAAATTTTATTTTATATTTATTTAAGTTAATATTTTACATTAATTATTTAATTGCATTTTTATTAAGTTATTTCATAGCAGAGTACCATATTTAACTAATGAACAAGAATTAAAAATTAAGTCAGAAATGTTGGATGAATTATTTTTTGACAAATATTTTGAAACTAATTTAAAATTTCGTTCCATTGAAGAAGAATTAATGAAAATTTTAAAAATTGTTTCTGAATGGTATAATTTGGCCGACTATGGAGAGCAGACATTTTTAGAAATAAATGGATGCAATGAACCTGCATATATTATCCTAATGCAATATTATCTTCTGAAAAAGTTAAAATTTATAATCATAGATGAAGTAATGCTATAATGAAAGACATTATTATATAATATAATTTTTAAAATATTTATATTTATATTTTTTTTTTAGAATCAATTAGGATTAAATATTACAAAAATAAAAGGTGATACAAACTCAGAAACATTAAACAATACAATTTATGAAAATTTAAAACTAAGTTTATTAAATAAGATGATGGGTATCAAATATTTAATAAAACTAATATCAAAGTTGAAAAAACCAATAATTGGGCATAATTGTGCTTTAGATATTTTAATTTTATCTAATCAATTTTTCACTCCTTTACCTGGTTAGTATAAAAATAGTTATACATAAAAAGTTATTTATTTTTACCATGCTAAATAAATTTAAATATTTTTATAATTAAAATTTGAAGTGGTAATGTTAAGTGCTATATCATGTATTCACAATATCAAATTGTTGATTATACCAATACAATTATCCATCTATAATAAATAATTTATTTTTTATTTACTTATTTATTTAAAGTTGTAACATCCCAAAGTGGTTGTGAGTACAATATTTATGTTTACAAAAATGTATGAATAGATAATATATTAATACATATTTAAAAAAATATATTATATATAATAAAAGAAACAAGTATATATTACTTAAAAAAAAATAAGTAAATTAATTAATATTCATTATTGAAATTTTTAATCTAAGATGTGAATCAAAAAAAGAAAGTCGAAGTTTGGTAATTATACAAATTTCTAAAAGACAGTACCCCCAGACTATTTTCAGTTATATATATTAAGCAATGAGGTACTAGAGAAAGACAATTATTTCTTGAATTGAAGGTTGAAATTTTAAAATTTATTTTATTTAGGAATTTTGGACAGAAAAGTTTACTATTAACTTATAGACAAAAGCTATATCGTTAAATAATCTTCTAGAAGCTAATGGTTCTAAACCTAATTCTAAAGCTGATATTTCTAGGGAAACGTCTGCTTGATCTTGTTTGTATGACATCATCCTTATAAATCAATGTTAAATTGTATAGAGTTTGTCAATAAGATTAATTTGTTTGTTATTTCAAACTACTGACACATATTCTATAAAGACTAACGTGTGAACAATAAAGCATTTTTAAACAATTAGAGTTTTTGAATTCTTAACAGTTTTGATTTATAAAACTGATATCCTGCAGAGCTTTTCTATAAATGGTGTCAATATAATTATTGAATGTTAGATCGGAAGACAATAGAACATTTTAATCACTGTAGACATATTCTATAATTCATAATTATTTATTTTTATATGTAAAGTTGTATTTTTCTGAAGATTAAATGAGATATGTTTACATTTAGGAGGGGTTAACTAAAAGATTGTTTAGATTATACTATTTTGAAAATTCATCTAGATCCTTTTGTAACTGATTTGAGTTTCCAATTAAATTTACTGGTAGACACATTTTCAGGTTATCAGCGAATAATAAATATTTATAAAATTTGAAGGAATTCCTATTGCACGATGTATTTATATAATACATACCTAAATTTATATTTCAGAAAACTTCAAAGATTTTCAAAATTTTGTATCTGACAATTTTGGTCCAATTTATGATACTAAATTATTATGTAAGGAAGTTAAACGTATAGTATCTAAAAATGGTTTGTAGTATATATTAAATTATAAAATTCTGATTCCTTTATCATTTTTATAAACTTAATAGGATTTATTTTTCCATTAGATTTATGGATGGGAAGTTCTCTTTCAGAAATATATTCATTTTTAAAAGATGGAGATGGCGAAAAATATTCAAATATTATAAGTATTCAATTGACTGGTATTGAAGAACGTAAGAATATAAAATATTCAATATTTATATTATGTCTTAAATAGCAATAATTGTTTTTTTTTTTTTACAAGGAACAATATTAAAATTAAAATGTTGTTTTGCCTTGACTTGTTATTAGTAAAAACCTATTGAATTATGATAACCATTAATAATCATTTCATATATAGAAATAGAAATAATAATTTTTTGTCATACCTATATGCTAAAATAGTATATGCGTGCATAATAATCTTAAATAAATATTTTTTTTCTAAATTCTAATATTTAATAAGAAATAATTATTTGTGTTTAATTAATGTTTATAATTTCATTGCATTTTAATGATAATTGCTTTTTATATTATATTTTAGCTCCAAATATGAAATTACACCATGCTGGGTGGGATGCCTATTATACTGGTTATTGTTTTGTTAAAATGATTCACATAATTAAAAGCTTTTCGTGTAAGACGTAAGTAGTTAATCTATTATATTTAAAATAATAAGTTGAATTAATTTTTAGTAATAATTGTTCTATAGAAATAAGTACATAACTAAATTACTATATATTGACTTATTTTTCTTTTATTATAGGTTATAACAAGTTAGTTTAAATTTATGTTAATTTTATCTTGTTTTTTTTTTAGATAGATAAGTATATATAAAAAATATGTTTATAATTCTTAAATAGCTTGAAAAATCAATATGGTTTTAATCACATTTTCTGCAAATAATTATTATTCAATAATGTTATTTGTTTTATTAAATAAAATAATACATTTAAATTAATATTTATAGTGAAAAAACAAATCTAAGATATACTTTAACAGAGCTTTTCAAATCAATAGAATTTTCTAAGAATAAATTGTTCACCAGTCGATCAATATCAAATATTTTGGTAATTATTTACTTATCTTAAAAAGTTTATTATATTACGTACATTAAAAATTAAAATTTTTTATAAACTGCTTATTTATTTTAATAAAGGACTTGGAAGCTGATGAACACCATCATCAGACAAATCATTTAATTATTCAGAATAAAGGAACTCTTTATAAAGCTTTAGATTTAAAAAAAGTAAATAATATAATAATATTATATTGTTATATGTTATTTAATTTCATTGTTATTATCTTTTTTTGGTTTCAGCTTAAGCAAGATCTCCAACAAATTAGTCATTTTGATATTAAATTACTTTCAAACTATACTGCATTGGTTGCCTTCCCTTTCGTGTACGTTTTTATATATTGTCTTACACTTTTTAATGTATAGTTCTATTCCAGTAAAATAAATATACTAATACTTCAATCACTGATTTTAAACAAGTATTCTATGATTTGTTAAGTCTGAACTAAATGCTTTTAGAAACATAATGGCTGATAAAATAACCTAATTAATTGTAATTTCTTTTAACTAAAAAGAAAAAAAAATGTTTTGAATTTAATTAGAGGTTATTCATCAAAATAATTTGTTTTAAATTATAATTATTCTTATCAATCTTTCATTCAAAATTTTGAAAATATTATTGGTATTGATTACACTGCAATTCATTATTTATTTATTTATATTTTTTACTTAAATTTGATCAAGAACAAATATTAACATTTTTTTGTTTATATTTTAACTATTTTCCTAGTTTTAATTTATTTAAAATTATTTATATTATTTTTTAACTTTTAATTATAGGCATAGCCGTATCATTTATAAACTTAATACAAACTACAATGTGGAAAATTATTCAATATATCAAAAGAAAAAGAGAAACAAACAAATTATTTGCTTCAGTTGTTTAGCAATGTAAGTATTTTTTTAAAACTATCAAATTAATAATTAAACAATAATAAGAAAAAAAATTTCAGAATAACTACTTGTATAACAATTATAAAATATGTAAAGAAGTAATTAAATATGTAAGTATAAATTTTTTTCTTCATATATTTGATGTTATTAAACTAAATATATAGTGTTTTTTATTATTTTAATAATATTAATAATTCTCAAAACATTTTATCCATTTCATTTAATTGTATGCATTAAAATATCAGCCCTGCTTATTATAAATGTCCAGTTTAAAACTATTTTCTAGTATATTAATACTTATAATACTAAAATTAATTGTTATTCATAATATGTCAGGACATCAGGTATAGAATGTGATGAATTTTATGAAAAATTCCTATCAATGCAATCCATAATTGTTTCAATATTATCTTTTACATAATTTAGTGTTTGTTCAAAATATTATTACTATTATGTTATTTATGGGTTTATACTTCATAACAATAATTTCCAGTTAATATATATATTATAACTTTTTATTTATTCCTTTATTGTTATATCTTATTCTAAAATCAATAATAAAATATGAAATTTAAGTTTGTTACTAAATATTTCAAAATTCTTAGTGACAAATAATAACATTACATTTTCATATTATAATTATTGTATGACCATAAATCATGATATTTGTCAACATTTAATCTAGTGCAAATTTAATTTACTGTAAGTTTTTTTTTATAATAAGTTTAATATGTTGAAGAAATAAACTATATTAATACATTAATGATATTTTAAAATATAAATTTTACATAGATGTTAATCATTTGAATAGAGTATTTATTTTTCAGTATTTCCATTTTTATCCACATCCTCCTCTAGAACATGCACTTCTCCTTGGCGGTCTATAATTTGAACCACTGCCTGATCCCATTAAAGGATTGTAATCTAAACAAAACAAAATATTAATAAGTTAATTATAAATTAAGGTTATGAATCAGTGCTAAATTATGTTCACATCAATTTTATTCAATTGATAAATCTAATCTGTTTCTGTATATATTTAATTATTTTGAAAAATTAAAAAATATTTTTTTAAGTGAGCCATGATATTTTTCTTTTAAGTAATTTATCCATAAAAATATATACCTAAAGATTACATTTTTGTATTTTTAATGTAAATTAATAAATACATTAAGTCATGTGTCCAACTATATAAAACCAATTAAATTTAAAAGTATATATTACCTGGTTTTGATTTTTTTGATTTTTCAGAACTATTCATTGACTGTCCTGTTATTCCATTATTTAATAATGCTTGTTTTTCTTCTAATATTTTTTTCTCTTTCTAACATACAGATTACACTTTAATTTAAAAATGAACCAAAATTTATAATACCTAAAAACTAACTAATAAATATTACTTCTTTTTGTTTTTCAAGTGCTATTTTAGCCTTTTTTTCATATTCTTCTTGGAATTTAGCTCTAGCTTTTTGTAATTCTTCTTGTTTTTGTTTATATAAATCTGGATCTATAATTATAGATAATTAGTGTAATTATATCATCTCTTTCAAAGAGAGTTTTTCATACTTTTTTTAATGTCAGCATCGTACGCAGCTACTGCTCGTTGTTCTAACCACTTTAAATAATGAGGCCATAATTTAGGGACTAAATATGCCAACAATATTAAGAAAGCCATGAAGTACCATCCATTGTTTTGAACAAATTTAAAAAAATTCCATATGTAATCTATATGGAATAACAAGATATTTTGATATTAAATTATTATATATAGTAATAAATAACCCATACATTTTAAGTGTGTAGATTTACAGTATTGAATTTTTAATTTATTTTAACAACCTTGAAATTTTAATTAAAAATTCTCACCTGTAATAGATTCTGTAACTTCTTCATCGGCATAAATTATTTCCTCCTCCATATTATCCATTTTTACGCGTTTAGCATTGATTACTTCTAAAAAGCAAAATTGTATGTGATTTCTAGCATAAATTTAAAAAAGTTTAAGAACTACCTTATTTAAATTGAATTTGATGTCTATTGTTTAGCAACACCACAGATACTGATTGTATAATCAAAAGACAAGACGAGAATTATTAATATTCATTAGTCACCAATATTATAATAAATGTTGTATTCTGTAATCTGGTTATATTACTCAATGTTGTCATCACGGTTTAAGGTAACTATTATCGTGTCAATATGTGATATGTTGATGTTGATGCTTATGTTTTAATATTGATTACTATTATCAGTAACAGTGTGACCAAGTAAATTATAAAACTCAGATTTGTATTGTTAAACCTAGTAAAATATACATCAGATAAATATTGAAGTTGGAATATATAAATACATAATATTATTTTATATTTGTTCATAAATTCATAATAGTTAATAGAAAATGTAGTCTTAGAGTTATAACTTAGTATTTATTATCAGGTACATTATTGATAAAATTTAGATTAAATGTATAAGTATTAATTGAATTATACAATTTAAAACTGTTATTTTCATCATTTTTTATAAAAATTATATATTTATATTTTATGTTTAAATTCATTAGAGATATATAAATTAAAAGTAATAATTTCATCACTGATACCGATCAGTTTTTCGCTTTCTATTTTTATGGGCACTAATATTTTGTTAAGCTCGACGACTTGGTTTTTTTTTAGCGTTTTTCTTAGACACTCTTCCCATTGAAATAATAGTAGTTGCACCTATGGTCAAACAATAAATAATTCTACATTTATACATTATAAGTGCCTTGGTATCTACTTAATTATACATTAAAATTTAATAATTCCCATACGTTCACAACCATTATTAATGTAGACACAGAAATTTAGACAACAAAACCACTCGGATCTCACGGCTTGTGGCTCGATTTGGAAATCGGCGAATGTTTGAAAATACAGGTTTATTGTCATAATAAAAATCAATTAATTATTATGTAATAATGTGTTAAATAATTATATATTTATATGGCATATCGTCGGTTATTGGGTATTAGGTATAGTACTTGTGACCATCAATACAATAGGTACATTGTAATACAATTATAGCCTTGTATGTGATGCACTTGCACACATATTTTTACAGCCGTTTCGAGTGTATATAATTTTTATAAAAATCAATAATAGTTATGTATAATACATGTATTATTTAATTTTTAGTACTTATATTTGTACCTATATGTAATGCGTTAATGTGTATATAGTTTTTTAATTTTCGTAATTTAATGATATTATTGTGAGCATAGTTTATATAGTTTTTTTATTTAACGGTGAATAATGTCAGTAAATATTCGCAGTGGTTGTTTCTGGGTATAAACAACACGACCATCTGCCGTGATTAAAGACTTGAAGGTTGAAACAAGTTCAAGCATCAATAGCAATCTATAAACTATAATATTGTATTATATTTATAAGAATGTTATGTACTCTGTGGCCTTAGATACCTATGTCAACTTTATACAGCGTGTAATGTTGTTTCAACTTTTATTGCTCTAAGCAGTGGCGGAACTAAGCGGGGAATCCGGGGATTGATCCCCGGGCGTAAAATTTTGGTGGAACCTAATGAAGCTATATTTTGTTTTTGTTGTATTTTATTTGGAACCAAATCAAGTGCCTTAACAGATCCTAAACAAGGTTTTACAAACTGGAAAAAAATGGAACGTTTAATGGAACATGAAAATTCTTTAGACCACGTTAAAAATTTCCTTGAATGGAAAATTTTTGAAAAAAAATTAAAAAATGGTGGAGCTATTGATGACTGTTTACAAAATGAAATAAGATCACAAGAAGCAAAATGGAGACACATTTTAAAAGCAATTTTGAATGCAATATTGTACTGTGCCATCAACAATTTAGGATTGAGGGGACATTCAGACATACCTGGGAGTCCATCCGCAGGTCATTTTCTTAATTTGTTAAGTTTAATAAGTAAATATGATCTTATATTAAAAGAACACATTGAATCACATAAAAAAAGTTCTATAAATTACTTTTCTCATCAAATTCAAGATGAGTTTATAGCTTTGTTGTCTAAAAGAGTTCGAAATGAAATCATACATCAAATTAAATCTGCTAAATATTATACAATAATGTTTGATTACACGCCAGATGTGTCAAGAACAGAGCAAATGAGTCAAGTTATTAGATACGTTCGTGTCACTGGTAGTAAAGTAATTGTAGAAGAAAGTTTCTTAGGCTTTATAGAATCTCATGAAAAAACTGGTAGTGGTTTGACTACTGAAATATTACATCAGATATGTCAAGATGGTTTGGATATTAATAATTGTAGGGGCCAAGCATATGACAACGGATCAAATATGGCAGGGAAGTACAATGGGGTTCAAGCAAAAATTTTAGAAAAAAATAACTTAGCAACATTTATACCTTGTACAGCACATTGTTTAAATTTAGCAGGTGTAAATGCTGTAGAATCAAATAAACAAATACAACTATTGTTCGGTAAAATTCAACAACTATTTAATTTTTTTTCTGGTTCTACTTTACGTTGGGAAATATTGATGAAATCATTGAAAGTAACTTTTAAACCATTTTCCGATACTAGATGGTCCTCTAAAGCTGCTGCAGTAAAAGCCCTTTACAAACAATTACCTGAAGTGAAATGTGCTTTGATTAATATTATTGAAAATGGAAATCTTGATTCAAAACCTATTGCGAAAAATTTACTTAATTAAGTGGATCACGAATTTATTTGCTTATTAACGGTTTGGAATTCTATACTATCAAGTATTGATTATGTAAATATATTTCTTCAAAAAAAAACAATTACGGTATGTCAAGCATCAAAAATGATTCATGGATTAATTAAAGAAATAACTGACTTAAGAAATAATAGAATTCAAATATTATTCCAAGACGCTGAACAAATTAGTGTAAAAATGAATATTTCTCCTTCGTTTCCAGAAAAAAGGAAAAAAAGAGCAAAAAAAATGTATATTGATGAATCTGCTGATGAATTGGACATTTCTGCTAAAAACAATTGCATAATTAATTTGAATAATGTCTGTGATGTTTTGCTAACACACTTCGGTTGGAGATTTGAAACATTGAATAATGTATCTTCAGATTTTAGTTTTCTGACTGGATCTGAACTATTCGAAAAAGATACAGATGAATTAGTCAAAGCAGCAGCTGATTTAGCCTTAAAATATAATAAAGACTTAAATGCTTCAGAATTAACAGAAGAAATAATACATTTTAAACATCATGCCATAAGTGCATTACCTAGTATCAAAAATACAACACTATTAGAACTGTTAGAGTTTATTTTTGAGTATTCCATGACAAATATTTTTCCAAATATTTGCATAGCACTTCGACTTTATTTAACATTGCTATGTACAACAGCCACGTGTGAACGAAGTTTTAGCAAACTGAAACTAATAAAAACGTATTTATGCTCCACAATAAATCAAACAAAACTAACTAATCTTGCATTATTGTCTATTGAAAAAGAAATATCAAACTCAATTGATTTCGATTCAGTTATAAACGACTTCGCTGAGGTAAAAGCCAGAAAAATTAAATTTTAAATTTTTTTAAGTATGTAAAGATTGTGTATTGAAATTAATTATTTGTACATGAACAATTTTTTAAATTTAAAGGTTCTTTCATTAAATTAAACAAGTTTATTATTAATAAATTTAATAGTTAGCAAATAGCAATGTAAAAATCAGAATAACTTTTATTTAGTTTAATTATTGTAACACAAGCAATAACATGATTCTATGAGTAAGAACTAGCTCGATATTTTTAACTTTGTTAGTTAACATTAATATGTGTTTAAAAGTTAATAAGAATGTAGTACGTTTGTAATTTGAATTCCAGTTATTAGAAAACAATCGTAGGGAAAGATATTTTAGTCTTGATCTATGATTGGGCGTAATTTTAATATTTTCCCCGGGTGTAAAAAATCTTAGTTCCGCCTCTGGCTCTAAGTAATAAGTTATAATACAACCAAAAATAAACATATAATATATTAATATGCATTATTTACAATACTCTACGATTTTGAACGGGTCTTAAAATACTGTTCTTAGTTATAACTTTAAATAACTATTGCGCCATCGTTTATAAATATTGTAATTTAAGTCTGTTTACGACTTTAAAACATAATTAAGTAAAACAAAAGGGTTGTACGAATATTTTAATTGTATATTACTTTTAGGGAAGATTGTCATGCATACTCGTAAATTCTAATGTAGTATTGTTTTATGATTAGCGGCAACTTAACTTTGAATGATCAAGGCGAACATTGAAAATATTTAATTGTGTGCTTATCTTAGTTAATGTTCAATTAACAAAATAATTAACCACTAATTTTTTTTTTTTTTAAGGTGAATTAGTGGGTACCACTTTATTGTACAATTTACTATAGGTGTCGAGTGATTCACAGAAATGGATGACATGTGTTAAATTTGAATTCAATGATATATTATTGTAAACGAAAGACGATTGAGTGGAAACAGTCTGTCAACCAAATATATCCTTATAAGTAGGTATATTTCGTTACATAATTCTTGATATTGCTGTTAAAGTAATTCATTTTATTATTAGTACTGTAATACGATAGATAGGCTTAATTTTTGCTGGATACATTCCCCTTATTATATTATTTAAATAATTTACTACTATACCATAACATTATATAATTGTTATTAACTTTTGAGGCAATATCATCATTCATCCTACTGTAAACCAGTCACTGGTGGTTACTAGAGTAATAGAGTGAATAAGTTCATCGATTAAATATAAATAGATAATATCTTATAAAAATATTAATCTGAATAGTATTAATAGTAATATTCAGTAATAAAAATTACCCATATTGTAAGAAAATTAAATTGAATTTGTTATTCTTATTTATTATTGATTATTGGGATTAATATTATAAAGGTTATAGATTGGCTATATTTGAAAGTAATTCAGTTTATACAAATATAAGTTTTAGTTATGTTTTGAAACCTCACGCTAGCGAGTTGACATTAAATTGTAAAATTATGAAATTTTATTTAAGGAATTTGTAATAGATCACATGCGTTGATCACGACTAGCACAATGGTCACTGTACTGACAAAAATAGACACACAAGATCCAAAGACAGATGCGAAATTTTAACCAAGTAACCAATCCATAAGCAATCTAAAATCTTTGTCTACCTTCCCATAAAATTAATATTAAATGTAATTTTTTTTAATATATAAATAAATATTTTCGGTTATTATGAGAGTAGATAATAATATACTTATACCTAAAGTTATTGTTTTTCAACAATCATATTACGTATCCCTTCCTCATCTCTAAAGCTTAAAAAAATCAAGGAGTAATATTTACTCAAGATCAGATACATCCAGGAGTTCCGAGGATTATGGTTATATAATATATGCATTACATAAGGTGATGTCATGCAGGGGCGGACTAAGTATCGAGGGGTCCAGAGAGTTAATTACCTGGACCTGTTGATATCACATTTTAATTAATAAATATTTTTAGTTAAAGTGCACAATTAATTTTCATTCAATTTGAAAATAAATGGTATTTTACTATTATATTTTAATATTACATTATATACTTAAATGTATATGATTTTTATTAATTTAAACCATCAAGGGCCCGGGAGGTGATTGCCCCTTTGCTTCCTTGGCCAGTCCGCCCCTGATGTCATGTATGAAAGAGCATAATTTTAATATTAGTAAAAAGCAGTGGCGTAACTATTAGATGTTGGTCCGAGAGCAACATTTTTAATGCCCCCTTCCCAATCCAGGCATTATATAGGGAAATCTAAGAGAAAAAGGTTGCATTCATCTTACTAAAATTATTTTATACATTTTTCAAAAATATTATTACATGTTTTAATAATTCAAAATTTTATAATAATTTATTATTAAAGGAAAAACATTGTATTATTTCGGATCTCAGTGTGCCTGCTTCATCTTATCCCTCTTATTTAGGCTACTGGTCTAAAAAAAACTTTTTTGTTTTCCATTCGTGATTTTCTAGTAGCTGTAATCAAATTTATATAAACTGTTTTAAACTTTACTACGGTTACATCGGTATGCGATGTTTGGATAAATTATTGGCTGTGAGCTATAGGCCTGAAATTAGATTTGCTTATAATACAATCTTAGAATAGATAAAGAAATGCCCATACTTCGAGAAAATCATTTTTCTTTGCTTAATAATTATTTTTAAATGTAATCTGCAATGACATTTTTAAAATGAATTAAAATTTATTTTTTTTATCAACTTTCTAACTAAAATCTAACCAATTACTCTACCATTGTCACTAAGCTACAGTTGGTATTAAATTTTCTATTTTCTCGAGTAAAAAATTGAAATTGAGTGGACGACGTAGGTATTTTAGACTCGATGAGTATTTGTGTCTGTATTGCGTATGCCCGCGATAAATTTAAAATCCGTCGCCGTGCCGCCGACATTAGCGGTCGGTCATCGGGATACACTGGCGTACTCCTCACACGAGCACCGTGGCCTCGTACGAAGCGAGGAACGGACCGATCCTACTACCCTACGGCACGGACGTCGCGGTTCAAGATATAAACTTCCTCGTAGATCAGCTAGGTCGAGGCTCTCGCCCCCGTGTTATCAGTCGACGTCCGTATCTTTTAAATCGAAACGACTCGTCCGTCAGTCCTTCCCGTCCGCGGTTGCGACTCGCAGTGTTGCCACCGTGACAACATCGACGACGACAACGACCATTACTACTGGCGGCACCTCGCGATCGAAAACCGCGAACAACGACAGATGCGACCCGACTGTCGGTCGCACGCACTCGCCGACACGCGACGTGCTCGAGCACGCACGCATCCCATGGTCGAGTCGAGCGGTGGACGACGTGATATCGCCAAGAGCTAGCGAGGGGGAGGTGAGAGGCGGCCACGGTGACTGTAGCGAGACGTGAGTGATACTCGTGGGCATCGGCCGGAGCGCACCACCGGAGCTGCTCACTAGCGGTGGCGGCGGTGCAAGCGTGTAACGGCCCGACAGAGATTTTTGTCGTTCCGCATTCGCATACGACTACAACCATAGTACTATAATATAGTCTACGAACGGCTGTCCACCCCTCTCCGCTACCCGACCGCGGACACTACGCCGTTTTGCGGACGCGCGCACGCGCGCGCGTTGGTGTGAGCGGCTGTGTGTGTGTGTGACGTGTGTGTGTCGGTGTGCGAGTAGTTTTGCGCGTGTGTGTGTGTTGGTGTGCTTTTGTGTGGTCGGCCTGTCGTACGACAATAATTATATCGCGACGATAATAATAATGTGATGTGCGCGCGGGCGACCTAGTTTCGCGTTACGTACATTTACGTGCCGCCGTCGGTTAAACGACCGTTGTCGTCGCCCAGGTGACTGATACCCGTCCGACACCATAACACAGAACAAAACAATAATGATAGATAATTATTGAAACGAATTATACAAATAATATTTTTCACGGACCGCGACCACCACTACTGGCCGGTTAGTAGTAGATAGTTTTATAATAATTATAAACTACCACCACACAGGTATCACAGACACACACACACACACACATCGTCGGTTGGTTCTTTTTTTTTATTATTTATTTGTTTATTTAATTTTTCGATCCGACGGAAACCCAAACGGGGTGACACTCGCATCACGACGTCGCCGGATCGTCGTTGTCCTATTCGTCGTGGTCGTCATGTCCGACGATCGCCGCGGCCGCTGCCGTGGCTGCGATGACGACGGCCACCACAGTGACCGCGGTTGTTCCGTGTCTTACGAGATCGCGGCCGTCGCGATTGCTGGAAACGCGACTGCCGTGAAAACTGTCAAGTGATAATGGTTTTCCACCGAGTCTAGGCTGCTGACCGTCGTGGCCTAGGTTGTTGGTGTGGTGTTGGTCGTTAATTCAGTCGTTGTCGTTGCTGCTGTCGTCGCCGCCGCTGGTCGTGGTGGTTGACCGACACGTCGTTCGATTCTTACCACGAAATCGTATTATTGCGATTTGTTTCCATCAAATCCCAAGTCAAGTCCGTTCGCCCGGACTCCCGTTAGTGTTCGAATCGCGTGTAAACTACCCGCCGCGCACGATGGCCGACTTGGAAGCCGTGTTGGCCGACGTCAGCTACCTAATGGCTATGGAGAAGAGCAAGTGCACGCCGGCGGCCAGAGCCAGCAAGAAAATCGTCTTGCCGGACCCGAGGTAATATGCTCTACCTATGCGCCTACTGTTTTTGAATGTTGATAGCCTATCTATTGTATTGCTTCACTTGTCTGGCCCGACAAGCATCTGACGATTACTTTTTCTGTTTGGTGTAACTGATGGACCTGTAATTTCTTGACCAAGGTCGTACCTATTCAAATTCCTATTAAAATTTGCAAATTACTACTAAACATATTGACAAGTCTTTTTATAATTTTACATATATTATAGTTATAATATCCCTTGTACAAATTCAAAACGTTTTGATAGATCAACATAATAACAGTAGTTAGGTAGTTCAGCACTACTACTTGAAATATTGTAGATATTTAAATAATTCTTAATAAATGAGTTTTAAAAATACTCTATCATTTGGTGGACAGATTGGAAAAATTGTCTGTATTCATTGTGATTTTTCAATTAGATTTCTAAGTCGAGACATAGCTTATATTGACATTTTTCTGTTCCCTTATAATCAGAAATATAATCTAATGTCAGTGATATTGTCTAAAAAATATGCCACATAACAATATATTCTATATCTGGACTTGTCTTGATGATCCTTTAAAACTTTATGATTGAGTTTATCTATAATTTTTTGACAAGTAAAACATCTGGATTCAATACTTTAAAATTAAAGAAAAATATATATTATTATCCTTTTCTAAACAACAAAATCTTTAAATTTAGTGATAATATTAAAGAATATAAGAATATAGTGAAAACAACTACCTTGACAAACTTTGTTTAATGTGTTTATAATTTGTTATAATTTTAATAAATAATTGTTTTGTACATTAAAAAGCAAAATTTGTGTAAATACTATTTTGAATAATATATAAAGGCAATACCATGTATTATATATTAAGTGCTAATTTTTTAATATCGATAATGATACTAAAAGACTTAATTAAAAAAATGTTTTTATTAACTTGAACAATCTTATATTTTTATGTTTAAAAAGTTTTAAAGTAAAAATTTCATATAGGCAAATATCATTGTGCTAAGTAGAATGTTTTGTACTAATTCCTATACCTATAACATGATTTCATAATTCCTATCAAAAAGTTTCTTTTAACAGATTTTTCTGTTTGTGTCATCTTAAATAAAAGTTACTACCATAAAGATGTTATTTAGAGTGGACATAATTTATTTATTGTTGTACATTTGTTTTTATAGAGTTTGTACAAATGTTGAAATTGTGTCCTAAAGTATTTTAGAGCTTAGCCGATTTCATTTCAATAGTAAAGTTATGAAATGCAATTGTCTCTTACACAAAAATTATTTCCAACTTCATTAAACTTAATCTTCTCTTTTTAAATTTTTTATTTAATTTAGTAGGTGTTTTTTTATTTTATATTTTGTGAATATGTAGCTACATCTCATGATTTCTTTAAACTGAATCTCATTTTTTGGAAAAATGTATTTATTAATTTTATTTTTAAATTGTAGTACTAGTCTATTTGATGCCTGCCAAGAAAATATGCTCTTACCATTCAGGTTTAGTTGATGCCTGCCACTTTATATCTTTTATATTTTTGATGTTCTGATAATTTGTTATAAAATTTATAAACTGCAGATAAAAAAAGTATGAAAACTAAGTACTTTAGGTATACTTGAGAAATTTACTTATTTAATATTTTAATAATGTTTGTTAAAATCCTTTTAGTAAAATTAATAATACAATATATGTATAACAGCGTATACCATATATAATATTATGGAATACCTACCTTGGTTATTCAGTCGTTGTTATCATTGAAACAAATATACTAAAAAAAATGAATTTCCAGCAAATTTTTAGTGACATATAGAATGATTCACAGGAAATCATTTTTTTGCAAAACACAAATATTATTCATAATAAACCGGCTTGTATTTATTATTTTATTATAATTACCTTTATTTTAAAGGTATAATTTATAAATGCCATATGATAAGTATAGTATATAAATTTCATAACAAATGATTAAAACGCCAAAAATACGAGAGATATAAGTCGTGTGTTAACTAGACCAGTACCTATATTATTAATCTTACTGAATAACCATAAGAGATCACATAGAATTAATTTATGTTTATGGATATTGTATGTTTTATTATACTACTGATATGCAGTAAATGTAGCATGTTAAAAAGGTTTTATTATTTTTATAAGTAATGTACATTTTTTAAATTACCTTTTACCTATGTCATTAAAAAAATTTTTGCCTTTTGAAATAATGACATTATTATAATACCTAAGTGTTAAAAAAAAAGTGTCAATATTTTAAAGTTTAAATTTAATAATTCTATTACTGTCATTTTAAATATATAGGTAAACAGTCTTAACAGTCACATAGTAGAAACTACATTACAAATAAATAATTAAGCTACATTTTCAACATAACCAATAAAAATATCTTTTTTTGAAAACTTTTGAAAGGTAATTTAAGTAATTAAGCATCATTTTAAAGTAAAATAACAAATAAAATGTTTTTAATTTTTGGAGTAAATGTATAAATTATAAATGGACAAAATTCATTAACATAATTATGTTGCACAGAGCATAGTATATTTGTGTAATAGTTAAAATGTGTCCTATAGAATTTTAGAACATAGCCGATTTCATTTCAATAGTAAAGTTATGAAATGCAGTTGATTCTTACATTTTCTAATTTCTATTGAAATTAAAGTTAAAATGATTAAAAACAATAAAAAATAATTTTGTAATTAAACTAATAATAAAATTAATTATATTTTCTTCATTAAAATGAAAATTGTTTTTTATCTACTTGATTTACTCATAATACAAAAGTTTTGTATAAGGTATTTTGGTAGTGTGTATTAGGTACTCTAAATTTTAGTCTAAATAATGTTATTTATTTGAAAATCACAGATGTTTTCTCTGTCTTACAAACATACAATATAACAAATTTGCATTCAGCAAGACTAATTTTATTTAGTTACCCTGAATCTAAGAATGAATTTACTTATTATTAACCTTATGATTATGGTATTCTACATAAATTTCTTTTGTATTATTTCAATTAAGATTAATTGAGTATAAAAAATATAACAATTAAAAATGTAAATGAAATATTAAAGTAATATCCTCACCTTTCAATTTAACATTGGGTAACTTACTCTAATGTCAAACTAACTATACAAAATTGGTTCTATTGAACAAAAATGTACTGTTTTATATGTCAATATTATGTAGAAGACAATATATGTTGATGTTGCAAATTTTAACCATATATTATAACAATTAACAATTTCAATTAAATATAAAACAATTTTAAATTTATTAAAAAATAAATATATATTATTATATATATATATATATATATAAAAATATATAATAGAATATCTTGGTGTTAAATTTTAGTTAACCATTATTATTGTTTAAATTTGAATTAATATATCTTTGTTTAATAAGTACCCTTTCTTTTTTAGTGTTCGAAGTGTAATGCACAAATACCTTGAAAAAAAAGAAGAAGTTAATTTTGATAAAATCTTCAATCAAGTTCTAGGTAATTTATGAAAACAGTATGTCTCATAGTCTATCCTCCTACATACCTATTCACGTACTATATTGTATATATATTCTATTCTGTTTAAAGTTTATATTTAGTAATAATATTAATTAATTTTTATTTAAAATCATGATTCAAAAATATTAGAAAAAAAGTTAGTCATAAAGACAAACACAATGAATACTTCTTTAGTTCTATACATATTATTAAACATTAAATTAATATATTATTACTATGTATAATACGTATCCTAAATTTATAAATTTAATAACATAGGAAATTATTTTATTGCTTTTAATATTTTAGGTTACTTGTTATTCAAAGATTTTTGTGAACATCTACCCGAAGATGAACAAATACCTGAAATTAACTTTTATGATGAGGTAAGATTTATAATAGTTCAGATTAAAAAAAAAATTTCTGATTATATCTAAAATAAATAATAGTAATAATTATGTACAAAATATAAATAATTTAAATATTATTAACCTATGTTTTTCCAAAGGTAGTTAGTTCAAATATATTATTTAAAATATTTTTAACTAATCAAACTATTTAGAGGAAAAATTTGTTATAATAGTTATTTATAAATCAAACATTGGTTTTTTTTTAAAACTACCCATCTAAATTTTATTTTATAAGATATTCATTTTGTAATCATATTAATGTTTATTAATTATTTTTAAATAAATATATTACCATTATTATAAATTTAATAAAAATTATAATTGAGTATAGTGTTTGAACGTTAGTAAAGTATTATTAGAGCTCAATTAACAAAAAAAAAAATATTAATTAGCAATCTAAAACCCAGGTTTATATGCCAAAGTTAAATTGTTTTTTATCCTAACATACTTTCATTTGCTGTGTATGAAACTTTGCCACTATTAAAAGCAACCATTATTTGAGATGACATATGACATCATAAAACAAAATGGAAAAAGGCATGGGGACTGAAGTTTTTTCATCATAAAAATAGGGTGAGCTTTGTGGTCAAGTGGAACTGTTACAAAACAGTCCCCGTCATCATCTTTCCTTGTAATTTTAATAAGTAACCTCTATACACTGTAAACATGCCTCTATTCATATAAATTCTCAACAACTTGAATCTTGCATCTCCATTGAGATTTTTTTTTATACACATATATTGTTCGTTTTATCCGCTATTTTACTAAATACTAATTTTAAATGCATAAAAATCATACATGTTTTGATAATAAATAATTTCTTTGAGTTATTAATAAAGAAATGGAATTATAAAGTAGGCAGTATACCATAAAGGTTATATATTTAATTAACATGTTTATAATTATATTTTAACTCTAAATATAATAAATAATTAATAAAATAGATTAAATGATTTGTAATATTTACTGTTCCTATATCTATTATATCAATAATTCCTAAATGGTGTGCCCCCCTTAGGAGTCTCAAGCACTTAACAGAGGGAATTGCTATGTAAATATTGATATTATACATATGTCCTTGTAAGCTATAGATACTAATATAGTATTATACATTAATAAAAAATATTATTTCATTTATTAATAAGAGGCGCGATTAATTACTTTTTTTTGAGGATGTGTGAACCAAAAAAGTTTAATAACCTCTGTATTATTTTACCAATTATCTTTTTATATAAGTACATTTTTTTAAAAAAGGTTTTCAGAATGAAATTTTTATTGTATAGATAATTTTTTTCTTAGTTATAAAGATCATTGTGTTAAATAAATTATGAAAGTGGTGTTTTATTTGCTAGTAATTTCTTTGTAGTTTATTACTAAAAAGCTTATTGGTCTTTAAATTGCTAGTTAATAAATGAGTTTTTAACTAATTAAAAATGAAATAATTTTTTTTTCTATAAATTATTGTTTTTTATCTTTATAATTTACAATACAAATTTAATATATATGATATTCTAAGAGTTAAAAGTTTTATTTGTTTTTTTTTTCAGATCAAAAGGTATGAAAAATTAGAATCAATCGACGAGAGGAGAAAATTAGCTAGGGACATTTATGATAATTATATTATGAAAGAACTTTTGTCACATACTCATGTAAGTAAAAATGATTTAATTGCAAAGATAATAGTCAATTTTCAGAGATTATTTAAACTTTAAACAATTTTTATCTTTATTAGTAAATCTTTATTTTTACATCTCTGTCTCAACCTTTCTCTCCAATGCTCTAAATTAAAAAGCTTATTTTATTGTACTAATTATTTGTTTTATCAGCCTTTTTTGTTGCCAATCACTTTTTCCTCTCAGTAGTACTAAATGTGTCATAATTTTTTCACATCTTTTAACTAAAAATTTTTATCTTGTATTTATCCTATAAATTATATAAAATAATTCACTTATAATTTCAAATTGTTTCTCTGTTAAAATTTAGTGATAAATAATTATAGTTTTGTTTACTCCTTTTACATTAATTTTAATTATATTTTTTAGAATTACCCTAAAGATGCAGTCGCTCATGTTCAAAAATATTTGATGAAAAATGAAGTGCCTGTTAATTTATTTGAAGTTAGTAAACTACCATTATAAAAAAAGTTTTTTATATAACCATATATTTTTAATTTTTAGCCTTATATTAAAGTAATATTCAATCATCTTCGGGAAGAACCTTTTAAAAAATTTCTAGAAAGGTATAAACATTTTATTTATTTTGTAAATTATTTTAGAACATAATTACTTTGGTATTAATGAAATATTAATTATATATATATTTTTTTTAATTAGTGATAAATATACTAGATTCTGTCAATGGAAAAATTTAGAACTTAATATTTCGGTAAGTTATTTAATAAAGTATATATTTATCACATTCATATTTAAAGTATTAATAATTGTATTTTAGCTGACCATGAACGATTTTAGTGTTCACCGTATAATTGGTAGAGGTGGTTTTGGTGAAGTTTATGGTTGTCGAAAAGCTGATACTGGAAAGATGTATGCAATGAAATGTCTTGATAAGAAACGAATAAAAATGAAACAAGGGGAAACACTTGCCTTAAACGAACGTATTATGTTGTCTCTAGTCAGTACCGGGGTAACTATATATTATTTTAATAAAAAAAATATATATTTAGACATGCAATTAGATGATTTGTTGATTTAATGATTTTTTTTTATTTAATTTGGTGTATAGGTGGACTGTCCTTTTATTGTTTGTATGACGTATGCATTTCATACACCTGATAAACTTTGTTTCATATTAGACCTAATGCATGGTGGTGATTTACATTATCATTTAGCACAGCATGGTGTATTTAATGAACTTGATATGAAATTCTATGCTGCTGAAGTAATTTTAGGTAAATATAACAAGAACTGGTTAAATATTTATATTTATTATAAAAAACATTAATTTTCTTAGTTAGGTTTTGTGGTTATATTTTCTATTATGTTTAAAAGTTTAAATACTTAAAATAATAATTTTATATATTGATTTGGTGGCAAATGTGTATTGTATATTTAAAAATTATCCTATACATATTTTTAACCATATATTTTTTTATTATTAGGCTTAGAGCATATGCACCGAAGATTTATTGTCTACAGGGACTTAAAGCCAGCCAACATACTTTTAGATGAATACGGTCATGTACGAATATCAGATTTAGGTTTAGCTTGTGACTTTTCTAAAAAGAAGCCACATGCTAGTGTGTAAGTTAAATAACCGTGAATGTGTTGAATATGAAAATTTTAATGTGTGTTTTGTAATTAGGGGAACACATGGTTACATGGCACCAGAAGTGTTATCAAAAGGAACAGCTTATGATTCAAGTGCAGATTGGTTTTCTTTTGGTTGCATGTTATACAAACTACTTAAAGGCCACAGTCCATTCAGACAACATAAAACCAAGGACAAACACGAAATTGACCGAATGACCTTAACAATGGTATATTTTTCAATCCCTAAGCTTTTTAATTTTTATAAAATTAGAGCTATTTTATTTTTTACTTGTAGTTATTATTAGTAAGACCATAAGTAAATAAAATTGCATGTTTTCGTTGTTTTTTTTTTTTTTTTTTTTTTTTTAAATTAATTTCAAGCATGAATTTAATAAATTTAATATTTATAAACACATAAATATAATTATTATGTAAGCTATTATTTATAATATAATGAAATGTGTATTTGTTAATTTTGTTAATTCAAATTAACAAAAACAGTTTATGTTGCAGAATGTAGAACTTCCAGATTCTTTTTCAAAAAGTTTAAAAGATCTTTTAGAAGGACTTTTACAACGTGATATAAATGAAAGAATTGGGTGTCGAGGAAGGGGGTAAAATAATTGTTAACATTTATAACTCTTATGTATATTTTTTTTATTAATTCCATTTTTTATTTTTATTTAGGTCTGATGAATTAAAAGAACATCCATTTTTTGCGGGACTCGATTGGCAACAAGTATATATGCAAAAATATACACCACCTCTTATACCTCCGAGAGGAGAAGTTAATGCTGCCGATGCATTTGATATTGGTTCATTTGATGAAGAGGACACAAAGGGCATCAAAGTAAATTAAAAAATGTTTCATTCTTGTAATTTAGGAGTTGTATGGATAATAATTGTTTTTAATATTTATAAATAATAGTTAACTGACGCTGATCAAGAACTGTATAAGAACTTTTCTATAACTATATCTGAAAGATGGCAAAATGAAGTTGCTGAAACAGTATTTGAAACAGTAAATTCTGAAGCTGATAAAGCTGATCAAAAAAGAAAGTCTAGGCAAAAAAAATTCAATGAACACAATGAAGAAGGTATATTAATAATAAAAAAAAAAGTATTTATAATTTAATTATATTAATGTAATCTTATTTGTTTCTTTTAGAATCTGATTGTATTCTTCATGGATATATTAAAAAATTAGGAGGACCATTTGCATCTGCATGGCAAACAAGGTACGCTAAACTATACCCTAACCGGTTGGAGTTGCATTCAGATTCAGGCTCAGTAAAAACTGAAGTAATCACATTAGACCAAGTATTAGAAGTCAGTCCTGAGTTAGTAATTGTTAAAAATGAGCAATGCATTGTATTACGCATGAAAGATGGAAAAGATGGCAAACTAGTTCTTACTAATAGTGTAAGTCTAAGTTAATTTTATGAATAATTACAATTACATTTTGAGTTTTTATATTATTGTTAATTTATTATAAATTACAATTTTAGGATGAAATTGGTTTAAAAGAATGGGCATTGTCATTACGATCTACACATAAATCCACACATGATCTGTTAAAAAAATTGAAAAAACCAGGAAAAATGTTCATACAAGAAGAAACTGATTCGCTAACATCTACTACAAACACCAACGGAAATTAGTTAAATAATAAGGTATTAGGTTAAACAAATCTCTTTGATGAATCTCAACGCTTTTCTTTAAAATATATTAAATGTTCTGCTTTATTCATCCATCCCTTTCCTCAGTTCCCAGTTTTTGTCGACTTATTATATCCAGATTTTATTTGCTAAGGTTAGTGTAACGCTACTATATAAGACTGTGGTGTTTCATTATTTCTTGTTATTGTATCGAGAATGGATAGTATAGATCAATGTAATAAATTACTATTTTTTATACATTTTATAATTTTTTAGTACAATTTTTCTAATACATACATTTTTGTGCATTATAAAAACCACATTTAATAAAGAAGTTCATGACATATAAAGGTATTTCTAATATATGGTGCCATAAAAATCTATAATCTCAATCTACAATCATGTATTGTATTTTCTATTGTACATACATATTTTTTTATTTTATTTATGTCAGTAAATCTTGTTAGTCAAGTATTGTGAATTTGTAACAGGTTGTTAATGATTCTATATTGATATGTATCAATTTAAAATTACATTTTCTAAATTTAAAACTAACAAAACAAAAATTATTTGCATGTCATATCTTAAGTATGTGTAAGATAATATTATATTTTACTGTTTTAATTTTAAGTTGCTATCGTTAATGCAATAAATCATATTTCTTGTTACTTTTTCAAAAATACTCAGAAAATTCTAAAACGTTCTAAAATTTAGTTTTTTTTAGAAAAAAAAAATAAGGTAATTATTTTACTAAAATAATATATATATATTTCATTATTTTGAATCAGTTATTGAATAACCACATAAAAATATAGATACTTGGTTTTGTGGAAAGGGAGAAGTTTTTTGTTAATATGATAAACCAAACATTAGTGTATTTTGTAGCTTGAATTGAATGAAAATCACATTATTGTTGTAAATTGACAACCTTGCAGAACTTCAGTTGTAAATATTTTCTGTTTAGTTTTAACTACATTTAACCTATTCAAGCTAAATTCTTAATGTAGATAAGATGATAGGCAATTTTTTATAAATAACATTCTTTTTCAATTTGCAGTTAAATAAATTCTGTTAAATATGCAATTCAATTTGTTTATCAGTATCTTCAAATTCATTTTGACTGAATTAACATCATGTCTAGTCGGTAAATAATGTGTATTAATCCAATTGTGGTTTATTTATTAATATATACCATTAAAAATTGGAATATATCATAGTGATTTTGCTATTAAGTATTTGCTTTTTGGCTCTCTATTGAAGTCATCCAATTATATTTATAACAAGACTGATAATTTCGATGTGTTAAAACAAAAAATAAATTCATATAATTTTCATCATTATATTGATCACCATCAACTTTTAGGACATAATTTTTCACTTTGTTTGCACCTCATAAATGATTTAATATAATATGAATAGAATGAAACACTTCAAACTAAGCCTTATCAATGTTAAAATTATGACTTAAATTTACAAATTTCTTATGCCAACTTACTTATAATTTTATTTTTTAATGTCGACAATCAAACAATATATATCGATTACAATATTGTGGCCAACAAAATTTGTAAATACATTTTAATTTTAAAATTCCTGCATCATATGTTATAAAAACCTTGTAAATATTATAATATATGCTAGTCTATAGGAGTAGGTAATTTAGTAATTACCAATTTAAATATCAAATAAATATAATATTATTTAGGCCTAATTAGGTTTAATGTGAAATAATAAATTGCTTTTAAATTACTATATTGTCCACTATATTTTATATTATAACTATTGTTTTTGTGTTGTTTTTTTATTATTATTCACATATAGACAATGTACACCGTTTGTCATCACCTCAAATTAAATCAATAATAATCTCAATGAAATATTTAAATTTTAATGACCATTAGAGAGAAAGGTATATAATATATTTAAACATAACACAGTATAATTGTTAATATTTAAATCTTCTACCAACTTATTGTTCTTTTTATTGTTATTTTATTTAAATAAATAAATAAAAAGTATTATTTTTATTGTTAATTCATTTAAATTTTTTATATCTTTTGTTACTTTATTTATTTATTTTATTGTATTATTATTTATATTTATTTATTATTATTATTTTGTTATGATGTATATTATTTATTATTTTAACCTAGTCTTTAAAACTGTGAAAATTACAACTTTTATTGTTTTAATTAGCATTGCAATCCCATTGTAATAAATTATACAATTAACATCATGTATACACACATTTCAACTTAATGAGTATTATAATATTTTAGATACGATGTTTATCTAATATTATGTTACTTATGATTTAATTAGGCGCGATTGCTTTTTTATCAAGTTATTAAGATTGTATGAAAATATAGATTAGAATTTAAAAGAAAAAACTTAATATAACTTGATTATCCAGTTATGTATAATTATTGTTTAGAGTTAAAATAAAATTTAAAAAATAATGTATCAAAGTGTAATGCAATAAATCCCATTAAATGTACACACGTAAAATATATATTTCAGGGAATTTTTGTCGACATAAACCTTTGATCCTCTGTTATGCTCGTCTATTAATCATTTGTTCATTATATCCAATTGATGTATTTTATTTAATCACCACTTGGAATTGTTCCAAATTTTTGCACATTTTTGGAAATGTTCTAAACTTTCTTCTCAGGTATTTCCAAAATCTTAACGTCTTTGGAACTACTCCAATATCTAACATATTTATAGATGTATTGTATGAGACTAAGTAAAAATGCCTTAACACTGTCAAATGAATTGAACATTGTTAGAAAGTTTTGAAATCCTTTTACCAATATATTTCAACACACTTTGTAACCAATGGAAAAAATAAATACCTCTTGTCTATTAGTTTTCTTTTTTAAACCCTTGTTAAATAAATGAAAAATAATACTTATTTTTTCAATTATTCTAACTTGGTACTTTTATTTGTTAAAAAATTATCTCATAAGTGAAATAAATTGGAACAATCATATTCAGATTATTTAAATATTGCCAAACTGTTCTATATTTTTGAAAATTATGCAATAAAAATATATTTGAATTAATTATTTAAAAATAAAATGTGCCATGAATGAATTAGGTTTAATTTTAAATTGGACTAAATACAATTAATTATTTTTAATACCACCTAATACAGATATACTAAGTTTTTAATTTTGTAAAAATGAATTTTAGTTTCTTTATTCTGTGATGCATTTATTTTCTTATTTTACTAAACATGTCTATATTACATTTACTTATTGGTTCTATTGTTTATACAAATTTTAAAATAAAAAATAGTAATGATCTATAAATTACCATTATATGAAAATTATTCCTGATCTTATAGACAATTTCATAATTTTGAAATTAATATAATAAAACTACAGTTCACGAAGGACCTCATTAGTAGTAGCTAATGGTTGATAGTTGATCTAATATTCATTTTTAGATATCAATCAAGGTTCTTTATATTTTATAACTCAGAAAGTAAACAAGTATATAATATATATAATCTAATTAATGTGGAATGATCATAAATTTATCACAATTTTTAGGTAGATAAAAAAAAAAAATTCCCTTTTGCTGTACTACTGACCAGATTTATTCATTGAGTCAATAGCTTTATGTGGCACAAATTATACTTTAACAAAGGAATTTGAATGGTATAAAAAAAGAACAGTATGAGGTAGGTATATCACTTAAATATTATGAAGAAATATACATAAAATTGTATTATAATATACACTAAAAAATGTATATAATTTAATAATACATTAATCAATACTTTTAGAAATCAAAATCATCGTGAAATGTACATGTGGTAAATCTACTTAATTTAATAAGGCCGAGTATGATTAAATAGGTAAAATGTACAATTGTTTTTATTTAATTTTCCTTATATTAAGATATAAACTAAAACACAATTCCTATTACAAAAAGTAAATAAATATAAAACAAAATTATATTAATAAATGAAAAATTAAATTATGCTGTAGACAAAAAAAAAAAGTTTATCATTTGTAGATTAAAATTAATTACTTTTCTTCGCACCATTCGTTCTCTTTACGTACTTGATCTTCCTCCGCAGCTGTGAAATCATTTTTTATGTTGAAAGTTTTCCTTATTTCCTCTGGTGTTTTACCCTTAATCATATTGGCGACAGTCTTACATGTGACATCTAACAGTCCTTTAATATCCAAATAATTGGCGGCCAATATGAGTTCAAATAGTGTACCCTGATCCACCTTCAAGAAATCCGCATCCCAGCTGGATATATCGTCGGTGCGTTTTTCCCGTCCTTCATCGTCTTCAGCCGGTGGCGGGTCGTCCTTGTGGTATGTTGCCCACTGGATGACTTTCTTCAATATTCCAGCGTTTACGTTTGGCAACGGGACGATCTCCTCATCTTCCTCTTCCAATCCTAAGTCTTCGACCATAGTTTTAATAGTCACTGAAGCTTTGGCGATCTCGAAGTCCACTTGAAACACTTCTCCGTCTGAACTTTGCAACTTTATCATAGGCATCTTGAAGTGATGTGCGAAACAGCGGGTAAAAACACAGTGAACAAAAATAATTAATAACAATTGACAAATTAAATATTGATATCTGATTAGGTACAAGCGAAAACGGTGTACATGTATTATATTATTTTATGTGATGCTCAAATCTGTTAAAATTGAGATGAAATTTATTGACTGATTTAACTGTAGACAGTGTAGACGAAAGATGAAAGCATTTGAGTTTTGATGCTTAATGCTTATGTTATGGTCAAATTACAAACACTCAAACGTTATATACAGGAAACGTGAATACTGAATCGGTAGGAACTAGGAATAGCAAATAAGGGTGGGAATACAGAAAATAAATAATAATACAGTGCGTCCAACGTTAGAAGTACTGATAGTTGATAATTCAAATCTGCACTTTGCGATGTTAACAAAAATCTCAGACTAAAAACTAAATAACTCACAGGCCACAACTTTAAACCACAAATATATATACATCTGTATTCTGTGCTTTAAACTTACAAGATGAATCAGTTTATAACTTAAAGTTATAACGTAGAATTATGATTAATTATAAAATTACCATGAATTTTTTGAGATTTTCTGAAAATAAATTTAAGAATATCGATACATGTTGGTTTAAAGTGGCATTTTTAATAAATGCTTATATTAGTAATTTATTTTATAATAACATTTTTTAAAATATTTTAACTTTCTGAGCTATCTTCAGACATTTTAAATTTGTTTAAATTTGTTTTATTTACCTAATCATCGATAAAAAAATTGGGTCGAAAAATTTGAAAATTAAATACTAGGTTCCTCATAAGTAATTCATATTATATCCAAACAATTTTAATAATGTATAAATATAATATTTTTTTACAGATATTTTATGTTCAAATTTGAATGAAATTAGATATTTATAATATGAAGAATAACGATTTCAGTTAAAGTATAATATATTGGTATTTCGTTGTAATATAAAATATCACTCTTGGGTGTTTAACCGCTAAGCTTTTAAAATTCTTTATTTTCAATATTTTATCTTTGATACCTATTGGCTATGACCTAGAGATACTTTTATAGAACAACTATAGAATAGTTAGTAACAACTGATAAGTTATAGATAATCTAACTATTAACTATTAATTCGGATTATCAGAGTTAGGTTAAAAATTAAAATGTTAAATTACAAAATAATAATAATTATAATGTTAGAACGAAATATTAACAATCTTTGAATATGAGTCATTTGTATGCTTATGCGGCCAATGACCAATTTACCTAACATTTTATGGTTTAACATAACGTTTAATCATGCATTGTAGGTACCTTTTTAATGTTATCACTGCATAACTAAAAAAAAATAGTAAATACTGCAAATCAAATTTTATTTCTTAAAAAATAAATTTTTTTCTACTTTCTAGGCATGATTTTTTTTTTTATTACACCTCATCTAGATAAAGATGGGATTAACGTTGGTCATCAACAGAAAATTTTTATTGATACATCAAATTCGTTTAAAATATATACAATTAATTTACCTATATATTTAAATCTTAGATACCCATATTCTTTCCAAGACTTAGTCGACAATAGTTACAACTGATTCATAGGTGAAAGTATCTGTATTTGATCGTGAACGTTGATTTAAGGAATCTCTAGTCAATAATCGACAGGGTAAAAAGATAAACATAAAAATGTGACAAATAGGTTTAGAAGAAAATTTCATTTTTTCACGAGTGATGCGGAGTTGGATTCAGTTATATAATTATTTACATACGAGAAAACGATGTAACGTCATATCGTACAATATTATATTATTCTATGATATAACAGCTATTATTGACAACTTTAAAATATTCAAAAATTATAAGCTATTGCCTATTAGATATACTACTTTTTTTCATTCAAAGTTATAATTTTATTATAATTGATCCCAAGAAAAAAATTATAGGGAAAATTAAATTTTTTAAAAAACAAGTCTACTATCAACATAATATTACGGAAAAAAACTAAAAATTAAGGACTAAAAACTACTCATAAGGATTAAGGAGTTACATTGTACAGAATATAAGTTATAAGTTATATCGAAATAACCAATAAGTAGGTAGATATTGAAATGTCGATATTTCTACATCGATATTTGGTTAGATGGTCTTCAGATAAAAAAAGCATAGAAAAGCAAAAAAAAAAAAAACATTTTGACTTGATTACAATATTATTTGAAAACAATTTAAAAATTTAACTTTTTTAATTAAAAAAAAAAATCAAATGTCAATATCGATATATCATTGTTTTTGGGAATATTATCAATATATCAAATACCTTGAATATTGATATCCCTTATCATTATCATTTATCTCTTAAGTTCAGCTTTATCATAGTATATTAGTATAGTAATGACTAATGATAAATGGTAAAATAGTAAGTACTAAATAGTAAATACTTGAACTTGGCTGTCGTATAATTATAATTATTTCATCCTATAATTATTCTACAACTTAAAGCTATAATTATATTACAATTCATATTATGTCTGTATTTATATCGTATTGCACACAAAATTATGTGTCTAGTAAATACTAATTTTAGGAGTTTAAATTCCTAAATTAACTCTTGATTTTGATTGCTTAAAAATTATATTATTATTTTTTTCTACTAAAAAAGCAATTAATCAAGTACCATATTCAGTATTATTTAAGTACACCCATTTAACTTTTATTAATTTTCTATGAATTGGAAATGTCTTCTTCAGATATTGGTAAATATATTACATAGGTATTTTTTAAACATGAAGTAAATTGTTATTATTGTTCTACAGTTACTATTACATGTTAAATGATTAACTAAAGAGTATATTTAATTGGTTCTAATTTTGTTCTAATATTGAAGTATCTTTAGATGACAACAGTATAGTGATAAATGATTTACCAAATGATACAGAAGCAGCCATTAGATATATTAAGAAATTATTACCAGCAACTCTAGATGATACATTTAAATATCCATCAATTGTATTTATTAATCAACTTTATGATATACTACACAATAAGACATTGATTAATAAAGAACTGGTTAGTAAATATACTTTGCATTTTTTGTTTACTACAGAAATGTATTAATTCAATTTTACTCCTAGGATATATTAAAAAAACAGTGCAAAATACAATTACTCACAATTGGAACATCTGATTCTTCTTCAGCCTTAATATTATATGAAGATTATGTTAAATATATTTTAAACATTTATCCAGAAAATAGTTGTGTCAAAAAATTTTTAAACATTATTTTACCTTCAGTAAAATCATTTTTAGTGGAAAAATGTACTTTAAAACAAAAATTTAAATTACAGCAATATGAATTGACGTAATTAAATTAAATTTCCATTTTTTTTTTTTTATCTTAGTAATACAAAATTATATTTATTTCAGAGAATTGATCAACTGTGGACTTTTGTTGATTAGAAATCAAGAAAGTTATTGGGTATCTTTTCCATCATCTGGAAATTTTATAAAACGTTATATTGAAGGTCGAAAATATATCATTCAAATAATCAAACGTAGAAAATTTCAAGAGGTATTAGAAACTGTAAGTTATTTTATATATTTTGTAAGTATTAAATTAATTACTTACCATTATTTTAGTTCTCAAGACTTGTAAAGTTGTAAACCACTAAATACTAAATCCTATTCCCTTAGTCTATTTTATTTTTGCAAAAAATCTGGATATACTTCGGAAGTAAATTTAATCAAGTATTTCTGAATATTTCATTCTACCTAATTCTCAATTTGAATTCTGCTTTGCTTACTCTACAACACAATACGTGTACAGAGTAATTTATATCATTTCTTACTTATTTGAAAAAACATTATATTGTAAAATATATACTTTTCTAGATGTTTTCTATGTATTTTATTGGATATGAAACAATGCCCTATGTACTATGTTAACTAAAAAAATGCTTCTATCCTATTTTTTTTTCAATCATTAGATTATATATGACAAATTGCCATTTTTATATTAGATTTAGTGATGTACTTATTCAACTGTTATTTCAGTTGGTGTCTCTTAAAAAAAGATACTCTCTTCAGTTCTTTATAATATATATGTCACTGATCAACCTACCATTATAAAGTCTAAACACTGTGGTTGCTGATTATGTAGCATAAAATTTCCACTAATTTAGATCTGATTGAACTTTTACAAATAACTAACATATATGAAAAATTAGACATAAAGTAAATGATGGTTTAAAATAAGTCAATATAAATCTGTTTACATTACATTTCAGTCTCATGTTACACTCAAATTTTCTCCTTGCTCAGAAGTATATGTTTGTATAGATGCCAAAATACTTATTTAAATTACAATCAAGTATTTAGGATTTAAATTAATTAATTTTAATTTTTGTCTAAGTTTACTATTCATATATATATTTTTTTTAAATAATTACATGTTTATCAACAATAAATTTTTTATTTAAAAATTACTAGTTTAACTCTTCTGGACAAATAGCTTTAAAAAAAATAAATTAAATGATAACCTTCTATTATGATGTAATGAAAAAAAAAATACATCAATAAAATTCTAGCTTTCTAAAGTATTACACTAAAAAAATTAATAAATGCCTTTATCTCTAACCACACAACACATTCATGTACAAGAAAAAGTAAAACTATTTTACATACATCAGCTTTTTAACCACCCACAATAGTCCTCTTAGTAATCATTACAATTCTTAACAATCCCTTAAGATGTGTTTAATGTAATAGGTATGAACTCATAACCTACCTGATTTACAACTATTTAATTATTAATAATCAATGCTCTCAAAAAAAATTTAAAATTTAAATTCAAATTAGGTATTTAAATCAGGTAGTGATAATAGTTCTGTTAAATGTTTCTTTTACCATTGATTCTATAATCAATGCTTTTACTTTAAAATTCTTCACCAAATTTGCCTACTGTTTCTTTTAACAGATTGTATATATATATATATATATATTTATTTTAAAAATGAAAAAAGTAACAATCTATTTTTTATGAAATTATAACAATTTATTATTTAATTGGATAGGATAAAATAAAATAATTAATCATGATAACCACCCACTTGGTTTTGAGCACAAATTTTAATGGACTAGAAAGTAAAAAAAAAAAAAAAAAATAACAAAATTGTCTACAATGTTTGTTGAGAATGAGAAATAAAGCCAATTTTTTAAAATCATTCACTTTTTAATTTTTATTCAAAGTAGACACAGTTATTAAATAAATAATTAATATTTTCTTTTTTTTGTTTTGTTTTTGTCATCATGTTTTGGAGTTAAAAAAATATCCAACTTTAAGGATAATTTTTTTTAGAAAATGTTATGTATTTGGTCTTTTAAGTTGTTAACAATATTAGTGTCTTGTACTTTCTCTATTATAGAAAAAATTTAAAAAAAGTAGAAATATTTAGAATCAGTATTATTCTAACAATATTCTTAAAACCTGTAAATCCAAACGTTCTGAACCTCATTCCAGGGCCAGAATTATAAAAATTAGTAATGTTATATTAAATTTAGAACACATGGAATTTCTATAAATAAATTCTATGTTTACTTTAGGAAGTTATTTTTTTAGTATCTTAAATTGATGTTAAAGGTCTTTTTTTAATTTAAGGACTTGGAAGTTCGATGTGCTAAGGTGCCAAAGATAAAACAACTCGGTTTTAAATATCTTTTACATGAAATTAAAGGATCAAAAGATATAATAAAGTAATATAGTTAAAAAAAAAAAAATACTATATGAATATTAAATATTTTATTAATGAATATATATTTTTATTTAATATTTAGAATGAATACAACATCAGGATGTCTTTTAAGAATAAGCTAAACAACAATTATTATCGTATATTAAAAGGAATCATTTCATATTATATTATAAGGTATTGTATAAAAAAAAAATAAAAATTAAAATGCTTGAAATATTACAAATTATTTGAAAATTTATTTAAAAATTCAATATATTACATATTAACATTTATTCAATCCAACTCTATCCCTTGGTATAAGCCTTAAGTCTGTTCCATGTTTTAGAAAAACAACACCAGCACTTTGTTGAGGGTTTATACCAATCCCATCATCTGTAATGATAGCTGATGTTTCTGCTGACACTTTGAATTCTTCAGCTGCAAATTTTAAAACTGCAGTAAATGGAGCAGTTTCTGGTACTTTAAGTATTTTAAATGGTAGTTTTGGATCCGATGTCAAAGTTATTTTGAATCCTACTGTTTGAGTAGATTGAGTAGAATCTCCCATTTTGTATAATTTATAATAACACTATATTTTAGTTCCGTATGAGTTAAAAAAACTTTACAACTAATAAGATTTGATTATTTTGATTAATATTACACATTTGCAATCGAATAAGAGTTATTTTATGCTTTCACTATTTCTTTTTTCTTGACTAGTGGACTACCCATCCAGTGTCCAGACCATCGTAAAATTAATATCTTATCAACGCGACAACGCTGATGTGGTATTCAGGGTTTCTCAAAATGTATTATCATTCTTGATTACGTGTTTGTTTCTGAGTTCATATATATTGCTCATGTCAACTTTTAACACTTGGCAGTTTTTTAAATTCTATTCAACATTTTAACATTATTCTATGCAATAGGTTTATAGTTTATACGACTAATGAATATTGAATGTCCAATTATACATATTTTATTTTCTGTCAAAATTTAACTATTTATATAATAGAATGGAAATGATTCAACATCACAATTTTAACATTAAAATGAAATTAGACTATAAAATTTAATATCAATAATATTATTTAGTTTTAAAATTTGCAAATTATATTATTAGGTACTATGACTAACTTATTTGAAGCAAACGAATGAGAAATAAATTTTGAAAATGAGAGCACATGTAATGACGTTAGCCAACAGTATTATCGGTGTTAGCATACTAGCTATGCCATTTTGTTATAAAGAGGTAAACATGATATTGTATTATAATTTAAAAGTAATTAACCTATGTACCTCCATTTTTTTTATACATAAAGTGTGGAATAATACTTTCAACATTATTATTGGTATTAAGCAATTTAATGTCGAGAGCTTCTTGTCATTTTCTATTAAAGTCTGCTATTAAATCAAGGACTAGAGATTTTGAATTTTTAGGTAAGAAATGATCTTTTATTTTTACAAAATTTGACACTTATATTTTGTTGGTATTATTTATTTCAGCATTCCATTTGTTTGGTAAAATAGGAAAAGTCACTGTTGAGTTGAGCATTATACTGTTTCTTATGGGAACCTGTATTGCATTCTTTGTTGTTATGGGTGATTTAGGACCACAAATTATTGGTGATATGTTAAACATAAAAAATACTACAGCTCTTCGTCCAAGTATTATGATTGGTAAGTAATTTTAAGATATTAAAAATTGTTTTCTTTTAGGTTAATCAACATCTAAAAATATGAATTATATTTTTATATTATTATTTTAAGATTATTCTACTAGTCTTTAGCTTCATTAATATTTTACACTTGCTTTTTTGTGTTGTTAATATACATTTTTAATAGGTTTAGCTGCATTTGTAGTATTGCCGCTGGGGTTATTACGTGATGTTAATAGTTTAAATACAATTTGTACAGCAGCAATAATATTTTATGCTTGTTTAGTATTTAAGGTATGTTATTAGATTAAATAATATTTTTAATTTTGTGTTATTATTTTAATTTTTGATATCATGTTATGTGTTTTCAGATTTTCGTTGAAGCTTTTGACAAACTTTTCTCTTCTGTTTGGGTTTCAGAAATATATTTTTGGAAACCAGTTGGTCTTTTCCAATGTTTACCAATATTTTCAATGTCTCTATTTTGTCAAACGTAAGAATCATATATTATTTATAGTTACCATAATTTATAATAGTTAATATGATTTATTAGACAAAAATAATTTCATTAAAAGTTGCTTTACTACAAGCCATGATTTTAAAATATTTTATTTATTTGCTTAGATTTTATAGTAAATATTCATAGTAGTATTTATCTTATTTAACTGTAATTAAAGTAGCCAGCTGACCTAAAAATGATGTTTGCAGATTCCATTTAAATAAAAATTAATTGACAAGAATGTTGAGTTATTAATATTTAATATTTAATTTACTTATATAATTTTTATTTAAAATTAAGCATTTTAAGAATAAATTTAATCTTTGAAATATATTTTGTAATTATATTAAATAAATACTTACCTATTAAAAAAATTGCCCTATATTTCACTTATTTTTACACATTTGAGCGTTTAATAAAACATTTAATTAATATAATATCTTGTCTAAAATTATCAAATATTTTATTATTCTTCATTCAGTATTTTTTTTTTTTTTTTTTTTTAATAAAATACTGTATTGTTAATAGATTTTAAAAATTAATAAAATATCAAATTTAATTTTTAACTTGTATTATTAATAGACAATTGTTCGATATATTTGAGACGATCACAAATGAATCATTGGATAAGTTAAATGCAATAATACGTTCTTCAATGAATATGTGCACTAGTGTTTACATTAGTGTAGGGATTCTAGGATATATTGCTTATTATGAATCAGCACTAACAGGTAAAAAATGATTTTATTTTATTAATCATAAGTAATAGTTTGTAACAAAAAATCAGGATCTTCTGACCATAAACAATTGTTATTATTTTTTCTAAATATCTTTGACTTTCTACAAAAATTGCATGACCATTTAATTGTACCTTTGGACTTTTTTATTGTACGACATGTTACTGTTTTCCCTGGTATAAGCATAGTATCACAACCTTTACAGATGTTTCTTTTCATTTCTGGATCAACTCTTAGTAAACTTTTTTGAGATAAACCTTTTAGTATATTGTTATATGTTGATGATAAGCCAGGACATTGCTCAGCTAGAGCTGTACTTAATTGATACAAGTAATTTATACGATTTTGGTTTATTTCCACATTGAATTCTTGTTTTTTCTTTTCAACTTTTGCCATATTTATGATTATTTTTTCACTATTTATAACCTAAAATTTTTAATTATTGTTAATTATATTTATAATATCCAGTTTTATAAATTATTAAAAAACTAAATAAATACAATTTCTATTTGGTAATTCAATATTTCAAACAATTGTACTTACTTCTATAATTTATTATAAAAATCTAAATTTGTGTTTAATAATTATTATTTAATGGTGTGTATTAAATTATTTAAATTAATGTCAGTAAAATTAAAATAATATTTTGTTGTACTTATTGGTCATTGGTTTTATTAATTCATCCACAGACCACAATATTTGTTTTATTAAATATATAATATAGTGTTTAGTTTCGTACACTATCATTATGTATCAATTAAATATTATAAATTATGATAGTTCTTATCACAATTTAAGATTTAAAACCATCTTAAATCGTGTTGGCAATACAACTTTTTAAAAAATTATCATTTATTTGTCAGTGTATCCAACAAAGGGTTTTTGTACAATTTTAAAATGTATTTTATTGTATCACACTTTTAATACTTTTAATAATTAAAATATTCCAAAGTTTAATACTCTAATATAATTATTTAAACATTATGAATTATTATGATTTTGTACGGGGGGAGGGGGGTGTATTTATAACTTATTGGATAAACATGAAGTCCAAACAACACGCCACGCCTAAAGTTGCCAGATTTTGAAATTTTGAAATTACCAAACCGAGACTTATTGAATAACCTATTTTTGTTTTTCCTAAAATGCTTTAAAGGCTCTAAGGAAGGATCTATATCCCCTCCCCCCCCCAATAACTACACCACTGTAAATATTAAACACTAATATTATTTATCTGTACACATTAGCATATTTGTTGTACATGATGTTTAATTCTGAATATATAATTATTTAAAATGTTATATTGTTTTCAGGAAATATTCTTACTAGTTTTTCACAATGTCTGTCCAGTGATATAATTAAAATTGGTTTTGTTATGTCTATTGCTGTTAGTTTTCCTCTGGTCATATTTCCATGCCGTTCATCAATATACTCTCTACTTGCTACAAAAGTAAAATTAAAACTTGTATAATAATATTATTTATAGTTAATAATTGGTTAAATATGATTTCAAATTTGTTTTCTCAAGGACTATGTACTCGTGTCTGGAGGAAGACAGCATATTGCAGAAACTCCTTTCAAATGCATCACATTTTTTATTGTACTATTTTCCTTAGTCACTGGTCTTTTAATGCCTAATATTGAAGTCGTATTAGGACTGATTGGATCTACTATAGGTGTTATGATAAATGTTATGTTTCCTTCTATGTTTTTAGTACGTGTGGCAAATAAAAGTCCTAAAGAAAGGTTTTGGGCTAGAGTAAGTGTACTAACTTTTATAGTATATAATAATATGTTTAACTAATATTAACTATGCATTTATTATTTTTTTCAGTTTATATTTTTTGTAGGTATTTTCATTATGGTTATGGGAACTTCAGCTAATCTTTATGCTATACACCAAACATTTTCAAGTGTGAAAACAGTTCATAGAGGTAGTATAAAAAATAAAACATTTTTCTTACTTTTTTAAGTTATTAAATTATATAAAAACAAAAAAAAGAAGACAATTATTATATGACAACAGTATTTATTTATATTTTATCTATCATTAGTTTATTAGTTTCATGCTACTCATATTTAAATTAAACAAGTTTTTTTAATTGCCTTATTAGTTGCATAAATGCACAATTTATTCCTTGAATAAATTTAAACAAATAATGATTAAATTATTAATTCAATATTGTATGACAAATTATATCATGAACATTTAAAAAGAATTAGGATTAAAGAGTTTAATAAGAGCATTTCCCCAAATTTCCTCAAAGTTCAATTATATTTATTATTTTCATTTGTATCATCATCATATTTTCATATTATTTATTAATTACATTTCAGAAGCTGAGGTATCTTATTATATTAATGCTTCTTGTACATCAGGAATATAATTTTCAATAATATTGAATGTTTTAAATAAATTATGCTAACAATTATTATGAAAATTAAATATTTTTTATTCTAATACAATAAAACTGTTATAGAAGTTGAAACATTGGATTTGAAACCTATGCCTACACAACATGGCATTATAAATCCAAAATTAAGAACATCCGAAGAAATACGAGTAGAACCTCCTATTCCTGTAGAGCCTGTAGCTAAATCAAATTCTGAAATAAAAGAAGAAAAATTATTAAAAGTAGATAGTGGAAATACTATTAGTAAGGATGCAATTAATAAAGAGGATGAGGAATTGGAAAAACGACCTGAAATAGAATTACTTGAAAAGTTAAAAAGTCATGAAAATGAAGAGAAAAAAATATTGGCTGAATCCAAACAAATTTTAGAAGAATTAAAAGGAGCTCGTCAAGTACAGTTAGAGAAAAATAAGAAAAAAACTGTTAACAATGTAAAGGAATTGAAATTAAATAATAAACAAAAAGATAAAAAAAATGATACATCTTTGGACGAAAAGAAAAATCAGTTAGTTAAGGATAAGATGCCTTTACCTTTAGTATTGAAAGAAGCAAACAAACCTAATAAAAAAAAAATAGAAGTAAATAGAGATAAACGAGATTTGACATCAACTGTAGAAAGTAATAATGAAGAAAAAGAAGAAAATTGTAATAAAAATGAAAAGGTAGAAAATAAAGATTTCACGAAAGATAAAAATATTGATAACAAAAATATTATTGAAAATGTAAGTGTAACAAATTAAATACTAGACATAGTAAACATATCCATATCTTCTTCCCACCATTCCCACTACTGTGGTTGATCTCTATATTTTGCAATACTTTATATATACCTAATTATAATATAATTGTAATATGTACTTACCATAATTAATAAAGCTGCAATATTTTTTTAACCCTTTTTGTGGACAAATTTGTATTATTTTTAATATTTACTACTAAGTATTTAAAACATTTTTATGTGTATTAAATTTAAAGTTCCTATATGGTTAACAGTAATTACAATTTGTATTTATTATTTTCATGTTATTAATGTAATATTATATTCATGAGCTACTCTCAAAAAAATGGAAAACTAAACATTTGTTAAATTATAAAAATATAATTAAAATTTAATAAATGTTTCTTCATGACATTTTATTATAGGTACTATCTATAAGCTATAGATTAAAAACCATGAAAAAAAACCTGTAAAATTAAATTATAATTGAATTTTTTTATTACTGTAACATACGTATGTGCCTTATAAATTCATGAGTATATTATATTTTATTTATTGTCTATTTTCTGTTTTAATGTCATTAATGTATTGATACTTTTAAATAATAAATGTATACTATATTAATTGTTAATTTTGTAATTTGGTAGCACTTAAATGTTCCACACCTTTATATTTATGTTTCAAAAAAGTGTTTATTGTGAATATTTAACTGCATAATTTATAATTTTTTTTATCTTTTTATCTAGTCTTTATTTTTTTTTTAGTTTTTTACTGTCGGCGATTTTTTAAGCATCCTCAAGGTCAGAATAAAAATTAAATCATGTTTTTATACAAATCATTCTTACTAAAAATTTATCATTATTTAAAGTTTTAAAATGTCTCAAATTGTATTTTGACTATTTATTCTTTTCTTATTATTTTTCTTTCAAAATAACTAAAAATAAAAGATTATAAAAAACAATATATTTATAACGAGATTTGTTGTTGGATTCATAACTAATATCTTTTGAATCTAATAATTTAATTAGAGATAATATTTTATGATTACTCTTTAATCATAGCCTTTATTAATTAATTGTTCAATTAGTGAAAATTACCACGTAAAAATATTTTCAATTTTCAGTAAATTTTTCCAGATTGTTACAAAAAGTATAAGTAGGTACACGAAGAATTGTGCATTAGTATCTTATGTATTCTTCATTACAGATATTCGAAACCCATTAAAGGATTACAGCAAAATGGTTTTCTCGCTTTCTTTTTTAAATTAAAATTTTATAGATATATGTAGTTATATCGTTATATGAGTATCCCTTTATCCCTTTACGCTGTGCTGTCTCGAGGGCAGGACAAACGAGGAACTCGTCTAGGGTTTCGCGTATGTATAATCTCAACATGATGTTCGAGTGGTATGCTAAATTACGAATTAAAATCAACCAAAATAAATCAATTCACGCGACGTTACAACGTTTACATTAAAACAGGGTATCTCCCCAATTACAGTTACTCTAACATCCAGACTCCTATAGAAAATACAGTTTAATATCTGGGACTCGACTCAGACAAACGGTTGACATATGGGAATAACCATGTCTGTATCAAAAGATTGACACTTAACGTCTGTTTACATGTGCTCAACCCATACCTGAAAATTTTAGCACCAATCTTAAAACTTAAGTAAAAATATACCTACAAATCTCGCCTTAAGCCTATCTGGACTTAGGGACTATAGCTCTGGTGGTTTCAACGTCTTTCCGACGCCCCGCCACGTATCTCAAACTGAGCACTACTTAACGATTTTAGTACCTATGAAAATTATCGATGAGGTACCTAGCTCGCCTTCTTTTTAAACACGCTTTCATGAAATACTCCAAAATTATTCTAATACTATCACAGAATATTTATCACAGATTTAAAAGAAAGTGGTGTCATGTTTTACTATAAATATAACCCATACTTATTCTTAATAATCGTTTCGAAATAAATGATAATTAGAACAAAAATGAATCAGGATAAGTTTCGTTACGGGTGACTACTTATCAACCCCTTCATGTCAACTCCCCGCACCCTTAGCATATAAGCTTATTGTGCATCTCATATAAAGATTATTTATTTCAAATACAAATATAAATTATTATTTAAATAAAAGAAATTAAACAAATTTGATTCAATTATCCTGAATAAAGCGTCAGGGGCCTATGGAATTCAATTTGTCATTTGTTACCTGACCGTTGTTTTTCAAATGTTTATTGTTATTACTTATTAATTAATCATCATTTTTTAATATTTTAAATTTAATGTAATTTACTCTAAGACTTGTCCTTAAAGTCCTTATACTTAACAGCTATCATGCAAGTTTTCAGTATATATACTTAACTACTTAAGTCCAAGTGTAAGTTAGGTACCTAATTGATTATTCAGATAAATATTATATAATATTATTTTGATAATTAATATTGACACATTATACCTACCTAAAGGCTAAATGTAAAATTAATATACATTTCATTCTATTCAAATCGTTTACATTGTTCGCAAATATTTTGTTAAATTCATTATCTACCGAGTCTTTGGATTTTGGACAGATTTATAATTTTATATTTTTTGATCAATATTTAAAATAAATAGTTTTTCTAACATGTAAAAATATCATATTTATCAACTTTCACTCATCGAGTCTTCGCGTCGTTTTTTAATCTATTTTTAAGTTTGCCCTTAATACGATATGGTTTTATCGTGTTTCTCAATCAACTACCTAGTGTTTTGAGATATATATATATAGGTACTTTATTTTCATTATTTTACTTTTGTCAATAATCACAACAAATATTTTCAATTCATGCAATGATCTATTTTTAGTATTTTTGTATTTTGAGAGTTGAAAGTTCAGACTTATTAACATTTGTCAGTTTATCGCATTTATATTTTTGTATATCTACAACCTATAGCATACTTCCGTATACGTCTTTGTATTTTATTGTAAGTACCTACATTTCAAGATATAGGTATTACATTATTTAATGGATATTTTAAATTTTATATGTACAGTGTACCTACATTGTGGTACTTAGTTGGGAAACTTGAAAAATAAGCTTGAATTCAAATACCTTTATGATCAATCTACAACTGTAAGAATTATGAAGATTTTAAGTTTTCAGTGTTTTTTGCTAGATACTTATCCAAAAATATTTTATAAAATTTTAAATATCTTTAAACCTTTAAGCTATAGCATTATAGCAGGTATTATTTACTTATTATTGTTTATTATTAGGCACCTACCAGTTGTACCGTCATCAACTAAATACATTGATGTCTTATAAGTTATAATTTATAGCTTATAACTAAACTAGAACGTTTTCTTTAGAATTATTAAAAGTATTGTGTAACCAGCTAGTCTGATTTTCTATAATAACAAATAATATAACAAATTCAGATATTTTTATCATATTTTATTTCATTATTTTAAACGCTTAGGCTTGATACAATATCGTTAGAAATTACATAGGTCATAAATTATAATTTTTTACTAAAAAAAAAAACAAAAAATTATAACTTACAAGTAAGTGTCTTTGGTGACACAAAAATATTTTCATTTTTAAAACTGTTTCATTTTTATCAGATTGGTGTTAGAGATGCAGTTCTGTTTTGTTTTTAAAGCTGAAGAAGGGGAAATAATTGTTCTTAAAATAGAGTCTGACATAAATATACTGCATTGTCGAACGTATTATAAAAGCTAAAAAGTGTTGAATCATTTCTGTAGAACAAATATTAATTATACATGACGTTCGTTGTATTTATGTATTAAAATTTTGTATTAATTTTAAACCGATAAACCGATAAAAAGTTTAATATGTGAAATTATATGAATCATGTCACAAAGTCAATTTAAATTTGAACGTAAATCGGGCGGTGTATCAAGAAAATTAAAACATGCAGGAAATGTATCCAAAATTCGAGAATTTGAATTGGAAAAGGTGAATATGTACTTACGTGTTATATAACAATAGGCACAAATCTACTATATAGTCTTTAGTATCAACTGCTTCTTACTTATTAATTATACATATTAATTGTTTGAATTTTTTATTTAAAAATTTTGGTTTCATAGTACTTTTATATCAAATTCGGTCCTAATTAATTAGGATTAAGTTAATTTAATAATATAATATTAAATATTCATCATTCGTTGTAACAAAAGGTAATGTAATTTTTTAATCTGATACTTACGCAGTGAACTTAATATTATGATTTTTTACAATTTGTCGTATTATTTCTACATTCTACTGTCACACCAGCCAAAAAAATTAATGTAGGTACCTATCCTATATTAAACTATTATTAATCGGATATGGCTATAACGCTTATAATAAATAATTTAACTGCATGAGGTTTTATTGTGTATATGTTTAGATTTATAGTAGGTTCACATTCAAATATAATAGATCTATCAAAATTTGAAACCTCTACTTAATATAATATATAAATATTAATATAACAGTGAAAACTGACAATGTTATCACTATTATCACTTTAACCTACAAATTAAGTAAAGTCTTAGAAAAAACAATTTAGGTAAGTATTTCGCAACACTGGTATATAATAATAATTAAGGCATGGTACATATAATATTATTAATATTTTTAAACTAGATAAGTATTCAAAACGATTTTGATATTTCGAATGGTTTGAGCAAGGTATACAGTTAACTTAATTTGTAGGTATAGTATTAGTTACCTACCACCTTATACGTAAACCGTAACTTATGTATAATTAAACATAAACAACAAAAAAGAAACAAAAATAAACCAAAAGCTCATATTATTTACATTTTGAAGTCAATATAGACGAGGATGAAATGGAGAATTATTATAATATTATTTAAAATTTCTAAAATATTTTCGGTGATTTCTGAAGATATTTTTTTGCGATTCTTAAATAATTATACCTAGTTGGTACTTACTACTTACAATATAGGTAAATTATAACATAAATAGCACGGATCTTTTTAAGTCAATGAATATTAAAAAAAAAGATACAGTGTTATTTATTTAAAGTGAATAAACAATAATATATACGTATACTTATATTGGTTTAAAAAAAATATATTATATTTAATTTTTAATTTTTTATACTTGTTTATTTTTTAATAATATTTTTGAAGTTTAATAAATTAATTTTTTTCCTTCACAAAAGACTCTGTTTTTATTTAGGTATATTTCATACGTCATTGTTTATTCTCGTTTTTATTATTTTTACTGTACATTTAATATGCTAACTGAAAAAATGTTAATATATACATAAATACAGTAAATATTCTACAGTAGATAAGCGAAAACATAGTAATTTACATTGACTTAATGATACTTTTTTTTTTGTTTTCTAGATAGATTTAGTCGAGACGTTTGATATTGTGCAAATCGTCGGCGAAGGATGGTTTGGAAAAATATTGCTGGTCGAACACCGGGGCACGGATAACGAGATGGTGCTCAAATCACTTCCCAAAAATTATACGGCCGTTAAGGATTTTTATCGAGAATTCCATTTCAGCTATCACTTGAGTGCACATCGTAACATTGTGTCTACGTTTGACGTCGCTTTTCAGACAGCCAGTTTTTATGTGTTTGCTCAAGAGTACGCGCCTTTGGGTGACCTCACTTCCAATATATCCGACACCGGAATCGGAGAGTTGCACAGTAAAAGCGTCGCGAAACAGGTAGTTATTAGATATTGAATCGCTAACCATCGATCATACTTACAACTCACAGCCTAATATAACGATCTATACATACCTAGATAGCTAGATGTATATTATGTGTGTATAATGTATAAATATTAATGTAATATAATATAAATGTTTGTTACAGTTGGTTTCTGCGATCCAGTATATTCACAGTTATGACCTAGTCCACAGAGACATCAAACTAGACAACATTTTGGTTTTTAAGAGCGATTTTTCAAGAATAAAACTATGCGACTTTGGCGAGACGAGAAAAAACGGCAGTTGGGTAACCCGTCGAAACGAATGGATCCCTTACATGCCTCCCGAAATCCTAGCCATAGACACCGAACACAAATACAAGTATGTCGGTAGACACGTACAAATTTTGAAATTAAAAACACTACGAATTATCATTTTATTCGTGTCCTGAGCCTTTATAAAACATACACGTGCATCTATTTTACATTATATATATATATTTTATGTTACGTAGGTTTTATAATAATTTTTTGTGTGTTTTATACATATATGTTATGTATATAGAGTAGAAACTTCACACGATGTTTGGCAGTTTGCAGTAGTGCTGTTTGTGTGTTTGACCGGGTGCTTGCCGTGGCAGAAAGCCAGTTCCGAAGATCCGAGGTTCGTCAGTTATGTTTATTGGGTGTCCAGCAACGGCATAATGAGCCCGTTCAGGAGGCCTAAACTGTTCAAGATGTTGACGTCCAATGCGCAAAGAATGTTTCGAAAGTTCCTACAACCTAATGTATTGACCAGGCCTAGTGTCTTGGACGAAGTACAAAATTTTATTGACGAACGGTGGTTATCCAAATACATGTTAGATAAAAGTAAAGGTAATATTGAATTGTTTCGTATTTTGATGTGTTTTTTATTTGAATAGACTGTATCGTAGTTTATACATGTATGTGTAAGTAGGTACTTTAATGTACCATACGTATAAGCAGTGTACTTACTAAAGTAAAATGTTAATTTATTATATTAAATAATATTAAATGATTTACTAAAATAATTGACGGGTTGTCATAGTCGTTGACTAAAAGCTATAAAAAAATTAAATAACGTAAGGTTTTTTTGGGGGATATTTTTTATACTTACTTTTATATTAAAATTATAATTTCAAAACGGATTATTTATATGTTCATCTATTTATTTTTGTTATGTTTTATTATGTAACAAAAAACAATATTTTTTTTTATTAGCTACTAATATAAACGACGAAAGTTCAAATAACAATATATTAAGGTATATTAAATGTAACCATATTCTTCTTCAAAAATGTCAATTTCTTCCTCATGCAACGCCTGAAAATTCAAATAATCCTCTTTTTAACTCAATTATGTATCGCCTTGCGGCTTGCTCTTGACATAATATACATATATACTACCATGATTCACGAGTCCCGCCAACATTTTCTACCCGTGATTCATTTTTAAACATTTATCTTTACTTCCATCAATCTTTGAATTAATCACAGTTTACTTCTTTAACACCATTATTTCCATCGGTCTATAAACAGGCCATCTCTTTGATACATGTATACCTTAAATGTAGATGAGTTAGTCTATGACTTTAGTCATATCATTTTTCTTTATCATTTTCTTCTTTCTAGTAAGTACCCTCGCTGTTCTTAATTTGAACTAGGTACCTTTCTTCTGATTCAAATCATTAAAATTGTACTTAAATTGCTTTGTTGTAATGCTAAAAGCAATAAAAACAATTTTAATTTAGTAGTTTCAAGTCAACATTTGTATGATACTTTTGAATTTTGTAGTTAAAAAGATTAACTTATTAATGTAGTATATTTCTATAAGACATAGTCGAAAATAATCGTAAGAATAAACATGCATTAAAGATAAAAACTAAATAAAAACCATGAAATTCAAAATGTTATTATTTATCATCTGTAAATTAATTAGTACAAGATATATAATTTCGTTGATTTTATTCAATATTTTTAAATTTTATGTTTTACTTAATCAAAAAAAAAAAAATTGAAATTGAAATATTTAAAATGTAATTAAATTTAAATTTGAGGAATTTTTTGATCGATATTATTTCTCATCGTTTCTCATTGTGTTTTGGTTTAAATAGTTTCAGACGATATAGATGAGCTGAGTCCATCTTTATACAGTTATCAAACAGACCACGAAGAAAATAAGAAATTCCTGTTGGCATTTTCTAACTGTGGAATCGAAACTGTTGTTGTTGATAGAGCTGCAAAGAAGGAACGTATCAAACAATGGATCCAATCTAGTGTCATTGAGGAAGAAGACGAAGAGGATTCTAGTGAAGGGACTAGCAAATTGAGTTTATCCCGTAAAGGTAGTAATGATAGCGAAGAAAATGAATTATACGCATTGACCAAACGCGAAGGATAAACTTTTATTTCAGGGTTTCCTACAAAGGTTAAAATATATATGAGACTGTATTAAAATATAAAATGTTTGTATAAAAAATACCTATATATATATATTTATATGTGCATCATATTTTTATCATTAATATAATTAGATTTTTAATAATGGTGTACCTATAATTATTTATTGTATTTTTTTTTAATTTTACCATTGTTACATATTATACTTATACTATATCTACATGTATATTATATACATTTATGCATAAACCAAAATCGAAGGTCATTTAAATTTTTTTCATGATAATGATAACTGGTATGACAAAGAGTTAATTAATACATTTTATATCGGCCTGAAAATTTAGTATTAACAAAAATAATTTAATCATAATATTTTTAAATGTATATTTAAAATAATTTTTTTTTTTATTATGGTATATTTAGGTATATTAAACTATATTATAATATTCTTCGAAATACTATAGGTATAAACAAACGTTCTTCAAATCCAACACAATAATTATTTATATGCTATAATACAATTTTTTTAAACCTTTCATATAATATTATGTATAAGTGGAACCTATTTAGTAATTATCATTTTCAAAATATGTTTATATAGGTAGTAGACATCTACTCATCTAGGGAATATTATTATGTTGTATATAATTGCAATTTGCATAAATAATTATACGCCACTTGTCCACTTATAATAAATGTTTCTACCAATTATTTCTTAATAGAGTAATGAAGTTGTAGACACAAATAGATGCTACTAACTCAAAAATATTTACAAACAAAATTAAAGCATTTTCAATGATAATTCTAATAAATAATAATATAATTTATATAATAAATGTATATAAAAAAAATATATGAATCAAATTAAAAAACATAAATTCTTAAAGATTTTAAAAAGAAACATTGGTGTATTAGTATCAATAAGACTATAAAAGTAATTTTTTTTCACTACTTAATGGATGTATATTTTATTTATTAGCCTATTATAATATATATTATATATATGTATTGGCATCTAAAGATAACTTGACAATACATAGTATATTCCTGAAATAGTTCCTGTAGTGATAAAGTTCCTCTTTGAAACCTTTTTCTTTGTTGGTTTAGTATTATGGTCGGAATATTTGATTAAAGTGATAAAAACCATATCAAACAGTAGAATTGAAAATATAATTAATAATTTAAAACACAGAATATTTAATAATGACACCAGAGTTACTAATTTTATTGAAAAATTATTTAATTTTTAGAGAGGTGATCATCTTATCTTATGGTAAAAAAATATATTTCAACAATTTGTCAAGAGATTTTTAGTACATCAGTTTTAATGTATCAATTTTTTCATTTCAACGGTTTGATCGCTGTGAAAATTATTTAATTCGAAAAGAAAATCCGAAGGAATTGTATTTGTTTTTTTTGTCGTTGACGAGCAAATTGATTAATAACAAGAAATATACATTTTTATGCCTTCAAAAAATGTATGAGTATCTACGAATTGTAACCATGAAAGAGAGGTAATTACACTTAACACAAGTAATTATATAATTGTGGGTCTATTGTCCTATTATCGTTACAACTCCTAAAGGTAAATATTTAAAAAAAAAAATTAAATGTATTAAATTTGATGTATTAATTATTGTAGAAACCGTTGACTTCTAAACCCGCACACTTTTGATAAAATACAGGAGAAAACCGCACACATTTAAAAGATTAAAACTGCAAACTTTTAATAAAATACAGGAGAAAACCGCACACTTTTAGTAAGTAAAACCGCATAATTTTTAGTATTTTAAAATTCTATAATTTATTAATTATTACATAAATAAATAAAAAATAAAAATAATATAATAATAATAATCTAAATAAAAAAAATGGATATAGGTGGTATTCAAATTTAAAAAAAATTAAAGTTTGATAGGCTAAAATCATATTTTATAATGTGTAAAAATGTTAAAAATGTTAAAAATGTTAATTAATATAAAAAAATGTAAAACTGTAAAATATAAAATTTTTGAAGTTTGATTGGCTGAAATCTTTTACCAACATTTTTTAAAAACTTAATACGATCTCCGTCTATTAACAATCTTCACTACATTTGAACAAGTGCTCCTAAAATAAACATAATTACCTAACCACTATAAGTTTGCGGTATTTTGTCATACAATGACCGATAAAGTGTGCGGTTTTTGTCTATCGATCTTTTTGGGGTCGAAATCAAAAGTGTGCGGATTTCAAATGCAACTGTAGAAACAGTTTTAATGTTAAGTGTTTAGTTTAAATGGTTTTTAATTTTTTTCATATATACTAATTAAAAAATTAATATTGTTTACAGACCTTACGGCATCAAATAGTGAAAACAATATTGCCGGAGTACATCAGTCACCAAGTATAAAAAATAAAGTAGAATTAAACGGAAAAATTTACATGAACATTAAATGACATACCTACAAAAAAAAAAAAAAAAAAAAAATAAATAAATAAAATACATGTTATTAATTTTAATTTTGAGTTGAGATTGTTAAGAGGTATCATAGTACGTATTTAATAGATTTGCAGAAAAAAATTTACGATAACCCAATGATTATTATACTGTTTCTTATTTGAGATCAAAATATCAAATGGTATTTAGGAATGATATAATGACACAAAAGATCAAATTTTCAGGAACAGTGGAAACCGAAAAGTAAATTTAGAAACTCTTCTTTCTATAAATATATAATATAAAGATTTGAAATTGTTGTTTCCTTGTTACAGCCTTCTATAGCAATATAAACAATGAATGGTATATTAATCACGAGAAAGTTGGTTTTAAAATTGACAGTTATACAATTATTTTAGTTATAAAATATAATTTAAAATTAAAATAACCGAAAGTAGGTTATTTACTATCTATTGATGAAAGATAATAAATTCAATTTGGATATTTACAAGAAACTAATTGACTCAAGGATGAAGGAAATTAATATTGAATTAGATAGTTTTTCTAGTTTGGATTGAAGTCCAAATTTTGAATTCGGGGTGCTTAGTTGAGCATCTCTTATAGAAAAATATTTTTTTTGGGGTTAAGGCTTAGGTTACAAATTATTACGAATTGGTTACTAATAAAGAAAAATATACAAAGTATAATATGTATACTATTGGTAATTTTCAGTTTATTCAATTTCAAATTTATTATTACAATGGTTATTTAATATTTTGCAATATTATTATTGTGAAATATAAGTGTTGTTTCTGTGTATTACAGAAATACAGCAATAAAAATAATCTATAAAAAATATTACTAATCGTTTACAGACTTAGCAATGTAATTATGTCATAGAATTAAGTTAATAAAATTTAAAGGAAAAACTATAAAATTAACTTGAGGATAACTCTTTTGTCAAAATGTAATTGTATACTTTTACTTATTGAATATTGAGCGTGGACATAACTATCGCTGTTTTAAACTTTTAACCCCTTTACCACCACTGACTTCTAAGGGTCACATCATACGATTGCGTAATAATTATTTATAGTAGAAAAATCGTTAAAAATAAGTTTAATGATATACATGATTATTATGACATACCTATTTATATACTTATAGTATAGTGCATTCGATTAGGCGTTCTATTCTTTATGTATAACTTTAAGCTATTCTGAAAATATTATATATGCATGTAACTTAAGAGTATGCCAATTAAAATCGAATAAACTTTTTACTTATTGAACAAATGACAATAATTCTTACATTATTTGTTGATATTTAAATTGTTAAAATAAAGTTTTTCTTTTTTTAATATATAATATTAAGTTAATGTATAATCAATGATTTACAATCATAGATTAGTTGTTATGATTTCATTCATAACTTTATTGAAATTACATTATACTTCATTAATTTAATATTAAATCATTATAGATATCTTCTTTTTTTTTTTATTTATTTATATTTAAAGTATAGCCTTTGTGGCCTTAGTATCATCGACAAGAAGTCAATGACTGCACATGCGTTGCTGCTTTTAGTGTAATAGGTATATAACATATAAATAAGAAAAAAAAATATGGATCTACAGATTGAAAAATGAAGCCGTCTGATTCAAAAACTTTGTTCTACGACATTTTGCGATCGAAAATCACTTCGAGGAACGAGACAAGTCCATATTATGACGTGCAATGAACGAGTTTATAATAATAATAATAATAATAAAAAAAAAGTGCATATTTCACTATCTACTAGATAGGTAGTAAATACCAATACGGGTAGTAATGTAGGCGGTATTTAAATAAACTTTTCGGTTATTTTGACCTTTGCCAGGGTCAAAATTGTAACCGCTCGTATCACAACAGCATATTATAATATGAGTCGTGTACAGTACGGCTGTACGGCCCGCCACCGCCACGGCGGCCTGCAAAGTCTATGCGCGTACTTGCCACTCGGGGATTTGCCCGCCGCTCGGACGCGGTACTATAATATCATTAAAATATCACGTCGCTGTGTGCAAAAACGCCGTCCGGTTGGCACGACTGGTGGCGTTTCGGCCCCGGATCAGCCAACCGCCGGGCGTCGGCGTCGGCGTCGTCGTCGTCGTCGTCGAAGGTGGCGGCGTCATCGGCGGCGGCAGCAGCGGCGTTCGGGGTCTCGCGGCGGCGCCCGTCAAACGCGCAGCAAACTTTATATTGTACGCTATCACCGTCGCGGCGCCGTCGTCGAACACGACATTAATAATATAATATTATTCGTCCGCCGGTGCACCCTGTGCCGTAGTATACGCGCGCGCGTTTATAAATACACACACACATATACACACGTACACTCGAGCGCGCGGAAGTTTGTAAACACGATTACATTATTATTATTGTTATTATTATTATTATTATTATTATTATTATTATTATTATTATTATTATTATATTAAATACAATATTATCATATTTCAAGTGTACAGCAATAACAGTCGCGTACACACGCACACTAATATTAATATTTATTTGTATAATCGTATATAAACAGCATACACACACACACACATACACACACACACCACGAGCAAGTGTATTGAATTATAACCGATATTGTTCCGCCGGAAGTATGAATGGCGCTAAATGCGCCGCGTGCCTAGCCGCCGTTCTGTTCGTACTTTTCGCGTTCGTCGTCAAAGGTATTTGTCAAATAGTAATATAAATCGAATTTTATTAATATTGATACGCACGACGTATTGATACGATATATTATAGGCGCATAGATTAATAAACGATCTAAAATAATCAAAGCCCATTTAAAATATTATGTGTATTACTGCTTATTAGAATGCTGCACACGATCGTTTATAGGTATATACAATATACCTACAATTTGCACGTAGTATAAATAAATAATATTGTATGATATAATATATTGTGTAGAAAAATATTGTGTATTGCGCACTATGCAAAGGTTATAGCAAAAACGTCTGGGATCTTAAACTTTTATTATTTACAGAGAACATACATATACGTAAATAGGATTTTATTTCAAGGGGAGGGTTAAAGGTTAATCACAAGCCCATTAGGGCGCCTCCTTCCACCAATCAATTATATTTTCCATTTACTCATAATTTTCCATAAGTGAAAATATTTTTAATTTTATGTTTAAAGGAATAATGTTTTATGTATACTTTTATTTATTATGTCGTTATTTACAAAAAAAAAAAAAATAATTAATATGAAAAAAAATTAATTTAATCAAAATCAGGTTGAAAAATTTATTATTTATTATATTATAAAAGATAACGGAAAAAATTTTCATATTTCAAACTACTTCAAATAAAAATTTAAAAAAAATGTATTGTGCCGTCACTACAACACTACAGTATGTACATATTATTTTAAAGAATATACATACAAAATCGTGTAATATTGATGTATCTATTTTATATTAAAAATAAGAAAAATAATATAATTAGAGAAGACGACGTATTTATAATATTGTATAATAACCTCCTAATAAAAGGTGGATGTGTATTAGTGCAGAATAGCGAAAAAACCGGATTTAACCTGTGCATATAGGTCGTAATAGTAAATAGTATCTAAAACTAACAGTCGGTCGTAAAGGACATAGTTATCTATTATTTTTGGAAACGCAGACACGGATTTATATATAAATGTATATACGTATTTATAGTATATGAAGTGTTTTAGAGACTAATATTTTGCGAACAAAATAGGTATATTTATATGGGTTACTGGTTGTCATTACAACGTTTCTCTCAGTAATAACAAATCGATTTTAACATATTACCAAAATATTATTACCATGACGATTTGGTGCCACACTTTGAAATAAACAAGACGTAATATCGCGGTATACCTACAATACCTACATGTGTTGATAGGTAATATAATATGTATTATATAATATAGATTAGATGTAAATTCCATATATATATATATTTGTTATTTGGGGGGGGGGGGGGGGGGGTTAACAATGTCGTGTGTATATAGGCTTATTTTACTATTATTATAATACGTGGGCATTATATGGGAGTACCTATAAGGTTTGGAATTGTATACTAATTAAAAAATTTAAAATCTATTCAAAATCCAACAAATTTATGAGAAGGTTTAAAGGCAACATTAAATATTATTTATATAAATAGCATTTTATAATGACTAAATTTTAACTACCCATTTAAATTGAAATATTGAGTTTTTTGTTAGTGGTGCTTACATAAATTACAGTAGGTATATAGTATGTAGAAGTAGTTGTAAATATTTGGGGTTATATAATAAGGAGGTAATTTCAAACTTAAATTAGTTATAAATATTTAGGTATATACATATATCTAATATTTTTGTTAACGCTAGGTATTACATAACACTCTAGTACTCTACGTAATGATGTATACAATAAAAACTAATGCATATTATTATTTATTATAAATGGAGGAAGTTAGTTGTACGATTTTTTTCATTTGATGTAAAACACTCATCGTTTCAGAAAATACAATAATTGTTGACAATATTTAATTTAAATAATTTGAAGTCATTACAAAACAATATTTTTTTATCGCTTAATTTTTTAAGTTTTTTATTCTTTTAAATGATAGCATATATTTTAATCGTATATTCCAAAGAGGAATATTATTCGAAGTATTTTGATTTATCAAAATCGAATTTCGGACTTGTAATTTATCAGTTATAATTTATTAGTATATAAAGTTTAGATGAGCGGAGAAGTGGACCAATATTTACCGGAACTCTGTAAATAGGCGTAAATTGGGGGAGGGGCTTAAGGGGACTTAGCCACCCAAAAATGTGTATAGCCCCCTACATTTTTCGACAAATTTCAGGTTTTTTACTTAAGTAAATTATAAAATGTACTATTTAGTTTCTAAGCAGGATATCCGATAGGTATGTATTTTATGAACGTTTAAGGTTCATGCGACATGGATAAATTATGTATTGTAAATTTATAATAAAATTAAAATGATTGAGCTATGTTAATATTATACAGCAATAACTTTTTCAATCTACATTTTGAAGAAAGTACTTGATTGTTATAAAGTAAATATAGCAATAATATTTTATAAGAACCATGTACTTTATATATAGATTAATATTTAATTTTATATTTCATATTTCTTTAGGATTTGTTAAGTATTTTTGTTAATTCATTGGTAGCTGAAATGGTCGTCGCTAAAAATTGTATAACCTAAACATATGATACTTCAAAAGAATTAACAACAAATAGCTTAAAGCTTATTTTTAGAACTGTGAATTTAATGCACTAAAAAACCTTAAAAAATACATTAAAAATATCAAAAAATACAATAAAATTAAAATATGCATTTAAAATGCAAAATATGAAATATGAAATGCTAAAAATTATAGTATAAAATACACTTAAAATGGTTTTTGATTTAATTTTTATATTTATATTGATATTATAGGATATTATAAATTTAGTACATTACATTTTACATGCATAAAAATGTGTTTATTTAATAAAAAAAAAAAAAAATATTTAAAATGTTGATTTAATTTTAATTTTATTTAATGCTATTCATCTAAAATATTTTTTTTAAATTTTTTTTTATGTATTTATTTTGTTATTAATAAGGTTTTTAAAGATATGTTAATTGACGAAATTTAATTAAGAATATCGGAAAATGCTATGCGCCGGATAAAAATGTGGTAACAAAATTTATATCACAAAATAGATTAAACCAGGTATCGATCATGTGTATAGAAAAAAGCAATATTTAAAATATTATTAAGGAGACTATTAAGAATTTTGCAGATAAATATAAATAACTAATGTTAAATTTATATAGGACAAAAAAATGTAATTAATCAATATATTAAAATATGTTTTTGTTAGATAAATAGTTTTGAAGTATTTATATACATCTTTTAAAATAAATGTTTTAATAAAATTGTAAAATTTATATGTAGGGGGTGCGGGGAGCGAAGCCCTTCACAGGTCTATTATATGTTTATAATTTTAGCCTCTCTCCTTCTAACAAGCCAAATTTACGCCTATAATCCTGTACCATTTATCCATTACCTCATCTTGTTTAAACTTTTAATATTTATAACTAGTTTAATTTTTAAAGTACTTGTATTTATCAGAAATTTTATTGTATAATATTTATATCGCATCGCCTTGAAAGTTATTGTGCCTTGTTTCAAGCAATGTAACAAAATGTAAATTTAGTTTTAAACTTTTAACAGATACAACCATTCTCCTAGATTTTACGGCGCCAAACATTATTGATCCAATATATTTATGAGTACGACCAAAAACTTAAATACCTAGTTTGATGTTTGATCGAGTATAATTTTATAATATATTTACTTAGTAAACTGGTTTATACTTTTATTGAAGTTCACCGTAAAGCCGTACAAATGTATTTTGTATATTTCACCTATACGAGGATCGGAATTCAATATTATAGGGGGCACTTCGACTATATTGTAATATAAGGTCTCTTATAAGCTTCAAATGACCTTAATTCTCGATTACCAGAAATATTAATCTTATATCACTAGTATTACTTTTTAATGAATCGTTTTAGTCAATTTTATAGTTTATTGTGAACGTTGATTAATGTCACATTTTACACTTTGAAACTTGAATATTAAAAATTATTGTATTAAATTTGAAATAATTTTATGACTTTAATAGGTAGTATTTTACAATATTATCAATAGTCCAATATTAATTACTAATTAGAAAAATAATAATTATTCACAATGTAGGTATTTACGCCACTCATCACGGTAAACATTATTATATATAACTAAATACGGTATACCTTTTGTTAATATTAATTATGTTGAATTGCATAACAATAATTTAACATTTAATGAACCAAAAGTAAAAGAATGGTTCTTTAAGCATGATTTTAGTAGCCCGATCTGACCATTAAATATTAGTGAACCATTTAACTAATTAGTTTTTTTATAAAACTCAGCAATAATACATTAAAAAGATAATGGTTTTATACAAATTTAAAAATTGAATTTGTATATCTTATAATGGTTCATCAAGATATTCAAAATAATTAACTTAATGTAGATATTAAGTAAGTTACCCATATTTTAATGGTAATTATTGTAATTTATAATTTAAATATTATGCAGAATGAATAGACAAATAGTGGAACATCGACTATATTTTCTATTTCAATATATACATAGTTATAAATTTTAATCAATTGAGATGGAATTAATTTATGAACTGCAAAAAGTTAATGATGGATAATGGATAGGTATACTTAAATATAGTTTTGTATTAGTTACAAAGTTAATATCTTTGTTTTAATTAGCATAAATAAAAACCTTAAGTAAGTACCTATATCATATAATAATATTCCCTGATAATTTTGAATTCATGTGAGACACAATAATTTGCAAACATTTTACCTGTAAAAAGGTTCATAAGTAAATTGAACCATATCCGTTAGTACAATAGTAAAGGTTATAAATATTAATTGTTTATCTTTTCATTCTGTAAAAACATAACTATAAAATTACCTATACTCAAATAATTTTTCAAAAAATATTTATTTGATTTTAATTTTGAATTTAATAAACCTAATAGTTAATTGATTAAGAATTAGCTATAGTCTATACTTACATATACTCTATAATAACTCAAAATAAATAACAAAATTTTATATTTTTTTTATTTTTTTAATGATTTATATTATATTAAGTATTCATTTCTTTTAAAGAAAAACTATTGTGCATTTAGATTTTACGTTTAACAAACATATATTTCATATTATTACCAAATGTGTATATAATATTAGGTACATAGTGAAAAAAGTGCACAATTATTTTAATTAGTTATGGGAATGTTCTTTTAGACATTATGGACGTATAATGATATAATTATACATTTAATCTCTAGTTCCTGGACTTAGATACATAGTATGATTATAAATTTCATCTATTATAATATGGTATGACGCTATGACACTATTGTTAACATGTACATTAGTACATTTATGTATTAAATATTAAAGTATCTATTATTTTATTAACTTACAAGTTATTAAAAAATTAATATACTATTTATGTAATAGGTTATAAATGTAGTAGTTATAACAAGTTAACAAAAATGTTGAATTATTATTGTAAGTATTATACTAATCCGAGAATAGTTTATATGCATATTTAATTATAGTACATCACATATTAGTTTCAGGTATATTAGGTAAAATAAACCAACTATATAATATCATTAATGTAATTAAATTTTAATAAATACCTATATATTATGTTTTTGATACCTTTTATTATATACTATACATGTAAAATATTTTTTTCTCATCTAAATTTTTTTGTAACGATCTGAGAATAATTTAGTAAAACTAGTATGTTGATTTAAGACTTCTATATTATAAAGAAAATATTAGGTACCCCTATTTAGTTCACTAAAAAGTAGTTTTTTCTTCAAAGTTTAAACTATTGAAGACACTTAGTATTTATTTATTATTAACTGAAAAAGAGTTTACGTAGAAGTTTGGTTATAAAATAAAAAATTCGATCGATGAATGCTTTCTGTAGTTTTACTATAATTTGTATATATTTGCTAGAGATATATCATAGAGATGTTACGCTAACAACACCTTAATAATTTTATTTGTAAGTTATTTATTTAATATGCAGGTAATTTATTATATATACTCAACCCCATTTTTTCATTTAATAAAATATCATCTATAACTTTGATTTTTATATTTTTTGAAATACTTAAAGACCATATTTTAAAATTCTATAAGTTTTTTTCTATTTTTTAAACAATACGTGTTGTGGCGATATAAACTTCTGTTTTTTTAAAAGAGAACTTCCTTTTTACTGTAAATTATTTAGTAGATATTTGTTTTAGTATACGATATAATTAACTAAAAATGTAAACAAGAAGTTTTTTTATAATTAAAATATATTTTATACTAAGAATGATAACTCTTAAAATAGTTTTAAAAAAACAATACATAATAGATTTAATATTGGATTTATTATTTATTATACTCGGAGAAATTTTATAAATTATTAATATTAATAGATTATAGATTTAAAAACTATATGCATTTTTAAACATAACTTTAAATTAAGTCTTATATCCATGAATATAGTTTTAAGTATATTATTTTCAAATGAAATATAGTTAATTGTAAAAAAAAGTAAACAGGTTAAAAATTTTTAAAACTGTAATAATATATTTTAATATAGTAATAATACTATAATTTTTTATTTATCCAAAAAATAAAAAAAATGTATATACCTATAGTTACACTAATATTTTAATTTTTAACATCCAATGAATTTAAACCTTCTATGCGTAAGTTATGATTTATGTTTTTAATAATATTAATTGGAAAGTCCCTTGAAAATATTTTTGTATTATATCCAACAAACTAATATTTCAAAGTTAATAAGTAAATATTTTAGTATAACTATCTAATATTAATTATAAATTAAATAATATGTTATTGAATATTTTTATGATTCACTGATATTTTAATTTCATAAATATTCAATTATTAATAAAACCAGAAAAAACCCTAAGGTTTTTCTAACAAAAATGTACTTGAATTATTTACATTATAAAATAAAACGTTAAAATCAAATAAACCCAACTAATATAATTAGAAATTATGAAAAATTTTTTAATGAATACATAAATCAATAATTTTACTCGTGACCACTGACCACGGAAACTGTTAAAGCCATTACATACAGGATGCGTTACCGCATATTTTCCTAAAAGTATAACATAGAAAAAATATTTACAGCAACCCGTCCGGCCTCCTGCGTAATGTGTTTAGATAAAATAGAAAGTAGACACTTTTTAATGTCCGTAAACCGTATATTAAGTTTTTTTATAAATAGTAAATATAATATGTATTTGTTTATGAATTAGGCGTAAAGAGTTAATTTTAAAATTTTGAACAATACAACTATACAAACAAATATTATTTTATTTACTATGAACAACGGAAACAATAATGCATTATTGTTTTAATATGCTTATATAATTTATTATAACAATCTATGGATTATAATCAATTAAAATCTACAATAATAATTAATACATTTTAAATAGGTTTAAAATGTTGATTATTTAAAAAAAATGGTACATTACCATTTATTTTCCGTGAAATGTACTTAAATATTAAAATTAATATAGGAATAGGATTTTAATATCTTTAAAAATCCAAAAAAAAAATTGTAAAAATAATTTTAAAATTTCAAGAATTTATGGTAGGTAACAAAGTATTACAACTTATGTTATGATTTATTGTAATTTTTTATTGATAAATATTATATATATATATATATATATATATAAATATATGAAATAATATGAATATATAAATATATTTTATGTTTGCAATAACTTAAGCATATAATAATTATTTTCATTGTGTGTAGGTTCAAAATCTATAATATGCTATAAGTGCAATTCTAAATTTGACCCGAGGTGCGGTGATCCATTCAATCCATACACCATCGGATTAGTTAATTGTAACCTAACAGACGTGCCTAGTCATTTGAAGGGAAAAGAACCAGTTATATGTCGAAAGACTGTCCAAAATAGTTAGTATACATACATATTAAGTTATAAATAAATTTATAATTCAAATATTAAAAATTATATTTTATTCATATAATTGTATTAACTTTGTTATCTTAAAATGTTATTATCTCTTATTTTTATACACCCATAATCATAAACTATTGATTAGATGTAATCGATATTTTAATTTTTTTAAACAGTTCACAAGAGTATTCGGATAGTGCGGGATTGCGGTTACGTAGAGGATCCTGTTCATGATAACCAGGATTGCTATAGTAGACTCGGGTCACATGACATTGATGTGACCCATTGCTCCTGTACTTCGGATATGTGCAACGGTTCTAGTATGGTCGTCTCCAATGGACCGTATTGGTATAGTGCGACCACCACAGCGATGGTATCTACTGTCGCCGTCACCATAATGGGGTTCTTCCTTAATATACACCATTTATAGACGAGATTTACGAGAACAAACTCGATCAAAGTTAAACGAGAGATACAATTAATAAAAAAAAGTCATTTTAAATAACAAACGCTTTATAACATAGCCCAAACAGACTATATATATTGAAGATGTCACTCGACGGCTGTATTGAGATAATAAGTTCACATTGTCTCTCTAATAATTTTTATAATTATCGTGCTTAGAGTGCGGGAAAGCATTACGAAATCGCCAAAAAACACGGAAACAGCGCATACACTTTTATAGTATAATAGGTATACGTATACATAATACATGTATCCACACACTGAATTGGTCTTTGATTTAATTCATATAAACATAAATTGAATATACAGTCTACGAGCGATATCTTCATATTTTATTATTATAAGAAAAAACAATAAATATATATTTTATTTTATTTCAGTCAAAATGCGTGTTTTTTAATAGCTCAATTAAATAAAAAGTTTTTCGCACCATAACATGTATAAGAATAATAAATTGTGAATTTATATCAACTCAGATAACTCTCATAATACTATTTTAATTAGACTTATCTTTATTTTTAAGATGAATTCAAACCGTTTATTAAACTGTTTATTTTCGTGTTACACAAAAATATCCGTTATGGTACATAAATTCACTTACAACACGCGAATTATATTTTTATATTACATTATTGTAGTTGTAATGTTAGAAAATTGTTTTGGCTAAACCGTATTTTTAATTAGAGAAAAGCCGAATTGGAAACCTACAATGAACTGTACCTACACGATAACAATCTTAACATGTGCATATGCAAAGCCCGATATTAGATTTTTACATAATGTTACTCATGTTAAGCATTTTAACTTTAAATAAACAATTAAAATAATATAATTTGTCATATACATGTATATTATTTATTAATATTAAACTGTTCTTTTTATTTTATGCCTAATTGAATATGAAATAGTGTGGATCATGTACTAGTAACATAAAGCATATTAAATATAAGAAATTAGATAGCCTTGTTATTTTGACAAAATTTGAAATAAATTGGTTTTTAGTGCCTACCGCATAAAATCTATAGAAATACAACATACGTATATTCAAGAATATAATACTACTTTATTGACAAACATTACAATGTTAATAATAGGTTTAATAATAAAATTATTTACTATAATGTAAATTAGCTACTATTCTGTCATAGTTTATTTTTCGATTCTAAACACATATGTAGAAGTACATTTATCAGCTAAATAACTAATATAAAATATAATTTAAAAACTTTAAAATAAATATTATTTAAATTAAAATGAATTAAGTTAAAAATGCTTGTTTTGATTCTACAATAAATAATCTACTATTGATTTTAAAAATTATTTATTATAGTAATCACCAGTCTCAATTTCGATTTCTAAGAATTAGTACATGATAAATGTTAACTTCTATGTCTAAGCTGGTTATTTAATGAAATATTTAATAATTTACATTTTTTTTTGTTAAACTAGCATATGATTATGATTGTGCACCTTGGCGTAGTGACTCGAATTGTTCGTTTATATTTTTTAATAAGACAAATTATGCATAATTTTATATTATAATAACATAATTTAACATAATAAATTATTATAATTTGTCTAACAAATGCATAATATATTAATATTTTATATGATAAAAACATTTATAACACATAATATGACTCACTATATGTGATTCAAAAATAAAGATTTTGAAAATTAAGATAATTTAAGTATTCTGAGTAGAAAAAAATCTGTCAACTTATACCACTAAGTACGTATACCTACGTACATTATTTCATGATGTGTGTTTTATAATGTTATTACAGCAATTTATTTTTCTATTAGGAAGTTTCCAAAAATAATATTTTTAAATTATAACAAAATAATGATCATCATTTAAATATGTAATTAATTTCAAACCATAGCTATTAAATTTGAAATTTTATAAATTATTTATTATAAAGTAATTATAATTTAAAAATTTTCATGATCTTGATGAGTTTTAAAAACAATTGATTCTTATATAAACTAATATAAGCAATATTTATATATAAAAAAAAAATACTTATGTATTTTTAATATTTCTATACAGATTAAGAACAATTTAAGTGAGATTTTGTATTCAATTTTTAAGATTTTTAACTGAGCAAAAATTTTTTCAAAAAAAATCGAAAATGTTGATTGTTTATGCAAATAATTCAAAAATAGTCAAAATATTTTGAAAAATATATACCATATGGCATATATTAAAAATGATAATTTATACATTTTTAAATATTTCAAGCTTTTACTGTTATTTGTTTTTAAATTATAACAAAATAAATAAATCAATTTTGTCGAAAACTGGTTTACCATAAATTCCCGTTTTTTCTTATTTTTTTTTTTTTACTATTAACCCCCAAAATACTAACTAGGTTAAGTAAGATAATGATATACAAACAAAAATACAAAAATACATACACACAAACACATGATTTTAAACTCAAAACAACTATAGAATTCGTGTAGGATCTAAAACTACAAGATAAAATTATAAATATTTTATGGTATAATTGAACAACGCTGTAAAGTATACGAAAAATATATTATTTACTGCAATCTGCAACTATATGTAACTGTTGCTCATAATATAAAATTGAAATATATTTAAAACCATTTTGTTAGATTTGTATCCAGTTGTCAAAAATACCTCGTGGACCGTGATATCAATATTGTGAGACCAATGTACATTATGGGCAAGGTTTAGCTGGTTTATCGATGTACCGAGTAATATCCCATATTTGATATTATTTCTGTAACTTTTAGTGACATAATAATGATTAATAAAAGTAATGTATAAACAATCAATAATGGGGCTATTACTATAGTTAGCCGAAAGTTTCATTTTACAAATAATTTATATTTTATATTATATATATTATTTTTATTAAAGTATGTGTCTGAGCTGTACTCAGCTTAATATTGATGAATATGTTGATTTTTTGAATAATTCAGTTATAAGTTCTAGAATTTCTCAAATAGAGTTCTGAAAGTCGGGCAATTGATATTTTTAAAATGATTTTTTTATTACTGCTAAATGAAATAATAATATAACCAAGATATAGGTAACTGGTAAATGTTATTAATGGTAAAAGTCAAAAGGAAAAAAATATGTAGGCTATTTTCCATATTTTCGATCGTTTCAGAAAAAGTATGTGTTAATACTTCCCAGTTTATTAATATGTATATATTATATATATAACTGCTAATGGCATAGAAAACTTCAAGTATTTTATAATAAATCGTAATAAAATTAAAAATTTTGTTTCTAATTAGTTATGTTTATGTGTCACACAAATACTATTTGCATACGATTTAAAAATTTAAAACTCGAGAAATCAATATTTTTAATTTATTTTGTACGCAATTTGCCCTCAATTTTGTTGCGCAGTAAACATAATATATATATTTATGTATAATAAATAATGTATTTTATTTAGCCCATCCCCTTAGAAATTTGTTTAGGAATATCACTGGGTATATATAGTATGTACATACATGCGTGCGTATAAATGTATATCGTGTATAATATATAAGTGTACTTGTGTACTATAAACAATATTAACTCTCACATTTTGATAGTCATTTAGATATGTATAGGTGTTCCATTATTATTTATTGCCACTGGATTTATAGCACTTATAATATCGAAAGTCAAAATAACAAAATACATATCTGTATGTTTAAATTGCCCTTCGTTTGGATTTTTGATTATTTACAATTAATAATGTAATATTTATCTACATCTGTATAATAGTAAGGCATGATTTCGAATGTATAACTTTCGAAAACAATTAATTAAAATTGTATATAGTGTATATTATAAATATATAAATATAAATTATGTAAATGTATGTATATCAACTGTATTAAGAACTAATCAATAAAAATGGACACCTGTCTCTGTCCTGGTACGAGTATAAATTGAAGGCGCCAGAAAGCGGTAAATGTAATATTATCATGAATGGTACCTATATGAACTATGTACATTAATACACTATATAGTATACATAGAATAATATACAGAGGGATTATATTAACTGCAAAAATTCAATTATTCGATGTATTGACGTTGGATAGGTTCGTGTAATTCTTATTATTGACAAATGAATCACTATAGACTTTTGGCATTTAAATGACAATCTTTATTTCTTATTTTAATTTATACGCATTGTAGAACGCATATACTGGAAGAATAATTTGTTATTCATTCTTAGCATTTAAAATGTCTGGATTAAAAATCAATTAAAACATTATTGAAGTTATGCAAGCGAATAAAGATGAGTGAATAGACAAATGCAGCTCCACGGGGTTTGCGGTCAAAATAAAAATATTAAAATATATAAGCGCTTTACACAGGGTTTAAAAAAAAAAAACTCACAAATCAATACTTTTTGTAACGATACGAATGTCTGCTGTAAAAATAATCACTCTGTAGTGCATACACCCAGTGTGATACCATCATACGTATAAAACAAGTTGAAAATAAAAAAGTAGTTTTCACTCTTACCCTTCGACGTATACTTTCCCAGTATAAACTTGGCCGCGTCCCATCTAAACAAGTGATGGGTAATAAAATTTAAAACAACATAAACGTAGGTATATGCAGTACAAACGACCGTCGACAGATCACTTCCCGGCGGCTTTCATAACAAAAAAACATTATCATCGTCTATATTATGTTATTACACGTCTTGTCGGATGTAGGCCACGGTCTAGTAATATTTAAACGTGGTTAATTATAATAGCATGTGCCGAGCGGTTCCGTAAAGTCACCACGGCAGGTTCGTTTAATATATTGTTTATTTTAAGTACCTATATAATGAATACGCGTCGAAAAGCCGTCGGCGACGACGGCGTACAGCAGGTCGATAAAAAACAAACATAAATTACATTATCAACGTAAAAACGATGCCAAAAATAGACCACAATAATACATTAATATATGATAGCCGAGCCGCGCCGCTTGATCGGGAGACGGATCCCAAACCGACGACCGGTTTATCCGGCGCGGGGAAGAGAGACATCATCTTAATCCATGCGTTTATGCCCCCCCATCCGGTCTCGTGCGACGATCGCTGCAGTGGATGCCGCGGCGCCGTCCCGAAGACACGCGAAAAAACCTACGCCGCCAAAAAAGAAAAGAAAAATCACAATAATAATAATGATAATAACATAATATTGTCTCGACAATATTACATGAACATAGGCGTTTATACAGATATAGTGGCAGTCGGCCGCGGTCCATTTGTCTCAACAGTATAATTTTAAAAACAAATAACTGTCAGCGGTTCGTCAATCAAGTACAGCGGCTGATCGAGATTCGACATTGATGTACGGCGACGACGGCGGCGGAACACCATCCGGACTAATATCCACATAATAATTATTATTGTCGTTGTTAATAATTATACACAGTGAGTATTTTACATCTTAATGCTATATAATTTTATCGCGCACGCGACGACCATCGTCCGGTCTGCGGTCCGAGAGTACCTATATAAACATAAATATCGTTTAAAATATACGTAAAAAATAAAAATAAATTTTATAATTGCATCAATCGTCTCGCTATTGTGGGTACGCGTGGCCGCAGTTTACCCATATACAATTTAGCGTACATTAATAATATTATTATAATATCGCATTATACTTTCGCGTCGAAGAGGTCTCACTTCCCTCTCCCAAACATACACACCGACCCCCCACCACACCCGCGAGCTTGTCGCGCGGTAGCGATCGCGAATGTGCACCGTCGTCCGTCGTCCTGCAACGTCATAGTTGTAGCCGGTCCGCGATGCCGCGCGTTTACGGTCCCGAAAGCAGTGAAGACGTACAGCCGCAATGACTACGGTACGCGCCGGGACCGCCGACAACGTGCCGACGACTTCGGGCGCCGGGACGAGACCGCCGGCGGCGGCTACGGCTGTCGCCTCCGAGGATATCGTCGTCGTCCACGAACGGCCGTCGACGAACGGCGCCGCAGCCGACGTCGGCGGCGACCGCAGGAGCAGGAGCGCCGGTTCGCGGGACGCCGTGGGACGCGAGAATTGGAAATTGGCGCAGCACGGCGTCAACGGTTCTGCTTCCGCCGGATTACGATCCACCGGTGCTGCCGCCAAAGGTGGGTCAGCCGATAGCGATTGGACGAGTGAGTAGTTATAACTTATAATATACTCGCATACACGAGTAAAGGCGCGCGTACTCGCGGACAACTTTTTTTTCTTTTTTTTTTTTTTTTTTGAACGTTAATGTGTAGTCATAGTTATGTTACAATAGTTAAATACCAAACGATAAATCAATGATTGTACTTACCACGATTATAATAAGCGTACAACTGCAAGTCAGTGGTCATATACAACGTCCAATTAGTGACATGATCGAATAGATTAAAAAATGCTATAAAAAATAACAGATTCTGGAACTATTTGGTGTAGATCATAACTTTTAATTTTTTAGTGAATTATGATCATTTTTAAATATTTATATTTTTCATACCCTTATCTCACTTAAAAATTAAAATATCATAAAAACCAACGAGAGAACACAGATAATATTCTTACCTAAAAGTTTGATAATTTGTCAATTCACTCTAATATCCAAACTAAAAGCACACTATTCCCAATTGTGCTCCCAATCAATTTGACTTCGAATGATCGTCAATAATCATTGATACACTATAGCTATCTTTTTTTTATACGCAGAACTTTAATTCTTAAAATTCTCGCTATTAAACACTTATAATCCTATAAATGCTCTCTCTCTTCTATTACTCTCTCTGCTGGTTTAACCCTCCATTAATAGGTCACTGTGATCAGCAAGTTCGGAGTTAATTACAAGTACTTATTACTCGTATGTATTCGCGTCGATTAAATTAACCTGTAACCGTTTTTCCTATTCTTTAACGAACGTTGACGATCGCATTTGTTTCTGACATGCTACTTACCTACCTTCAATAATAACAATATTACCCAGTCTCGTAAGTACGTTGTAAAACTAATATGTATAACCCATTTGTATACTATTGTGTAGGCATGTCTATTTCAATGTAATCGTACCTTTTTATACACATATGACGTTATTATGTTGTTATAGTTGTACAATATTGTAGTCTGTCTGCCTGTGTAGGTACTAGACAAGAAATTGTACTATATATAAAAAACCAGCTGCGATCTCGTCTTTAGAAAAAAGTCGTTTTATTTTAATTATATTCCTCCGTATTTCGTGTTATAATATACAGCGGCTATATGATAAAAAATGTCGTATGAACATTTAAACTTTTATTTCTTAATACTATGAGATATAATTATATACTTGTACATTATAGAGACGGGACACCCGTGGGTGTCTTCAGAATTTTTCTAGGGGGGGGATAAAATGATTTTAAAAAATAAATGAAGATTTTTATATATTTTATACTTATATTTTATTTATATTACATTGAATTATTAAAATTTATTAGGTAACAAATTTAAAATTCTAGGGGGGAGGCAAGTGCCCCATTTTGCCGTCATCCTAGAGATGCTCACGGGGATACTTAATCACATTATTTTCATGATAAATTAACGCTTTTTGAAATTTTATTTTTAATAATTATTTGACATAATGATATGCAATTTTTACGTCCTTTCATGTATTAACTTATTCATATTTAAAGTAGAATACTTTGAAATTTTGTTGAATATTTAAATGTTATATATTTTGTAGGGATAGTTACGTGACATAGATACAATTTATCGTTTTTCTAATCCAAAAATTATATGTTTTTATTGGTATCTAAAAAAAAAAACATTTAATTCAGTAGTATTCGTTACTAAATTAAAAAAACTAATCTAAAAGCTTTGTTCATTAATCACCAGCTGTATTTATTTTTTCATTTATAGATATTATATAGATACACTATTATTTTTAATATTTTACTAACATGAATAATAAGTGTTTACCTAATGTATGCAGTTTTTTTAAACTTAAAGTAATATTTTTTAGGATAATTGATTATCAACATCAATCAATTTCATTATGATTTCAATTTTACTTTTTATTAGTTTTATATACACTTTAATTAAATATAATACTTTAAATTTAGTATAATACGACACGACTAATTCACAGATTGTAATTAAATACGTTTCTTTTACAACTCCTCTCCCAAGTAAAAATGATACATTTTATTAACTTTTATCTATATCTAAAAGTATTGATGCCGTTGTATATCAGAGTTCGAAATTTCGAAATTTATTTAAATAAAATCCAAATAGTAAATAATATTTTTAATCTAATGTGTTTAAATAAAAATGTATTCGAATGAATTTTTGAATATTTAAAAATTATTTCCTTTTGTTAATATTAACATATTTGTTATGATCTAGTCTATATTATTAAAATATATTGAAAAATGATATAATCACAGAACAGTATCATAATGAAATTATTTATTTATTATTATTTTTTGTTGTATAAGAAAATAACAATACAAATTACAAGTTATATGAAGACTCATATGAATTATTCACTAGACATTACGTTATCAACACAAATTAATAATATAAACCGCTACAATAAATAATCATCATAACTATATAATACTCTTCCAGACTTCCATAAATGTAATGTGAGAAAGTAGATATTTAGGAACCGGAACGAGAAGTTAACATATTATAGTCGCTTCAGCATGATGACTATTGTATTTCCTGAATGAGTGTGTTTTTAAAGTAAACTGTGAAGTACATGTCTAAAATGATAAATATAATCTAATAAAAATAGAGTGTATATTGATCAATCGTTTGCGTTTTTCGTAGTGTATTAACGTACACCAGTGCTAAATGCTATACATACTACTCATATAAAGGTGAAAAAATAATGACATGTATTTAATAAAAATATGATAAACCTCAATAAATATTTAAAAAAATGATGTTGATATACATTTGGAGGAAAAATTATTAATTATTATGATACAATTATATTACCTATGTACAGACTTTTCACCAATTATGAAGACGTTAGGAATGTATAAAAAATGTGTTCTGCAAACGCAACCTACCTAATTGTATTCCACAAAAAAAAAAAAAAAAAATTATATTGTTAACCGTCAAAATAATTATTTAAGTACCTTTATAGTTTTAGGTATCTACTTTGTAAATTTTATTGACATTTGACACATATATCATACACGACAAAACATAATATTTTATATGTCCATAATGATGCACGACTCTTATGATTATGGTCTAGTTATTGTTTGTGAAATGGTGTGCCGTATGCAGACAGAGATTGTTTCGTAGGTTCGACTTACATTTCGTCGCATAGTCTACATATTACAATTATTACATTTACAAACTACGCGGATCGAGAAGCATAACTAGTTGGATTTAACTTATATATGCCTAGATTAATGTCATCGTCTAGTTCATATTATATATACATGAATTTGTGTACAAACATGTATCATATTATACTGCATGTTGTAACACAACATTATAAAGTAGTAGGTACCTATTTACTATTTAGGTATGGTCCGCAACGACCGGAAACGCTGCACAGCCGTACAGGGTACATGTATACTATATATTTATGTATATAATTATGCATGTACGTTGGTTTTGAAAGGGAAAATTCAGCATTAAACTTCCACCGTGGTATTTTTACTATTATTTTTATCTTTTGTTACAGTCTTACATACCTACATCTAATAAACAGCATAAATAATTATTTAGCATTTAAACTTAGTCGCCTTTTAAACGAGTATCTATTGTATTGTATTTAAATCCACATCTAAACCTAGAGTGATTTTTTAAATTATTAAAGACATAATATATATATATATATATAACTATATAAGGTAATTTACTAATCTTGTTCACCTCATTAGTTTATTTAATAAAATTCTCATATTTGGAATTTTTGAATATACTTTAAAACCATATTTTCAAACTATTGAGATTTTTTTGAGTGTGTTCTGGCGATTTTAACTTCTGTTTTTCAAATCAGGACCCCCTCCCTCTTACTATAAATTATTTAGTGAATATTTTTTTGATGTACTTAATTAAAAATGTGTACAAGTATTTTTTAACTCCTTGTAGAACATTTAAATTAAGGATTACAGTCCTTAAAAATAGTCTTATAAAAATATAAAATAACTTTAATGTAATATTGGATCTAGCATTTATTAAACTTTAACAATTATTAAAAATTATAAATATTGATAGATATTAAATTTTTTAAATAATTAACATATTTAAATTACCATATCTTTTAAATCTATTACTACGAAATATGGATCTATTATCTTTACTACATAAAGTTAAAGAACGCAAAACATTTGAATTTTAATAAAATAATTTTTAGATTTTCCCTTATTTTATTATTTTATTGATTCTATAAGACTATAGATATAATCAACCATATAATATATATAATATTTTTCATTGAAGTCAGTATGGAGTAAAAATGTGTATCCAACATGTAAGAATCTTGTCTAGTATTGCATTATAATTTATACTTATTATGTTAAAATAGTATATTTACCTACCGCATGCCTTTATCTCTTAAAAAAAAATTTACAACAATATAAAATATAAATTACGCACTGAACAAACACGGAATTAATTCAATATTTCCTCATGTTCACAATTTTATAGTTCGTACTAAATATTTTAAACATTGCTTGAAAAAAAATAAAAATACTAAAAAAAAAGAATGAGAAATTCAAAAACGTTTCCAAAACAATATTGTATACAACATATGTAATAAAATTTTCTTTCATGGAGGAAGTAATTTGCAAACTATAATATCAAATTTCAAATCAATTTGAAAACTATATAATAAACGTATACGTAAATTTTATTTTTGCTTGAATTATTATTTTCATAAATGTAATGCATAATGACTAATGATTTATTCTAAGCCTTGTATTTATTATTTAATAGAGTTAATATTTAAACTTTTAAAACATGATTTTATTTTCAGTGCATAGTATATGTGAATTAACGGAACAAGATAGTCTTGATGATCATTTTTCACATATAAATCGTAGACTAGTCCAAAGATCTTCCAAAATGAGTCGACCCAATGGACTCAAAAGTGGTCGGACTCTAATGAACCTATTGACGAGTAGAGGGACGGACATGCTACAACATACGGAACCTTTGTAAGTAGTTTGATCAAATGTTTATCGCATCTATCGGCTATTACTGTTTTTATTTATTTTCATATATATATATATATATATATATATATATATATATGGACATTACATATTTATTTATTATTATAATCATGATTTTTATTACAGCCATCACTTTTGGGTGACGCTCAGCTCGCTTTACGGCATGGTTTTGGTTATCCTCATGTTCGCCATCTGTTTGATAGAAGTAATGGACAATCCTGTCAAATTATTATCAATACAAGGGATTTATCTCATGTACTTGTACTTGGGAAGCATAGCCGTTATTATATGTATTTATGTATGGGTATTAATCGATTCGTGCGTCAGCTTAACTTCAGACGAAACTGAAATCGTCACGTCCGACTCATCATCGCCGGGTGTCTTTACATTGAACCGGTTCAACTCGTTGAAACAATTTAGTTCGTTGAAACGTGCGCATATTTCACGTTCAAAGACTTCGGACACCAGTTTTTACTTGAGAGTAGGAGCTTTAGGTAAGTTTAAAATGAGTAATTTTTGGGCTATTATATAGGTAAATCAATTGATACTATTCAATTTTTGTACCATATAACCCATATTTTATACTATAAGCTCTATTGCACATATATTTAAATGAAATTTACTTCTTTGTATTTTACTACGTATTTAGGTTTGATCAGAGTAAAAACTATAAATAATATTTATTTACCTACACTATTTAGGTGATTTATTTATTTATACTCGAGGTCTCAAAAAAAAACTTACTTTTAAAAAGTATAATTAAATAATTTAAAATATATAGGTATATACTACTTAGACACCTATTACCAAAAAGTATTTTATTTTACTAATTATTATGTCTGAATAAAAATTACTAAAATTTTATTTAAGAAAATTGAAATACGTATTTGAATATTTCACTTACCTAACTACTTTACTAGGTTAATTGATTTTATTTAAAAAAAAAATTCAAGAATATATTTTTCAGGTACTTAAATATTTTTCTGGAAAGCATTCTATTCGTGAATTTATCTTATGTATTTTATGTTCCTAAAATATAAAAATATCAATTTAGTTTTGTATTTTTATTTTTTTGTTTTTGTTATTAACTAATAATAATACCTGATGACTTATTAATTGTGTTTCAGTGTTCGGTTTAGGAACGCTTGTATTCAATGGTTTAGAAATGGCCATGTATTCCATGATGGATATTAGCTGTTTAAACGATGTCATTTTCGTACATCCAATACTACACGGACTGTTTACATTTTTACAGATGCATTTTCTTTTCATAAATTCTCAGGTAAAATTTCATTATTTACCCAAATAATTAATTGTGATGCTTTTTATTAATTACTGTCTACTAGTCTACTGCAGTTTTATTCAAAATTACTTTGTAGTTTATCTGTTTGATAATTAATAATTATTAATGATTGATGAAGATATGTGACACTGTCACAGCCGTGTGCACAGATATTATATTATTAAATTTATGTACCTATTATTATTATTGTATACTGCCCCACAATCTTTTCTAGGTCTAATCTTTTCGGCCGAATCGAAAATACAATTATAGAGTAACAATAGTTAAAATAGTATACGTATAATATCATAATATAGACTAATCCAATCATAAATGGTTATATGGATGAGGGAGTATTTTAAACTAGTTTAGACTTTTTTGTGTATATTAAATTACATTAGATTTTTCTAAATTATTCATACTAGTTATACTAGGAATTATAATATAATTATTTAAACTTAACTTTTAAAAAGTCAAAATATAAATTTTAGTCATTTGAAAATTATGATAACTTGGTTGCTTTATTTTTTATCTGTAATTTTTTGTAAAAATTTGCTTTAACGAACCACGGCCACCAGATATTAAAACGCTATTTAAAAATAGATAAAAAATAATACATAATATTTTATCACTACATAATACTTAACAGAAAAATAACATTTTAATAATATACAATTCAGTAGTCAATAGGAATGTACTTTAAATACTAATATATCGATAATATTGTTCAAAAATATTGACCGGTGATAAAAAACTTTGAAAGATTCTCATACTTATTATGACTTATGATGACCAGATAAGCACTCTTTTTCATTAGAAAAAACTCTTTTTTGATAGATTGTCTTAGTGTCCTTAACACTAATGTTAAGTACCTATATGAAATCTTACTCATTTAAAAAAAAATATTATTACGGATGTATATACACGGTAATAATTTTTTATAATTTGATTATTAATTTATACATACTTTATGGTTCGACTTAATGTATATTAATACCAGATTATTTGTAATGTTATTAAAGTTAAATATTTAGAAAACATATTATTAAATATTTCTATTTAAAGTTTTAATTTTTTCAATATTCATGAATTAGAATATTTCCAATGAATTAAATTTCAAAGAATTTTCATCATAAAGAAACACGCATAAGCTAACATAATAATGAATTTATAATTTAAAATAATTAGTTTTATAGTTAATAATAGAAATTAAAATAATATTGTAATAAAAAAAAAAAAACCAAATTATATGGATGGAGATAATTTTTAAGTAAAATAGGTAGAATAGTATACATAGTGGCTAAAAAAGGAGAAGTTTTTTTGTGATAGAAAAGTAGAGTTTTAAAATGTACTTTTTTTGGATTTTTATATCTGGTCACCATAGTTTTACTGCATCTCCACGATTAGCATTAGCGCACGTCCATATGAATATTAACACGACTTTTTTAAGTTATAACTTATAGCACAATGTATGTAGTATGTTATATAATGTATTATAATAACACATTTAAATTAATAACGAGAAATTGTATTGAGATGTATAAATATATAAAATGTAATATATATATATAAGTAAATTAAACTTGGCCATTTGAATAGTATAAAAAAAAGTTAGATACAAGGTTATAGTGTTTTGTGGATTATATGAATGGATTACAGATGCGCAGAGGCCAATGATTGAGGTATAGGTAAAACTGCACTTTCGTCCCACAAGTAAACGAAAAGAAAGAAGTAGAATGAAAAATTATTTTATAATAGTACCTATCTATGTGTATTACAAGAGTAGCAAAATAGGTTTAAATTGTTCTTTAATATATTATTGAAGATTTTAGAACGTGACATTATTGTATATTAATTTGGTAAGTAGCAAGTATAATTTATAAATCCGTTGATGTTCATAATATATTTATTAAGAAAAATAAACTCTAAGCATGGTCCATGACGACGCCGTGCGTTGTACCTGCGTCGTGTACAGGAATCACGCACCACTTGCTAAAAAGATTAAATAATAATCATCATACACGGTTTATGAAAATTAATTCTCTTTAAAATCTGATTTTTCGTGAGAAATTTTCTTCAAAACATTCATCTTTACAGCATAAATATTTTAACAGATTCTTCGTCGTTACTGTATTTACTAACTGTTTTTCTAAATTCTACACGATTTTCATTATGATGGGTTAGGTTATAAATAATAATAAACTTTAATATATAATATGTTGAAATTGCTTTGATGTTTGTGATAATGAAACAAATTTGTTGACAATTATTAACAGCATAATAGAAAAATTGAAATAAAAAATAATACTGAACAATAAAAACATGAACTATGCTCGATAAAGAAATATTTATAAATTCACTTGCGTGGTTTTAGGTGTTAGTCGAAAGGTTTGGTTTGGCCGCTAGATTTGGATTCATGCATTTAGCTGCCACAAACATTGCTTTATGGGTGCGATTGGTAATCTGGGAAAGTGGCATTGAATGGATTTACTTCATCCATCTAGCACAAACATCGAACATAGGCATGTCAGCATCAACATATGAATCCAGTATTCCTACGCCCTTACAACTGCGTGGATTTCCTAGTTTTATCACCTCGAGACACACGCGAGACCTAAAACCAGGTATCTATAACTAAATATGTACTAACTTGTTATATCTTTATAACTTATAAGATTTATACACAATTATGTATAAAAACAATTATAAATAATAAGTATTAACAATATAATATGACAATAAATTATAATAATTATCTGTAAAAAAAAAGACGAACAAATAAGTAAATTTTAACCAATTAATTTTTAAATAGATTTAAAAATAATATAATAGGTTTTAATAATTTATAGTTTAAATTAAAATATACTATTATTTAATTTTTGCAGATTATAATGGAACGTTTAGAAATTCTATCTATCAACCTGTGTCCGAGAATCATGTGACACAAGTAGTAACACTTCATCATTGTTTAAATACTAATTCACTTGGTCAACTTTTAACGTCTTCTATGCCATATCTCTATCCGTTTATTGTGCAATTTAGGTAAGTCGATTATAATGATAAATGCTTAATAATAGGTACTGATGACAATGATAATATAAGATAAAAAGTTTATGTAAAAGTTTTTTCCAACAGTAATAATATTGTTAATTAGTTACAAGTCATAAATTACCTTACATTACAAACATTTATAAAACTATAATAATAATAATATATCCTCATTAAGTTAATTTTGTATTTATTGATTTATATTTTGTTCATACTCATTTAAATAATTTTTTAAGGTTTTTTTATACGATAAAATGTATTTATTTGATTCATATTCATTTCCTATCCTAACTTAACTTAACGGATTCGTAATGCGGTAAACCGAGTTCAAAAACTCAAATTGAACTCAAACTTTCGTGCTGTATGTCCCCAATTCTTATTACTCCCTTTACACGTTACTATAAGACTCTTATCTGCTACCAATACAACGAAGTAATCCATTAGTAGAAGATACTGATTATTATAGAAAATACTTAAGTTTTTAAAAATATTTTTTAAATAAATTTATTTTTTACTTTTTTGAATGACAAACATAGTTTTTAATTTTATATTTCGATAATTAGTATTGTTTAAAGTATTTTGATCTGTATAAAATATATACAGTTTTAGTTTAAGGAATCAATAATACATTTGTCATTAAAACATGTAAACAATTTAAAAAACAATAACAATAAAAAATAGAGAAAAAAATATTTTCAAAAACATTAATAGTTTTTAAAATAGTGAGTGTCTTACGTTAAATGGATAATTCAGTATTTCAGTATGGATAAAAAAAATAAAAAAATTCATAGATAAAATTAATTGTTATATCACAGTTTGATTGCTGCGGGAGTGACTTATGTAATGGGCCAGAACGTGGGCATTTGTCAGATGAAACCGTTGAAACGTAACATGCAAAAACCGCAACCGTCATCGCAATTGTCGTCGTCGTCAGCGCCCAAAGACCCGCAAAAAGACTCAGCTGCACATCTGGGACGGTTGTACGTGTCTCAGGGCGTGAGCTTTTCAGGCGCCAACAAGGGCCTGTTCCTCGGTCTGCTGACGTTGGTCATGGTAATCGTGGTGGTCATCATATTTCTGGTGGTCAAAGATGACGTGGACTTCGCGTCCGACACCCTGTTCTGGATGACGTCCACCACGCTGGCCACCATACTGTCCACCGGCACACTATTGGGCTGCGTGGGCCTCTACCAGGTCCGCAAGCTGTGTCACAACGGCAACCAGCTGTCGGCGTTAGACACGATGCTGGCCACCGTGTCGGGCGCGGGCGTCGTCCTGTACGCGCTGTTCAGCACCATGGTGGGCGCCGTCGGCATGGCCACGTCGCAGCCCGGCACCTCCGAACAGAAGGTGGACGCCATGCTGACCGCCGTTAACGTGCTGCAGCTGGTCCAAGTGGCTGTTCAGAGTTCATTGACTGCCGAGGCTTACAGGAGGAGTTCGTGGTCGAGACATCAACTGTTCTCCAAACCAGGTCGTCAGGTACGATAACCTGTAATAATTTATTATAAAACCTATTAACTATAGGCAGTGGTCCAGTATTGGTGGTGTCATTTTTAGTGGTGGGGGAGGGTGACAACGCGAACAGCAAATTTTAGTACTAGTTTTCTGCGTTTTATTGGCTTTCCCTAAAATTTACAAACGCACTGATGGCCTAGACATAAAAATTATAAAAAATATATCATGAAAATCATATGTATAGGTAATTCGTATAACATAATATGTGTTTAGAGCCATAGCCCATACAGGTAATGTGCATTTAAAATTTATAGTTTTAGGTATATATTATTGGTTTGGACGATAAAAGCCATTTCTAATTTCAAACTTTTCAGTTTCTTAATTCATTAAAACATTATTGATTTAACCCTTTAACTCTATACGGCCATATATACGCAGGTACATATCAAATAAATATATTTACTTCGATTAAAAAAAATTGTTAAGGCGATAAAAAGAATTGACCTGTTTAAATATTGGCATCTTTATTAAAAATAAATCTCAAATTTGGGCCATTAACCAATATAACGTTTACTATCATAATCATATCTTATAACATTAAGCCAATATTTATACTTTATATATGATATAATATCAATCATTAATCAATACCTACAAATCATCTGATTTTGCCATTTATACTATGATATAATTTATCATAATTATAACTTTCGTCAATTTAATAAACAAAAATCAAAATTTATAATTCATAAAATAATAAACTTAAAGTTATAGATACTTGAAAATATAATGAAAAATCATTAATTTATTCAATTTTTTATCAAATTTGTAATCTTCAATTGTGTTTAGTTAAAAGCAAGCTTTAAAAAATACATACATTTTTAGAACTTAAAACACACCAACACCACTGGCTATAAAGTAAATATGAAGTAACATGCTGTTTAAAATCATTGAACATGCGTATTGACGCATGTTAGTATAACATAATATCGTTAATATCTCATAAAAAAAATTTAAAAAAATATGATATATTGGACTGTTACGATTAATAAATATTATTATGTAGTTAGACAATATGGCTATAACAGTACAACCAATTTGTGCATGTTTGTCTAAAAGATAGCTCGTATGTGCACAAATTTATGAAGAATAGTTATCCTTTTTTAAATGGTTTCCTGGTAAACTACAAATTATAAGCTTAGGTATTATAGTAAAAAATATTGTATAATAAATACAGATGTTAATACATACTTACCTATCACAGAATGTACTTGACCTATTCATTACTATACTTTTATTACACAAAATTTGAATTTTATTTTTCCAAGTGCTGTACGTGATTAAAAAAATTCTACTTAAGCTATTCCCCGCAGATGTTTCTAATGTTTCAATACTAAACAATTACTATTATTGTTTATAAATTTTATTTGCCGCGGCGCATAGGCGAATAGGCATTTTGACGTACCTACCTTGAACTCCCATAATTTACGCTCTTCCCATTCGTCCTTTGTACAAAATTGTAGTAAATGTTTTTGCATAGCCATAAAGATTACTAATGTAATTTTATTTTTTATACACGCAGATAATCACATACTTGCTGTGCAGCAACATCGCTCTGTGGATGTTCGACTCGTTTATTACGCAGAGTTGGATAAGTCAAGAACGACAATTGCGTTTTATGGGTTTGCTATCCTGGGGACTGCTGTCCAGGATATCGCTGCCATTAGTAGTTTTCTACAGGTTCCATTCGGGAGTACTTTTATTACAAATCTGGCATAAATCATATAAATGAATATTTGGCTAGATAAAATTTTATACTTGTACTCTTTTTTTTTTTTTTACGATGTGCAATATTAGTTATTATTTTACTATTATTATTTATTTTTGTTGGAAATAAACCAACACTATTTTTAAAATTTTGAAAATACTTGGTTTTCTTCCTTTTTTTTTATGTCGGAACCATATTGATTAATTCATTTTTATACAAACTACTTATTAATAAATAGTCTAATAGTAGGTAGTGCCGGCCCAAGACACGTGCGAACAGGGCGGTCACCCAGGGCGCCAGAGACGCATTTGAAGGTATTCAAAAAATTGTAAAAACTTATACATTTTTATTATTTAACGAAATAGTGAACTAATATAAATATATAAATATAATAATATACATTAAAATTATATTACCACGCACTGTGATTACAACTTTGGGGCACAAGGATTTATAATCATCATCACTACCGCTGTACCAATTTATCTGGCGCCGACGATTAGGTATGAATGTACACGTTCGTTGTGTTATATGTCATGAAACGTATTTTCATTATTGTGGGAAAACTGTTCAAAATGAAATTATTTGTATAATTAGAAATTTACCGAAATAGTAGGTATACTAGATCGAGTTTAAAAAAGCTATGTATTATAGAATTATGTTGGATTGCACCCAGGACATAAGTCACGTTGAACAACTTTTTTTGATTTTAACATTTTTTGGTATAGATAAGAAATATGCATTAAAGAAAATTTTATCATGTTTGAATCTATATAAATTACTCGTCTGGTGAAGAAATTCATGAGATTTTATAATAATGTATAATTGTACACTAGAATTATGTAACAGTAGGTGTCAGGGTTATAACAACGGGGCGAATTATATGAAGGGTAAAATTAAAGGCGTACAAGCAAGAATATTATGAACCAATTATCGAGCTTTTTTTATGCCATGTGATTGTCATTTACTGAACTTAGTAGTTGGAGATAGTGTTTCTTGTTCTATAATCTATTGGGTCAAAAAACTTCTTTGGAGCGATTCAACAAATGTACATGTTATTCTCTGCATCTGTGGGTCGTTGGTATATCTTAAAAAAACACATTAAATCTTTATCTGTAAAGCCATTATGTGAGGACTTGATGGGAATGTCAAATAGATTGTATTAATACCATTAAAATTGAAATCTCACAAATAATAGATGCACTGAAAGAATTAACTGAATTAAAACAGTATGTAATAATAATATTATCATCTACGAAGATAAATTGTCTAAAACAATGAAAATGTTATTTAAGCTGCATTTTTAAGGGCACCTTTTAAAAATTTTCCCAGGGCGCCATAATAATTCGAGCCAGCACTGATAGTAGGTACCCACTCATTAGTTAAGTAGTACAATAAAAGTTATACCCTAAACTGAAAAGCAATTGTGTAATTTAATAACTGTTTCAACTTATAGAAATGATTGAAACAAAAATATACTCCCAGAGTGGAGATCTTATCAACAATGAAAATACTGCCTACTTATTATTTGATTCAATAATATGTATTATGTTATTTATATTATGTCAAAATAGTTTTAAATTTTTAAGTTTAAATCAAATACCATATTTTCTAACACAGATTTTTTTTTAAATCAATAATTATTTATAGTACATGTTATTAAAAAGAAAAAAGTGACAAATATTTTTCTTCAATCTCATTTTATATTTAAATAAAACAAACTAATTTCAAATTGTATTGTATGTTTCAAAAATTTTTTGAAAAATATTGTGTAGACTATAGCTTATAAAAGTAGGTACTACCCAGTAGTTGAATAATTTAAAAGTTTTGGTACAATTAACAATATCATGTTTCTGTTGCATAAGATGAAAAATAAAACAAAACTTACAAAATGTCAGTTACATTACTTAGGTAACACTTCAAAAATAAAATTTGTCTTTGATACAATTAAATTATTAATATTTAACAATTATAAATTATCTATACAAATAGACTTGAAAAAGTTCAATATGACATTCAAAAGTCTTACAAAACATAAAAAATTTAATTAACAATAATTTATAAACTTAACTATGAAGATAACAAAGCTATATTGATTTCTTTTACCATTTTAACTCGATTAAGCATTTTTTCAAGTGAATCTTTATTTAATGCACAAGTTGAATACCACACAGGACTATCGGGTACACAAGATCTTTCAGGAGTTAGGTAAAACAAATCATTTCTTGTTTTAACACTTTCTGGGCTGTAAAATATATATATATAAAGCAAATAAACATTTATAAAAACATCTAAATTCAAATGTTTGTTGAAATAATTACCATTTAGATAAGTAGAATTCATAAAGCTTTACAGGACATCTTAATGGATTTTCTTCATTCTCATGCTGCTCGTACACTTTTTTCTTTCGTGAATTTGGGGAGTCTATAAAATAATAAGAAAAAATAAATAACATTTTTTTTTGAATCATTAATATTAAACAATATTTAAAATATACCAATGGATGCTTGTGGAGGATAAAAACGCAATAATACATTTCTATAGGTTCCTGGAGCTTTAACTCCTGATGTTGATGGCTGGTTTGGATTTCTTTTCCAATGCTTCATAATATGGGAAAACGATAGTTGCATATGTTCTTCTACGCTCTAAATTAAACATAATGTTTTAACAAAAATGAAAACTGTTTAATACTCAGTATACTATACTATACTTACCGTTAAATTAAAATGTTTAGTATTAAAAAATATCAGTGTGCATAGCAATACGTAAGGAGAATGAGCCCCGAGCTGTTTACTTTCCCAAAGATACTCTTCTTCAACACGTGTAACAATATACTCTATAATCAAACGGTCATTATAATACATAAACCATATTCAATAAAATAATTTTATATTACTTGAATCATTATAGAGTTCAGTGAATTTTTTAGCTATTTCATTTAATGTATCAGTAAATTTTTCAAATGACATATCAGTAAATATATTATCAATTCGTCCATTTTCAAATAAATATTGTTGAACACCTAAACACAAATAATAAATTGTGTCTGGAGCATATTCACTTCCATTTGGCTTGCGTACCTCTTTCACAAATAAGCATAGACAATAATTTAGTTCATAGGCTGTTAACTGCAAGAGATCCAACTTAAATATATTTGTTTTTTTCACGTCACACACATAACTAGATAATGTTTTTTCAAATTCTAAACTTTTTGTACATGCCCACTGTCGCCAGGCATTAACTCCTAATGTATACTTAAGACACATATTTGCATCAGGTTTGACATTTGGAATGGTATAAAGAGGATTTTGCACTACTTGTTGTATTAATCCTGATTGAATGCATTGTGCCTGAGGATATTCATTTTTACGAGAACGTTTTGAATTTGAGTTACGTTGAGATTGTGAACGAGGTGCACGTTTTCTAGGAGGTCGACATAACGTATCTTGAGGGGAAGATATCATATTTTCTTGAGTTAAATCTTAAAAAAAATAAATATTTTATTTTAAAACAATTTTTTTTAATAAGTAGCTTTTAGTCTTGAAACTTACTCTCCATTGGATCAGGTGTTTGAGGCATAATTGTAGAGGATACTAAGTTTGCTTCAACATCATCAATGATTTGATTTGTTTGTTCATTTGAAGCCATGGCAGATATTTCATCAGCTCCTTCAAGACTTTCTGTATCTGCTCCTGCCATATTCAAAGCCATTGCAAGAACATCGTCTCCATAAGAATGGGTGTTACGAGCACTCGATGAAACAACTTTAGTGTCATCATTGTATTCTAAATAAATATTGTTTGCATTTAAAAATAAAATTTTCAAAAATAATAATTTTGTTACCATTATTTGACATGTCATTTTCACTATCTGATGATGAAACATTTTCATGTTTTAGATCGTTAGCTACCATGCCCGCCATTAACAACAATTCTGCTTCAAATGGATCAGCTGGTGTTTCATCTCTAATTTTCTTAAAATTAAACATTAAAACTTATTAATTAAAACTAAAAATTAAATTGAGTTTTTGAAAAAAGATTTTAACCATGTTTTTATATTCTAACAAAGTTGCAATCATCAAAATTAAAAAAAAAACCATTAACTTAAAAGTGGGTTATAAAAAAACCTCAGTTTCAATTACGTGTTGTTAACTTTAATATTAAAAAATTTACTTATAGCTTAAAGTTATGAATATTTTCTGTGATTCTTAAAGTTTTTTAAAATATTTTAACTTTTAAGCTAGTTATCAGCTTTTTTTCTTTTATTTAAATTATTTTGAAAACTACAAAATTGTTTACTTTTTTACATAAAAATATCAAACTATATTCTATTTCATACTAGAAACTACCTTCAATATTTAAGATTGAAATATTTTTTTCTGCAGTAAAATTTCTTCAAATATATATAAAAAAAAAAAAATATTGAAGAACCAAAAATATTCATCAGAATACTCAAAATCTAAAACCGAGGTTTTAAAAAGGTCGGTTAAAATCCAATTTCCAAAAACTGGTTTAAAGCCTGAATTTGAACAAGTTAAATTGTTTTAAATTACCTTTATATCTTTAAAAATTGCTTTAGTAGTATTTTTAGTCGTAGGTATAAAAATTGGAATCGGTAAGGGTATTGGGAATGGCACTGGTACTGGATATGGCATCACATACATATGCATAGGCATTGGAATGTAAACTGGTACTGGAACTGGTATTATCACTCCTTTACTGCCCGTTTGGTCTAAAAAAATCATATGTACTTACATGTATATATATATAAATAAACTACTTGATATAAATTTCTTAAAGATTAAATCTTACCTGTTTGTACTTCTTTGTCAACTTTAGGTACCTCATTATTGAAACTTATTTTTCTATTAACTTTATGTTTAACTTTAGAAGTTTTTTTCTGAGAATAATTTATTTCATCGCTCTATAACAATACAATGTGTTATGTTTATTTATTTTTTGTGAATAATTATTTATAAAGAAGTATGAATTAAATTAATAAATTGTTTTTACATCAGAAATATTATTATCCTCTTTACGTGTAGACTGCCGAGTAGATATTCGCGAAGCTGAAGATTTTTTTCCTATTTAATATAATATAATATTAAAAATAAAGTAAAAACCATAGTAATTAATTATTTCAATTATATATATATATATATATATACACACAAAATACAACAGTAAAAGCTGACAGATGTAAATAACTTCTGCGTAATAATTTTTGTTCTAATTAATATTACATATTTCTTAAAAATATTTAATATATACATTTATGATAGTTTTTAAGTAATATAATATAATTTAAACACAACACATTTTTGTGCATGAAAATACTAACCATTTTTAGATTTAGTTTTAGACTTTTGTTTTTTGCCAGATTGAAATGAATTTAAACAGTTTTGACTGCAGAAGTTGTAAGTGGTTCCAATATGAATTGTTTTATAACGTGATTGTGAATGTAAGCCACAATTATCACAAACAACTCTAGAAAACAATTATCACAAAAAAATAAATTAATGATATACTAATAATAGTTGATTCACTTGATAATACTTTTTTGATTTTGATGCTGGTGATTCTTGTTGTTGATGAATACAATTTAAAGAACATATATATGTTGGACTACTGGAAGAAACATTTTTGGTAGAAATCATATCAATGTTAAACTTTTTAACCTAGAAAAAATATTTATGCAAATGTTTTAATGTATATAATATATGCTTGGTAATTTTACAATTAATGTAAACCTGTAACTAAGGATTATTGTCTTTATTTCTTAGTACAGTTAATTTTTTAATTGTATGGCACATTAGTGAGAGCAAAAGTAGGCACAAAAACTAATTTTGTTATCTGTTAAAGAGAATTTTTAATTGAATATTACCATGCCTAGTTTTGGGGTTTGGCAATCTGTTTTAACTTAGTAGTGAACATGCACAGTCATCCTATCTATATAACTATATGCATCAATTCCTGAGACTAATTAATATTTTTAGTTAAAACTACTAAATTGTAACAGACTACTTAGTATATATTGAGCAAAATATTTACTATAACAGAGAAAAGTTAAACTTCAGAAACAGTTTTATGCAATTAAAATAAACTTACTTTGCATAGTGAACAAGAAACAGTTCTCTTTTTTGATACAATGAATTTATTTAGACATTCATTTGAACAAAACTTAAATAAATTATTTGTATTACTTAATATTTGAAACTCATTTGTGTGTGAAGAATTTAATTGACAGAAGCACACATTGCATATATCTGTAAACAAATATTAGTTATATTATATTATGTAAAAAAGATATAAAATATAATATAAGAGCTAAGTTTATAAATGTTGTAATATGAATTTACCAATGACTTGTGATTTTTCATTAGTCCCATAATCTACAGCAGAACTATCTGATTCAGTATGCTTTCTTCTTGATTCATAATCTTTAGTTTGACAAAATGATGAACAGAAATTCTATAAAATAATTATTAAATATTATAGAATACTATAATAATAACACATTTATTATTTTATTTTATTATTACTTCAAAATCACAATCAATTAAATCTTTTTGACAAAAACTGCATAAATTTAACCTATTTTCATAACTTCCAGCGCAAGTAGTCCCACAAAACTGTAATAGTTTACCAGAAATATATCGACAATATTTTCCTAAATCAACATCTGATGCTATAAGTTTTTGACAGTTTATGCAGTTTGAATCAAAAACTGTATTTTGATAGTAACCTGAAGAATAAAACATAATTTATAGTAAAATATCTCAATAAGTTATAAATTAACATTACTTACCTAAGCAATCTACAGAACAAAAATGTTTTGTTTGCCAATAGTAACTTTTATCTTCATTTCCTAAAATTACTGATTGACAATGTTGGCATTTTTTTTCAAAATTGCAATGACTATTTTTCTTACGATAATTTTCAACACAGTCTTCTTGACACAAATACATAGACTTATGGTCATTTACAATAAATTTACATAAACGAAACTGTAAATTAATAATTTTAATGCAATGTGTAAAAGAAATAATTTTAAATAAATATTCAATACCCTGTTACATTGACAGCACACTTTTTTTAAAGGCGAGGATAACCCTTCAACTGCATCTATAATTTTTTCTTCAATACTATCAATAGGTTTGATTATCTCTTTAGCAATTTCCTATAATTCAAATTGTTTTTTAAATTTTGTTATAACTATTCATAAATTTTATTTTAGTCTATGTGTATTTACTCTGATTTGATTTTCTGCTTTTTTTGCAGCTTGGCGTTGTGGTCTAGAACTTGTTTTCAAAAGTGTTTCACTTAAGTAATTTTGTGCTTGTTGTTCTTCAGTGCTTAATATCATATTATTTTGATTCGGATGTTCTTCTCTCATTGAACTTTCTTGATTTATAATATTATCTTTCTTGATAACTATTTCTTCATCGTTATATTTATTTGAATCATTACATTTTATAGATTTTATAATATCAACTGTTGATGGGTCTATAAAAATAATATAAGTAGTAATTTAAATAATTAATTTGATAATTATTTTAAAATTGTTACTTACCTGATATATTTTTTTCAACTATTAGATCAGCTTCATCAATATTTATTTCAATTCCACTTATTGATTCCATGGTTTTGTTTTCAATGTTAGGGACAGACATGGTAGACTTGTCATAATCCAAGCATTCAGTTACACCTGTATTAATTTTATTGAGTTTATTTTGACAATCAATATCCAACTGCTTTTCATTTTCATGTGTTTCTTCGACATTTTTTTCTAAATTTTTATTACTTAAATCATGTTCTGTGTTCGTTATCAAACTATTAATTTCTTCGTTACTACTAACAGGTTTATTGATGTTTTGAGTGATAATTGCACTATTGTCAGAAGTTTCGTCTTCCACGTGTTTCTGGTCGGTTTTATCGGTATGAATTAGTTCAAGCGATTCGGCAAATGGGATCATTAATTCGTTGTTTTCCGATGTCGTCGCCGATGTAGCGGCTTCAGTATTTAATTCATCAGCCATGGCACTTTTTTACCTACAGCTATTGATTTAGTACACCGTAACAGGTCAATTAATTAAGAAAACTCCATTTAAAGTTGTAAGACAATATACCAACATATAAATAAAAAACGTTTTAAGTTATAAACTAACAGTAGAAAAGAGAATTTGATTAGATTTTATTAAATTAAAAACGCAAATTTCTTATCTGTCTTTATGAAGATAGCCCCTTCTAAGATCGTGGCTCCATCATAGTCCCAGAGATATCCCATATTATTATCATAGGTATAGATAATAATATAATATGTATCCTATATTATCTATAGTAGTTACCTTATATACCACTGATAAGAAATTGGTTAATACCATTAATAATAAGTTGCATTTACTAGAGTTGTTAGGGGCAATTTAGCCATTAAAATAAATACCTATTACCATTCAATGTAATATTATAAATTATAATCAATACAAATCATCATGAATCATAATCTGTTAAAAGTGTAGTTGACGACGTTGAGACTTTAGAATTTGAGAATAGTGACACCGAATAAATCATAATATATTGTTTTGTTCATTCTATTGTTGAAGTGTTGTATTAAAATGTATTATTACTAAGCATTTTCTTATTTACCTATTTTACAAAATATCAAGAAACCAATTTTATAATATTTCCAATAAAAATGTCAAGAGAAATGAATTCTCTACTTGGTATAAATTCATATTAGTTAATAAACGTTTTTATTTTTTTAAACATATGTATTTTGATGAATAATTAAGAACGATGGTACAAAAATAAATCCGTGAAAATCATTAGATTTTAAATTATAGCTTTATCTAACTAATCATTTATACAATTGGATCGGACATTAATGTTAATCATTTTTTAACTGTTTTTATGATTATTATACATTTTATTATTATTACATGTGAGGAAGTTTATTCATTATATTAGGAAAAATTAAGAATTTTATTGTTTTCGAACTTCCATAAATCTGATAATATTTATAAAACTTATTGAATGGATTCAAATCATTTTGGATAAATTTTCAATTTCGAATCGTCGGTTATAATCTTAAATAAATATAGGTTAAATAAAAATTTGTCATAAAAGTATTTTTAATTTCAATTGTAGATTACGGATGTAATATGAATAAAATAAAGAAAAAAAAAATAGAGATAGAAATGATAATTATATTATGTCAACATGTCGAGTATCATAAACATTATTTTAAGTACCCAGCGCCGGATAGGCAATGTTCGACCTACCAAGTTTTAAGATTTAATTTCTGATGTTTTGAGTAAAACTGCGGCTAGTGTACGGTTAAATAATAAATTTGACTGATGAAATTAAACCTTAAGTCGGCACATTTAAAAAATTTAACAAATCTTTTTTTAGTATCATTAATAAGTTTAGGTACCTATTTAATAGATCAAGGTTTTCTATGTGATTTGAAGTTAGTGTTTTAAGTTGAATGCTTTAACAATAATAACATATCATAACATCTATTCTAGAGAATTGTTAAAAGACTTTTTCATAGTTTAAGTACCATATAACATGTTTTTTTCTTTTTTGAATCATGCCAAATAGTGTGAATTATTTATCGGTCATGATTTATTATTATTTATATATATATATTTTTTTAATTGGGTGTTTATATCTATTAGGGTTATATATTATTCTGGTCACGCCAAAAGTCTACGTTATTTTGTCGTTGTTTATGTTTTGTATTTGTTGTTGAACTTACGCTGAGTGACAAGGACAAGATAATTAATATTTGTTTTTTGCATAATGCAGAGGATAAAGTTTTCATATAGTTTACTTTATGTTCACGAGCTGTCTTTGGATAAGCCAGGACATCAGAACGATTGAATAATAGCCAAATGAAGACTAGTTAGTCTATGGCTGCCCGTGATTTCACATTTATTATTTTTTTTTATGATAAATCTGTGGGGAAGAACGAATTGTTGAACTGTTATCACATAACATTTTGTGTTGTACATATAGCAGTCTCAGTGTAGGTATGTTGTTTTGTATCATGCTACATAACATATTTAGTCAAGTTACATTGCTGTTTGGTATACTGCTGTTATTTGTGAGCTCAAACGGCGATATAAAATATACTCAGCATTAATACCTATTTAAATAATAAATGAGAAACTGATGCTTTTGGGTTTTCTTCTTGTTTAATTTATTTGTTTTTAGTTCCTCTAAAATAATTTATGTTACATACTATATAATATTAGCGATAAACATAAAAGTATAAACTAATTTATTTCATAGATAAATCGTACACTTTTTACTGTCTTTATGAGCAAAAATAACAAAAATAAAATTACATCCAAAATGTTTGAGATTTATAAATCTACGTGCAACTAACTAGAAAAGGTTATAATTCAAGTATGATGCATATTTTGGTTTGACTTGAGCTAGACCAATATTACCAGCAATTATAATTGTATGTACCTAGGTTTAAATTGATTTTTATATCTTGTTGAATGTTTAAACGCTAATATTTTAAATTAAATCATTTGCGTGATTATATTAGAGTATTCAACTCAATAAAATTATTAACTTACAAAATCGTCAATTACTTAATTTTAGCTTATGTTAAAAAAGTTTAAAGGGTCCAGTGTTTTATATTCCTGTAATATTTAATTTTCATTAGTCACTTATTTTTTTAACAAACTTTCAATCGGTCTATTATACTGTTAAGTAAAAATATCTTAGTTTACTTATTTAATTTGTATATTTTTGTTGTCAATAGGGGATTGTTATATATCTAAACAAATAGTGAAAATGGATTCAAAACAAGAAAAACAATACATTTTTAATATGAAGTTGGCAAGAATTATGGGGTTATATCAAATTTTAACTCCAAATTCCACTAAAATTTTTAACTACAACATATATCATGTAGTTATTGTGTTTTTTGGATCATTCATGTTCATCATATCAATGTTGTTTCCAATTGGTTTGCTATATTTAAGAAATGATATAATTGCGTTTATGTACTATATGGGTTGCATAAACAATTTTCTATTATCCAGTTATAAAATGGGTAATATTCTTTATTATTCCAAGGATATATGGAAATGCATTGACGTCACAAGCTTTTATTTTGTGTCATATAAACATTACGATAGAAATTTATTTGAAAACTGTCAGAAACGGTCTATACGAATTACTTACATATATATCGTAATAGCGTTATTTGCTTTTTTTTGTTGGATTTTTAGTCCATGCGTTATGAATAAATCTATCATTACTATTAGAAACATTGACGGTTCATATAGTAATTACCGAATGAATATTTTTAATATATATTTATTAGCATCACATGAAACATATAACATGAATTTTTACATATTTTATATTATTGAAATAATAGTTAGTGTTTGCTATGTATATTTCACTATAGTATTTGATGTTCTAATGCTTCTGATATGTTTTGCTATATCTTACCAATTGGAAACAATTAGTAATTCGATCAAATTACTTGGCTACGAAATAGCTACACAGGATAATATCAGTGCGTATGAAGTTTATTTTTACTATCTATTAGTTGTAAATATAATCATTTTACAACTAATTTAATATAATCATATAATATTTTGCGAATATATTTGTTTCGATTAATATTATTATTATAAAGATTATATACTGAATAAGGTATTAGTTAGTGTATCTATAATAAATGTATGATCTTTACAGGGACTAGTAAATCAATACAATTAGAGAAGAAATGTGACAAAATATACAATGATTTAATAACGATAATGGCAGATCACCAAAACGTCATAAAGTGAGTGATATTTTTGCTTATAATTTAAAAATAATTATAAATTATAATTCATGATTCCAATAATCCAAATCGAACTATAGACTTAGTTTTTTTTTTTTTACCAAAAAAATGAAGAAATCGAAAAATTTTTAGTGACATTTATTTCAAACTTAATTGGTTTTTTAGAAATATTTTATTAATAATTTGTATTGTTTTTATTTTTTACAGAAAGTTAAACGATTTTTATAACATGTTCCGTTTAGTAACGCTAACTCAAATATTTATAGCTTCAAGTTCACACGTATTTATTTGGTTTATAGCTGCAATGGTAAGATGGTGATTTAAATAACAATTTTATTATTCTTTAAAAGTATTATATTAATATGGTATTTTAAAATTGTTCATGCTAATTCTTTTATGTTTCTAAAAAAAATTGTATGCATTAATAATTTCTAACATGGTATTTTTTATGTGTTATTGTTATTTGTTATTTTTTCCTTTTTAAATGGATTATGTCCATATAATTAAATCTATAAATAAATAATATTTTCAGTTGTTACAAAAAATTGTTATATAAATGTAAAATAATTAGTTTTGAGAATAGTAAACATTTTATGAAGTAGAGTGATTAAGTTTACGAATGGGAAATCATAGAACTGAGACATCTGTAGTTAAATTGGTAGTGGTTGATTGAAGCAGAAATTCTTTAACCAGCTTAGATATTTTAAGCATAGCTACTATCGCAGTGTGATGAGGTTCCTACAATTGTATTATATATAAGCAACAATGGAATACGTTTTTAAATAACTGTTTTAAGTGTAGTATTTATTTGTGGGTGGATATTTAAATATTTAAAACTAGGTAGGGATAAACGATGAAAGATGTTTTGTAAGATATTGCCATTGAAATTGAGACCAACCTTTTTGTTATTTTAGAAGAAAGGTATTAGAATTTGATATTTGTGTTACTTTTGAATATTTTTTATTTTGATTCAATGGTAATAAATGTAGAACATTATTTTTTGAGTTGAAGTTACAAAGTGTATTAAGAAATTAAATGATTAAAGGTGATCTATTATTGCTTTGACAAATACTTCATCTATGACATCTTTTCATATTCAATTGTTAAATTATTAAAAGTTCATCTTTTATTTAGGTAAAATATCTGCTATAAGATATTATATAAAATGAGTGTACATAAAAAACTAGATTGTAAGTAAACATTAACCAATACTTTATGTTTTTAGAGCTTAGATGGAGGTGATAATGCAGATTCAATATTGTCATTTAAGCTGTTTATTGTACTCCCTCTCATAAATTTTCAATTATTTATGACTTGTAGTTTATTTGGAACTATAAATGAAAAAGTGATTATAAAGTTATATATTTTTTTTTAAAGTTTGTTTTACTTTACTACTATAAAAATATTTATTTTATATGGTTACATTTGATTCAACATAAAATACATGTTTTGCTATTTAGAAAGATTCGATCATTTTTGCATTATATAGCAGTAATTGGACGGATATGGATTTAAAAAGCAAAAAAATTGTTTTGCTTAGTTTGACAATAAATAATGCCAACCAATTAAAAATGAAGTTTACAAGTACCAAAATTGTTAACTTGGAAATGTTTAGTCATGTGAGTATAAAAATAAGAAAAAATGTAATACAATGTAATTATTTGTCTTATACTTGCATAACCATGAAAAGTTATTAAAAAGCTAGTAATCAAGTTATTAGTATTTCATATTGTTAAAACTAGTAAGTTGTTTGTATAGCAATTGAAAATATTATAAATATTATACTTACATTATTTTTTTGTTCAAGAATTTGAAGTTAAATTTTGAAGGACTTTGGTTATTTTTTTGTAATTATAAAAATATTAATTGTTCAGTTGATTTAAAACTTTTCATCATACGTATATTTTTTTTTCAATTCACAATTAAATTTTCAAAATATTGAGACTAATTGTATGTTATTATTAAACTGTTGATATCGAGAACTCATTAACACTTTATATTATTTAAATATAATAGGTATAACATAAACAATCCTTAGAAATGAATGCTGATTTTTCAATTCTCATCATTTAGGATAGTATTTTATAGGTTTAAAATGATTTATCATTGAATTAAATAAAATTGTACACATTCATTATAATTTACAGTGATCTTTTTAATGATGATATATACTCAAAATCTTTTCATACGTTAAAAACGCATTTTTAATTTTTTTTTTTTTTTTAAATATTTTATCAAGAAATATTGTAAATTGTTTTATTTCACTGTTAAGAGGACGTCGCGCCTGTATGTGTTGTCTCCATCTTACATACATATGATATGGTAAATTTTCGTTCACCAGTTTCAATAGTGTGATTTTAATTTTGATAATAGAGTGAATTATCGAACTTTTAGTTAAGCACATTATCAGTATTCTCTCGTTAGTTTTTTACGATACTTAAATTTTTAAGTGAATTATGAGTATGAAAAATATAAATATTTGAAAATGCTCATAATTCACTTAAAAATTAAAATATCGTAAAAAACCAACGAAAGAACACAGATAATATTTTTATCTAAAAGTTTTATAATTGGTCAATTCGCTCTAATATTAAAACTAAAAGCACACTATTGAAACTGGTGAACGAACATTTACCATGTCGTACGTGTGTAAGACGGAGATAACACATGCGGGTGTGACTTTTTCTTAATATAGATACTTATTCATTAGTATCAGGTATTTATCGATATAATTTTAGTTATTAAAAATATTAAAGTAAAATAATAAATGTATATCAATAGGTATCTAAATCTATTAAATAGCCATATTATTATTTCTTCAAAAACTTTACATTAAGTATATGATTATTAATATAGACATATAATGATTGTGTTAGATATAACCTTAAAAAAGTTAATTTAATAAATACATTTAATTAATACTATATTATTTTTCTTCACAGACCATGCGCTTTTGTTATTCGATATTTTCAATGTTAATTAATTATAATAATAAAAATAAAATCAACTAGAATTTTAATTATTTGATAATTTATTAAGTAAGTACCTAGTTAAATTTTGTTAAAATATATTATAGTATTATTTATTACATAATATTTTATTATTGTTATGGTTTATTTATTATTTAATTTTAATTATTATTTTAAAATTACATATCTATTTTATAGTTTAATTTAAATTAATTTGGATGGAGTTAAATTAATTATATAATCCGTTATGTATATTATGCTGATGTTTTTTTATTTACATTATTTTACCTAAACCTAATAAGTACATTAATATTATGTATTCAGAATTATCAACAAAAAATTAACTTTAAGATCAATTTTTATGCCTAAGTACAATAATGATCTTAGTTATCTACCAGATATTAAATAATAAAATATAATTAAATGATATTTTTTAATAGTAAAATGAGCCTTATTAAATCATTAAACTGTTCGATTAAATACTATAGACTAGAACCTAAACTTTTAATAATTGATTTATTTGATAAAAAATTATGAATAATTATAAATATTTTAAATTTATGTTTAGTTTCAACAATTGTACATTTAAAAAATGATTTTTAACAGTGAATGTCACAAACATAAATAATAAGGATTTTTTCGATATTGTACGTTGATAACCTTGCACTCTTTAATAGTTTAAAAAAGGATTATTTCCTTTAGTTTTAAAGTATTATTCGGGTAAACTAAATGGGGGAAATACGTTTGGGCGCATTTACCCAAAACAGAGCATTTTAGGGCGTAAATCCATAATACGTCTGGGCATAATATTTCCTTTTATAATAGTACGTTTGGGCCCATTTATTTCTTTGTATATATTAACAAATTTTACTAAATCTGAGCCTATTAGCGTGACCCAGAAGACACCGCGAGGAGGTTGACTCAATAGTCTTCCAAAAATATTTAAAAACTTTTTTTTAAAAATCTAATTTAATTTTTTTTATATTTATTTTTATTTATCAATATTATTCTATGTTATTATATTATGATATTTTATATTTATTAATTAATTAATTTTTTCCCTGCAAAACGTGGTCCTAATTTTTTTATGTAATTCAATATATTTTTTTCAACTCCATAAGTCTCACAACATTTTTGTACAAACTTCTGTTTTTCTACAGTTTCTTTTTTTAATTTATTAGTTATTTTTCTTCCAATGCTGTTTATTTTTAAATTGGTCTACAGATTAAACGATTGAGTACTTATTAGATTAGATTACACAAGACTTTCATTTACTAGTTGCAATACCTATTGCACCCAAAGGTGTTTTCATAAACGCGCCCAAACGTGTTAACAATTTTCAGGTAAATTATTTATACTGCGCCCAAACGGGTCATCCCCAAACTAAATTATAGGTTAGCTTATTAACTAAAGTACTAAATTATGCTATTAAGGCCTTTTATTATTAATCACTTTTATAATTATAATTCAGTATTTTTATGGATGTTAAAAATTTCAGGTATCTATAACCTATGTTTTATTATTATATGCACTCAATTTATCTTGGCTCTTTTTCTCTAGCCAATAAAATACTGAAGAACTAATTTAGGAAAATAATTATGATTAAAGAAGCAAAAACATATATTTTCGATTCTGATTGGAGCGATGAATACATTTTAATTTTTTATTTAGCTTTCAAAAGGTAGTTATTATCGCTCAACATTGATATCTTAAGCATAAAGATAATGCATGGTGTGTATAATTATGCATTATACACATTAAATCTTATTTGTAGGAGGTATTCAAATACTTCCAAAAATTGAATATTTAATAACCAATGTACTGAAAGAATTAGGAGAAACTAATGGTTCTAGTGAAACATCCAAAAATAAAGTTTCTATTTTAGCTGCACTGGATGCTTTTCATGTACTCTGTAAACATCCTTTTGGATATCACAAAGTATCTGAAAGCAAATGGAGGTCACTCCTACAGAGTACAATTGCTAAATTGATTGATATATCTAAAACTGGTAATTATATCATTAAACTATTCATATCAATAAATTAGATAAGAAAAATAGACTGTTTTTCATTAATTGTACACAAGCATAGGCGTAACTAGGGGGGACTTGGGGGAGGGCTTAGTCCGCCCAATATAAATTTTAGCCCCCCTGTCATAATTCCTAGTCCCACACTCCTGCCAATAATAGTAACATTTTTAAACTTAAATTTAAAATATCGTTTTATTTTTTTTATTAATATCTTGGAAAAAAATTAATTTAAACTATATTATTGTATGTAATGATCCTGTGTAAGACGTATCATGCTGTGTAATTTTTACTACACAAATACTCCCTACTAAGAAACTATACCTAAAAGAAACTAAATACTATTATAAATTTCTAAATTTCATGGTTTGCATTTATATACTTCTTAATCTAACCACTCGTCTATGACGATACGGAACAATCATAACGATATTGAGGCAATTGATTTTACCAAATCAGCTTTTTGTGATTTAATATTTTGATAGGGCTTAGAGCAAGCGGTCTCCTCTAAAATACTCCACTGTCTGTAACCCAAAAGATTGAGGTCTGGACTTCCTGAGGAGGGCTCATCTTCAGCGACTATGAATCCAGACAATCCAGTTAAATTAAGTGACTCGTTCGTGGAACGACTTTAAATTCTACGCTTTCATAGTCCGGCGGCAAATCGGTGTGCGGCGAGATGGTGTGCGTCATTGATCGGATTCGTTACAAAAATGATTGAATCCGTGGCAGACGGCAGTCAACGAAATCTCCAATGACCTAATGCCTTGTTGTTGATTTCACCCTTTCGTTGTCTCAACTATTCCGATGATCTAATAGTGGATGGGGGATCGGATACCAGTTTTTAGTTCAGTGTTTACATTTCTACACGAGGCTCGTCATCTCGTCGTCTGAAGAAATGTCTGACGCTGAAGTACAAACCGATATCCAATCTCCCATCCACTCGGTCGTTTGATCATCGGAATTGTTAAAGTGACAAAAAGGTTGAAACCAACGACGGCGGTTGCAGGTGTTATTGGTGATTCCGTTGGACTCGGTCGTTTCTATGCCATAATCTTGTCGTCGATCGCAATCAGACTGTTTGTATATAAAGGCATAAAATCCAACATATACGACCATCGTGAGGAATACTCCGATCAAAACTATCAAGTTCAGAAGTTGAACTTCCAATTGTAGAAAGTTGGCGGGTTCAGTGTAATGCATTGCAGGTACTCCGAATTAATTTATAGTAATTTCTGGATTTCGATTGATGGCACTGAAACGAAATTAAATAAATAATCTATAATAATATAAATTCATAATAACATCAGAGTTACGCATATATACAAAAAAAAATAAAAAAAATTAAACCATGGTGATACGATTGCAATTTAAATATAATTGCATAATTATTAAGACAATAGGTTAAACAATTAGGATTTTGAAAACAAGTTTGTTTTTCTAATTGTCTCATTTGAATAGTATTAACTACTTTTAAAATAATTAGGAAATTCATTATCAACATTTGACATGGAAAATTTCTAAATATTCTAAACATTTTCGTTTATTTAATCAAAAATTATACTTTTTTAAATAAATAAATGAAAAAAGTTGTTTGTATCATTTATGATAAACATATTAAGACATTCAAATCTGATATCAAACTCCATAAAATGTTTGATTTTAATACCCAAGTCTTAAAAATGAATTCAAATTATTTTTACTGAAACTTAAAAGTTCAACGTATTAATGTAAAGTCACTTGTTCATTATTATTTGTCAGTGTTTAATGCATTGATCTAGAATTTATTTTAAAAGAATTAATACTTATTAATTCAATTTAATTAGTTTTATTATAAATATATTAATTATAATGGATTTTAATTATTATATTTTAGATTGATATCAAAGAATGTCAAAAAAAAAATAGTTGACCATGAATCCAGATTAGTATTTAATTGTATTATAAAACTATTCATATTATATAGTGTATATTGACTTCATACGTTATTTTTGATTTGTTACGACTAATAATTTATTTTATAGTTTAGATTAATATTCTTTACTCTATTAACTGAGAAAATAGTATCACTTTGCGTATATAACGAACAGAAATTACTTGTCTTTACTCGAGGACAATTGGTAGTAAGTAAGTAGGTGAGCGCCAAGCCGTTTCATGCTGTAGTGTGGAGAAATGACGAGTTTTTGTCCGCCGCGTAGTACCTACTATTTTCTCGGTGAATATAGAGTGTATACTATTTATAATAATTTTCGAACTGTAGTAATGATATTATAAGCTAAAAAAAAGTTGTTTGTATAGCATAGCTGTAAGGAGGAAAATGAGAGGATTGATTAATGCGAAAAGTTCTGAAATAAATTTGGGAAACAGTTTATCGGAGCTATTAGATAATATGATATTATTATAATCATCGACAGAGATGTAAGAAGCTTTGAGAGGAGTGTTGGTGATTTGAGAAGTGCTTAATATTTTGTACATCTTTTGTAGTTGGAGGTATGATCACCTACGCTAAGAGTGTACTTAGTTGGGCTGCTTTTGTTTGTAGTGTAAACGTCGAGGGGTGATTATTATGTCAGTAGGTCTGACAGTTTTGTCACTTAGATAGACCACATGTATTGAATTTATAATAAATGTTTTTTTTCTGTTTGCTCATATACTAAGAAACATGTTTTGATTTTCAACTACAAGGGTGATTGAATTCTTATTATTTTGCAAAATAATTGAGAAATATATGTAAATAAAAAAAATGATTAAGGAAAAAGGGAATTTTAACACAAAATCAGTAATTGATAGAATCAATTTTATTTTTTTTTAATTAAAAAATAAATAAAGAATAACCATAGATATTTAAATTTTCATTAAACATTTATATATGTATGAGTATATTTTCTATATATGATACTATTTTTTTTTATAAATATTTTGACATTTATTCAGCAATTTATAGACATCTGATATTATTTATTATTTTTTTTTTTCATATATTTATTGATTTTTTTGTTCACAGATAACACAAAATCTAAGAATATATATAAACTGAATTTTTTATAGACATTTGAAGCTTATATTTTTGACAAAATTCTAAATATTTAAGTAAAGAATAATGATTTTAGTTTTCTTGTAAATTATATAAAAAAAATTAATGTGCGATTTGAAATTTTTATGTATTTATGTTATTATATTTTATATTGGTATACAATGATATTTTAAAAATATTTAGATTCATTTTATGCTATGTCCTATTTATAATTTACACTGTATTACTAATAGAAAAAGAAATTATTTTGGTATAATAATTACTCAACAGATCGATCGTCTGAATTTAATATTATGCTATTTATTTTATATTTAATAATATACTATCGACTTCTATATTGTACAGTAAAGAGGTTACTTGCTTGTCTTTTTTTCTATTAACATGTTAAATATAGCTTAAAAAGATTTTTTTTTAGATTCCAATTTAATTGGTTGTTCTAGTTTCAAAAAACTATTAAAACTTTTATAACAAAATAAAATAGCTTGTTAATTAATAGTGCAAAGTGTAGGGTTATTAATTGTTAATGGTATAGCATGATAATGATGAATATAGGTAGATGAGCCGTAGAGGCGTTTCATTTCATCAATTTTCATTGTCAGTCGAATTCAAAGTTTCTATCTCATTAACAAATCATGAATAACTGCAGTAGTGCTGTTTAAAATTTTAAAAATAACTCTACTACTTAAACGGTTTAATGCAGAATAATAGGGCTTTTTAGTAGTTGGGGTTTGAGGTTTTTTTTTTAGAATTTAATTATTAAATTGTTCTTTTGTCGTGTAAAAGTATAAAACGTACGATGTATTTATAAAAATATAATAATAAATGGTAATTTATCAATAATATTATGGACTCATGGAATTTAATATAATTATTGTTAAAAATAAATTTTTAATAATGTATAATATTGATTGTACATATTATAATTAAATAATTAATAAGTGTGTATTAACGATTTGTAAATGTATACTCTTTTTTATAATATCACCAGACTTAACATTAATTCAATACCTGTAAATTTTATATTTATTTTTGCAGTTAAATAAAGAATAATTGTGGAATTACATGTTATATCTAGACTTGATCTAAAAATCGATTACCTGGAAATTAATGGAATTTACATACTAGGCTTATAAGGGGGGAGTACGTAATGATTGTATATGATACTATGATACGGTTATAAGTTATGACGTATGGACTTTTTTTATTTTTATGAATGAGTATGTTACAAATTTAGGTGTCGTTGGTTTTCAACGAAAATTACCTTACCGTTTTTCACTAGATTAGAAAAAATGTCATTCCTTTTTCCGTCAAATTTAAATTATGTGATTTTAATATTTGGAAACCCCTTATTATTTTACATAAGTATATTTTATTACTAAGCACTAATAAAAATAAATAAGTATTTTTTATTTATAAACTTCGAAAATTTAGTCTCTGAAAAAATAATCTCTAATAAGAATGTGTACTTACATAACACACATATTCACGAGATTCCAATGTCAGTATACGTATGATTTGAAAAAAAATAATGTTTTAGTCATAACTCATAATAAATTAGTATTATAATTTCAATAATAATACGTAAAAAAAAAAACGTATATAATATTATAATTTCATAGTTGTTTTCTTGATTTGAAATATATATATTTTTTTAAATTTGTCCACTTCAATTTAATTAGTATTTAATTATTCACATAAGGTTTTTAATCTTATTTTAACGGTTTTCGATTTCGAACTTTCCTATATTTTGCATGGTTTGCCAACAATTTATTTTTTAATTTAGTAATTAATTTCAAAATGTCAATGGGTATTTTTCTCCAACTAAATGGCAAAATTGGTTGTTTGGTTGTTCCATGGCTCACAAACATTATTAGTTTGGTGGTTATTATCAAGTGTGGTCTGGTGGACATTTGTTGGAAAACATCGAATAGTTAAACAACTATTATATGCACGAACAGAAATATTTAATTTTAATTTGTCAACATCTTTATGTAATCTATTTAATGGTAAAAAATCCTAGGTTAGGTTATATGTATTGATGTTTTAGTTTGTGTTTAAATTTGCATTTTAATTTTTGCGACATAAATTTAATTTTGACACTAAAAATTATTATATTAATGATCAATTTTAATTTTTTGTTGTTAGTACAACTAAGTTTTTAAAATACACGGACATTTATAATTATTTTTTTTGCAGTATTTCTACCATACAAAATTTGAACATACTTAGTGTACATACATGTGCTCTTCAAATTCTAACTTTTCTTTACCTTTCTGGATCTCAAAAATATCTTTAGGTATTATCCATACTATTTAGACAGAAACGTATGAAACAAATACGTCTTCACAAAAGCACACCCATTTAGTACTGAATACACATAAATGAACACACACAGAACGTGATAAATTTTATAAATTATCACTTATATTATTATTATAACATTAAAGACTAAGTTGTTGGTATATTTCTTATCTATAATAATATGCCTGTAGTCATTATATATCTTATCGATATAACAGACAGACTGTCACCGCTTTGAGTCACTTTTGTCGTATTCAATAATTAATTTATCATTGAATTTAAATTTAACATTATTTGTGGGGAAATGAAAATATCTACACGCAATGACATAAAAACTCAAAATTTAATTACAATAGTTAATGATATAATACTATAGAATTATATACTATTATAATAATAAAATATTAAATTTATCATCTTAACTTGACCAGCTTCTTTCTTTTTAATTTTGCAAAATTAAATATGGGATTATTTTTCACGGTACCCTGAAATCGCACATTTATTGTATTATGTCTTAATGTTTCTGTAATTTTATTTTTAATTTCGGAAGACCAATAGTTAGCCACAAATAATATTAAAGAAATGGTTATATACACTAAATAGTATTAATTTAGAGATAAAATAGAATTTTAGTTAATCTTTTAATTAATATTTATTTTTTTTTAACGATTGGTTTTAAATTATTTTTATATAGAGTTATAGAATCATGCCATCTGAACTTTAATTGTTTTATTATTATTACACGTTTACAGTAAATTTATTTTTGTATTAAGATTATGACCTATGCTCATTTTAATGGAAAAATGTTATTTAAAAATACAACTTGTTAATAGTTTTTGGCATTTTGATAAAATGCAACCTATAATTTTTTGCGCATCTGACATAAATTATGTAGATATACAATTAATTAATATTGTGCCTAAATTATTTTTTCATAACTTGACCTATAAAATAACGGATATATACTGTTGTTACATAAACCAGGTATAAAAGTTGGCATGAATTTATTAATAATTGCAGTTAAATATATCCATTTAACAATGTATTTCAGAATAAATAATTTAACTATAAATTTTTAAATATAAAAGGTATCGCTTTAGGAAAGTATATAAGCAATAATTTCTCCACATTTTCACATTTTATCGTGTACATTTTTGATACTGAACATTTATATCTACTTCTTATAACTGAAGGTAAAGTATAACTTATTTTATGATGGGTTCAAGAGTTAATTTAATATTTTAGATTTTGAGCAGAGCGATGAATCTATTGATTTTACAATGATGTATTTTTTTCTGTCATCATTTTTTGAAGCAGTAAAAAGTTAAAATTTTAAATTTGTGGGTGGTTTCTAGTCAATAATTTGGTGAGTCAAAAGTAAAAAATTGTCGGTATTTTCTCTATTAAAAGGAAAAAAAATATATAAAAAACGGGAATATTTACACTGAATCAGTTTTCAAAAAAATTGATTTTTTTCTCTCTCTTTTTTTTTTTTTTTTTTGTTTGCAGGTGATTTTTGCAAATATAAAGAATAATATTGCAATGGATTTAAAGACATTGAAATTTTTAAGACTTATTGGCTTATATACAATTTTAGATCTAAATACTGCTAAAATTTTTGGTCACAATATATATCACATCGTTATTGTGATTTTTGTATTGTTCATGCTCGTTGTATTGATGTTGTTCCCAATAGGTTTTATTTATTGGAGAAATGATATAATGACGCTTATGTATTATGGTGGATGCATAAGTAATTTCATGTTTAGTTGTTTTAAAATAATCAACCTTTTATATAATTCCAAAGATATATGGAAATTTATTGACGTTACAAAATATTACTTAACTTCGTATAAACACTACAATATTAATGTTTTAAAAACGTGGCAAACAAGATCTATAAAATTTATGTACCTATATACTATAATAATTTTTTTAGCTTTTATTTCTTGGTTTTTTAGTCCATGTATATTACATAAAACTAAATTTAAAATTAGAAATATCGATGGTTCATACAGTAAATACCGATTGAATATTTTTAATTTATATTTAATAGCATCGGATGAAACGTATAACGAGTATTTTTATGTATTTTATTGCATCGAAATGATAATAAATATTTGTTTTATATACTTCACAACTGTTTGTGATATTACTATGATTTTTATATCTTTTGAAATAATTTCTCGAATGGAAATGATTTGTACCGCATGTGCATCATTAAACTACAATATAGTATGTCCAAAACAAAGTTTAAGTGAGTAACTTTTTGTTTTGTTTAATATTAAATAGAAATTAATGACTTAATAACTATAATTGATTTTAGGCAGTTAATTTAATGTTTTTTTTTTTTTTTTGTGAATTTATTGTTTTATACGTGTCAATGTTCTTTTAAAACAAGACTCATAATATAATTTTATATTAGTATAATATTATGATATTAGTATTTTTACACAATTTTCGTAATATTTTTGTTACCTAAGTATTATACATTTAAGTAAAATAAAAAAAAAGTTAACTACGCATTTTAAATTTTAAATTCTGAAATATAATTAAATAATAAAAAAATAATTTTATCATAATAAATTAAGCAATACGTTAAATATTAAGTTATTGTTATTTGTGATAATATACATATTTGCAGATACCAGTTCCAAAGTGATACAATTGGAGAATAGATTCGATGCAGTAAATGATGATTTAAAAATCATAATTTCTGACCACAAAGTTATTATGAGGTGATTCTGTTTTTTTTTTGTAATTTAAATCGTTTAAGTACGTATTGTATTAATGTAACTCTATATAGTTTGTTTATTATTTTGTGTATGTTATTGATAATTTACTGTAGTGCTCAATAATCCATATTATTGATATTAATTATCAAAAACTACTAATCAACAATATATACATGTACAACTCTATTTATAATATTTAATTCAAAATTCAATAGTTATTAATTTTGTTATTGTTTTTTTTTTTTTTTTTTTTATAGAAAATTAAAAGAATATTATACAGTTTTTCGGACAATAGCTCTTATTCAAATGTTTATAGCATCAAGTTCACACATAATTATTTGGTTTATTATAACGATGGTAAGATCAATGAAATTCAATTTTTTTTTTATGAATCTATATTTGTGTTAATGTTACTTTAGTGAAGTATAAATTTGCTTATCTTTTTCTACAACAGTTAAAATTTAATACATTATAATAAATAAATGGATGCTAATAAATAATATTTATTTAATTTTTCAGAGTTTTGGCGAAAACAACTTAGGTGATCCTATAATCTCGAGTAGGTTGTTTACTATTCATCCTTTATTGAGTTTTCAACTATTCATGATGTGTTATTTATTTGGATCTATTAATGAAAAAGTAATACTATAATGTTTTATTTTTTTGTTTCGATTTATTTTACTTTAAATTGTAAAATAGTATCAGTTTTTGAACTAAATAGTATTTTACAATTTGTCATCAAAAATAAATTACTTATTTGTTAGCTATTAAATGATAACAGTTGTCTATAAAATCAGCTTATAACTAGAATTTGATAAGTAAATAAGATACCCAGTCAATTATTAAATAGATAGGTATTAAGCTTTTGACTTTCTTGTAATTGTGATGAATTTATATGAAAATACTAATTTATCCTAATATGCGTTTATCTCTTAATTTATTTTAAATTTAAAGTGGAGAGATGAATGTGTTGATTTTACAATGATGTGTGTATGTTTTTTCTACTTGTTATCTTTTTTTTGGCAAGCCTAAATTTAGATTTTAAAGCCCTAATATGAAATAAAAGTTAATTGTCTGTGATTGTACGTATTTTTATTTTCATAAATTATTAAATATAATTCATATAAATAAGTATTCAATTAAAATTTTTTCTTAGTTTCGCTAAATCAATAATTTTTATGTAATATTTTATTTATTATTCATTGTTAATAATTTTAAATCCCGAGATAAAATTTAAAAATATTAATTATTATCTTTTCAAAATTTAAATTAATTTTAAAATAAATATTTTTATTCATAATATGTATATTATTTTATCCATAATATTTTATAAGTAATAATTGCAATGTAATAAATGTATGATGCAAAATTATAACAAAAATATAAAAAAATCTAGACTTGTTTTTTGAAAAAGTAAAAATTCTCGTATTTTTAAAATTGAGGGTGATTCGTGGTAGAAAATTAAAATTTCTTTTAATAGGTTGATATAAAAAAATATCGAGTATTTTTCAAAATATTCAGAAGGAGCAACCAAAATTAGAAAAAATGGAAGATTTTACATAAAGCAATTTTCGACAAAATCGATTTTGTTTTTTTGATATAACTCAGTAACAAATAAGAGTAGATACTTGAAATTTTTACCAAATGTTTGTATTAAAATTTTATATATGTTAGCAGATTGCATTATTTTAAAAATATTTTGAATTTAAATTATTTATAGACGATTGTGATTTTTAATTTTTTTTATACATATTGATATTGACGTATATTCAATAAGCCTAAAAATTTAATAAAAGATCCCTCATAATTTGTTAGTATAGCTATTTAAAATATTAATAATACACAGACATAACATTTTAATAAATGTATTTAAAGTTAAAACGTTGTCAAAATTCGTCAAAATCACAAAAATTTGAAAATCATTTGAATTTTTGAATTTTAATATTTAACATATACATTATAGTAATTTCCAATGAGTAGGAATACTCGACCATTTGAGTGTACACCAGAGTGGTTATCTACTTTTTTTTTTTATAATTCACTTTTGAAAAATTACATTAATATTCTATATTAATAATATATTTATAGTAGTATAATAAAAAATATTTACGTTATAAATATAGGTAAGATGAGCATTTTTATCAAACTTAAAATTATTATTTCATTTTTTAGAAAGATGCAATTATTTTTACATTATATAGTAGTAATTGGACTGAAATGGATATCAAATTTAAAAAGTCGATTTTATTGGCTATGGAAATGAACAATGCTAATTGTTTGAAATTGAAGTTCACAAATATCAAAATTGTTAATGAGGCAATGTTTACACAGGTAAATATAATATTACATGTTTATCTATGATTGAAAGTAAACATGTTCAAGTATTTGTAGTACTGTAAAAATAATAAACTCAAAACTAAAAATAAGTTATTAGTAGCGTTGGGAATTTTAGTTGTATAAGAATGGAATTATTAATGTCGTCGATTGGTCGTTTAACTATCTTATGTAATAAAAAAGATTGAGCGTGTTTAGTGTTTCACATATCTTATATAGATACTGTGATAACGTAGCTGACTTGTGATAAGATATTAGTAAATGGTAATCAGTGAAATTAACACGTAATAATATAACGTGTTACATGTCTGATTCTTTACGGTCGTTTCCTCACGATTTTTATATCATTTGTTATGCACTTGTGTTTTAGCTTAAAAGTCTCTTTGCTTTTATATTTATTTTCAAAGTCAATCTCTCTGACTCAGAGTCACTTATCCTCATAATATGATCGAACCATTCGTTCTCTCTCATTTTCTTCACTGTTGATATTACTCCTACACTACATCTAATGAACTGATTTCTCATTCCATTCCTTTTAGTCATTCAACACATCTACAAAAATGTTCACCTTCACTAAGCTCTGTTATGTTTTATTGTCTATTGCCCAACATCTTGATTTATACAACATGATTGGTTTCACAATGGGAGTTGTTTAATCTTATCATAATTTTACCACATAAAATTCCTGAAAATTTTCTTCATCCATTCACACATAATTCTATACTTGACGTCATTTTCAAAATTCCCATTATTTTGTACTCACTATCCTAAGTACTTTAAGCTATTCACCTCACACTCTATTACATATTCTCCCATCTTCATTATATGTCTTGCTTCATAAATTTTGCGATAACTTTGTTCAAAATCTTACAAGATTACCTTTGATTCACTTCTACTTATCCTTAGACTAATTTTCCATTTTCTCATTAACTTCTATCGGGGTTTCTCCAATTCTACAAAATCATCTATAAACATCAAGTATAACTGCATCTTACTTGATATATTTTTCGTCATTTTGTTCGTCATTTAGAAAATAGAGGTTAATCATATTAATTTTTTCGTTTTAATGCTCAATACAGTACTTTTCTTAGAAATCTATTATTATCATTCACCATCATTAAATCTATAAATACCAAACACAAATGTTGTATTTTCTACCTTTTCACAATTTGTTCCTACGGAATATTGATTTCATTGACAATATTCGTTGCTCAAATTTAAATTGATTCCTCGAAATCTGAGTTTAATTCCTAATTCTCATTTTAAATAACCTTTTAACCGTATCTCAAATCTTCATATTATGACTTATGAGTTTAATACATATATATTTTTGTACATTTTTTACATTTCTCTTACCTTTTAAATATAGCTACTAAAATGCTTTTCTTAAATATTTTTGAAATTTTTTCTTTCACTAACATCCTATTGAAGGAACCACATGGCACATAACCGCCTCGTATTTAAGTTATCTTCTAGCTGTATTCCACATTTTCTCAATGTTAATTAAGTTAATCATAGACTCTACGCTAATTCTTCTAGTTCTTTTCTAGAAAAATCTTGATTTAATAGTTTTTAAAATACTTATTATATTCATAACTCATCAGAAATTTTTTTTCATGTATCAAACATTTTGAATATTTGGAACCTTTTTTTCTTGGACCTTAGCGAGTTTATACACTTCTAAATTGTTTCTAGTCTCTCATACAGGACTTAAATTATGCTTCTCTTATTGCAAAAATTTTTTTTTTATTTAGGTTTTGCCACTCCTCTGTCTTTTTATCATTTAGCGATATTTTAAATTGATTTTTTTTTTGATATTATTTCGTGTATCTTATAATTTTATTCTATTATTACGTATTCACATAACCTTATTTCACGGTTTACTAATTTTACTGTCATCAACAATAGTAACTGTCACATTTTAATAACAGTTGCTGCTCTATTCTAGAATTTGTTTATATCTTATTATAAAGTGTACATAACATATTTTATTAGTTTTTTCACAAATATATTTTTCAAAGTGGGATAATCAAACCTAATAAATCTGTATTCATTTTCTGACATCTTATACTTTTTGATATATTTTACACTAACAGCCATCTAATTTTAGTCGACTTTGACATCAGATTGAGATTACAGTAGAAATATTCTGATCCAGTTAATTACATCAATGACATCTTGTAAGATGTCATTTATCTGTTGTAAAGCTATTTATATAAATTAATTATGTCTTTTAAATAATACTTTTAAGATATTGTACTCCAGTTAAGCTAATTTTAATTAAATATTTCTCTTTTATAAATTACTATATTTACATAATATGATACTGAAGAATATGATAATTTTAGATTCTGATCGAAACGATTTTATTTATCTAGCTTAGGAATATATATGTAAAACAAGGTTATGATGAGAATTCAGAAAAAATGGTTATACAAAACTATTAATTATTAACATGAAATTGTATTGAAATTCTAATTAACAAGTTTTATTTTTATATATAGACGATGCGCTTTTGCTATTCCATATTTTCCATGTTGGTAAATTATAATTATAATAAAACCAACTAGAATTATAGTAAAATTTTATTTCAAATGCTTTGTTTTAAAAATAGTTATATTTCAATGTTTTTTTAATTTTATTTTTATAATTATGCAAAATTTAACTTTGGATGTGTATTTTAAAATATAATTTTTAATTACCTGTTCGTTTTTAAACACTATAGTTATTTATTATGTAAAATACATTATTAATATTTGCACAGTTGTACTATATATATTATTGTTTATTTAGAAACAGTATTGACTAATATTTATTTTAACGAATTTACAAATTCTATCTTTATTGTTACCAGATATTTGAATGATTGTAAACATTTTTTTTTTTATCCTAGACTAATTAGCGAACATAAATAACAAAAATAATATAACCTTTTATTTTAGGTACACAATATATTTTTATTTTTTTATTAAATATTTTTAATTGTAATTTTACGAGAGAGTAAAAATATACTATTGAATATCAAACATATTAATAAGTATACGAAATATTATTATCTAATGTTTAAGATTTTTAGTATTAATTATATTTTTTTGTTTTTTTAATAATACAAACATCCAAACACAAAATATAAAGAAAACACATTGAATCGGGGAAGTTGTCCTGCTGTATAGCAGAGTTCGAATGTAATTTGTCTTTAAGCAAGTCGCTGTAATAGACCTTTTAAATTTTATATTCAACTGTAAATCAATTTGCAAACCAAAAATTATTCTAAGTGGGGTTATTGTGTCTGCGGCATTATTTCTAAAGATATTTTAAAGTGTATTAATTTTACTATAAATAATTTATTTTTCTTATAGTATGTATATGGTTTTTTTAAATGAATTTTTATCAAAAATATTGCTTATATTATAATTATTCTAATACTATATTATGTCTATACCATATATTATTATTGTTGTTAACTTAAAAGTCAATACTAACGTAACATAGGACAGTGTGAATAGGTTTGCAGTAGCTTATAATTTGTAAATCGTAAATAATATTTTAAGAACTTTATTTTAATTATATAATCGATTCATGGTACTATGACATTGTGGAAAATAAATTTTATAATTTAATAGTTAATATACATGATTAAAAAAAAAAAAAAAAATTGAATAAAATTTTTAATTTTTATAAATAAGTTAATATAATACTCATAGTTATAAAATTATACAAAGTGTCTTAAAATTTGTCATTTGTATTAGATATAGGTATATATTTACGTGGACAAAATGTAATTTCAAAATTATGATTTTTTTTGTCCGTTTAAATATATATATAAATGTTGTTTCGCTAGAAAAATAACTTCACATTTTAAATAAATTTTACTTACCTACTTTTTAAAATTATTATTTGATTACTTTACTTAAATGTATTTAAATATAACAATTTTAATTATTCATGTATTGTTTTAAATATTATTAATTTTTCATCACAATCAATTTTGAGGACACTTTGCATAAGAGTTTTAACTTTATAATAATAATAAAGCAACAAGATAATCAACACTTTTAATAATGACAATAATATAATATATTATTATATATTATTTACAATATATTTCTTCACACATAAACATTTTGTACAATATTTCTCTATATGGTAGTATTTGCTGGCCTAATGACATAAAAGGAGCAAGCTCGTGTATCTATAGCTCGAGTGTTATAGAATACAAGAATTATGTCAATTTAATGAAAATAAACATGTGTTAAATAAATAATAAATACTAATATGCACGTGATATAATATATGGTATATGTTTAAAAAATATGTATAAAAAAGCTCATAGTACATTATTTTTCTAATCAGATGTGTGTTACCATTAAATTGTATCTATTTAAACAACTTTAATAATAAAAAAAAACAAATGCATAATTATAGGAAATTGTAGGAATTCTAAAATTTGAAAATAATTACTCAAAATAGAAATTTTTAAATTACATATATTATTGATTTTGTGATTCTATGTAGACGACAAAGTCATTAACCGATTTAATCATTTGGTCCCTATAATTTAAATGTTTATCTAATAAAAATTGTATAGAAACTTACTGTAATTACAATAAGGGAAAATACTGCAACTATATAATATATAATTATGACTTTGATAAGTTAACAATTGTTATTGCAAAAAAAACAAAAACAAATAATTGATGTTTAAAACACATTGGTGGGTTTCAAATAAATAATTCTTTATTTTTCTTAGATTTTACATGATCAGTATTAGTTTCAAAATGTCTTTATTTATATTAAATATTTACATGACATCATGTATTTAGATATATACCTATAACATATTATATATATCTTAACTTGCGGATGACATGCAAATATCTTATGACTGAATTTCTAATAAGTATGCATACACACATAGTTTATTATGTAGAGAAATTTTTATTTAATTATTATTTACTTTGTTCATAATTGTTTGATTAATTTTGCCATCATTAATTTAATAATTGAGGTTGTAACATTTTTATTTTGGGTTCTACAAAATATGTTTACTGAGCCTGAATTTTACATGCGTTATCAATAAATACATCTATTTATATTATGTGAACCAAAATAATTATAAATTCCTGGGTTCTACAAATTTCACCCTGGTAATTGAAAAAAAAATAAATACAGTTTACAACTCGATATAATATTGACGTCAGTCTTTAGTGCAGATTAATTTGTTTCTTTTTTTAAATTTAATTGGAAAAATTTCTTAGATGATTGACTCTTTGTTTCTTTCGTTATCATCACAACTACTATCTGCACTACTTCCAACGTCTTTACAAATCTGCATTTCAATTTCAGCTAATCTATGGTCCATATCCCATCGTTGTTGAGTAACTTTTTTGTTGAGGTATAAATTCTCTGTTTCTACTGCTATTAAACGTTCTTGAAGTCTATTGATTTCTGCTTCCAATGCGGACACCATCGTTGCATCTTTACTTGTATCTAATATTTAACATGTATTATGATTTTAATAAACGTGAAAAAATAATGTCAATGAAAAATAATAAAATCTATATTTACTTGAAGTTGTCGCTTGTGGTTTTTGAGCATCTTGAACATGATGATGGTGGTGATGGTGATGTTCTTGATCTAGAGAATATTTACTAGACAGAGGAGATTCTAAAGTAGCTGCAGCATTTGATCTAAATCATAATAATATTATTTTGTTTTATTGAGGAGATAAATTTGAAAAATATTTGCATGTTTTAACACTAATTGTAACTAACCTGAAACTTGGACTTGCGGTAGGACTGAATGAAGTCCTATTATTAATGTTACTATTAAATGTAGCCGCTGGCCTTAAAAGGCCTTCGCTAGATTGCAACCACATTTCATCTTCTACTTTAATTTGGCTTTCTACGATCCCGGGTGTTGACTTACATCGCCTTCCGACTAATCCTATACAAATAGAGTATAAATTTTATTACGAATAATTTATGTAGTTATAAACAGTTACACTTAATGTATTCAAACACTTTGTGATTTTCAACTCACCTTCTAATTTATCGTCTGGACTAGGATCAGTTTTGTACTTTTCCAGTCGTTTAGTAGCTATCGCTTCTAGTCTAATTCTGGCAGTAGGGTATTCCTTGAGCACATCCCACATATCTTTTTTTGATAAAACGAATAGATCACTATAGCCTACTGACCGGACTGAAGCAGTCCGCCTATTCCCTGTAAAACACGAAGGTGTTATTACACACATACAAATACATGTACGCACTAAACATATGAAAATATTTACCTGCTGTTCCCATATTAAGTATACTGATTTCTCCAAAATATGACCCTGCTCGAAGTACTGCTAAAACCGACTTACCATCGTCGGTGACCACTTGTAATTTCCCTCTACTGACTATATACATTTCTTTGCCAACTTCCCCTGAAATTAATTGTAATTTAATCAATCCAATGTCAAAAATAACACTTAAATATTTCAATTGATTGCAAATGTTGGTAAATACCTTTTCTACATATATAATCCCCTGGAGAAAACAACACGGGTCTTAATTTCAGCACCAGTTCACAAAGGAATCCTGCTTCCGTGTTTTGAAATATTTCTACCCTTTTCAGTGTATCCAAGTGTACATTTATAGCGATCTCAGCTTTTAGTTTATCTATAAAAACGATAATATTATATATTATCATTAATTTTATTAAATTAATATACTAAAATTTAATTATAAAAATAAAAAATTAAGGCATGACTATTGTATGTATAAGTTATTTTATTGAGATTATAATTACGATAGATTTAACGATAATAAATATTATCGTTTCCTCAAGCCGTTCCCTTTCTTATTATTAAAAGATTGTTTATAAGGTTACTCAATGTTGTATATTATAATATTAAAACAGTTTGTATATTGTATTCTAAAAGTTATAACAAAACGTGATGTTAATTTCTCACACCTTGTGAATTTTAATTAAAAACAAAACAATGTATTTAATAACTACCCGGTAAACAGCTAATGGCTTTTTCTTCGTCTGAACATTTTTGCGTTAACCAGAGGTAGTCAAACCATTTAATCACTTTGGTCTGCAAGTGATTCGGTACTCTTCTCATTCGCATGTAAGTTTTAACACCATCCAATTTTGCTAAAAAAACAACAATTTTTATCAGAATATATAATTGAAAAATAAAAATATGCTTTTACGATTATGCAAGTTATATTTAAATTTGTTTTTGACTGATTTATCTATTTAATAATATTATTATATTATCGTACACTTTACACAATGAGCTGATTTAGCTGCATTTTGATAATTATTACGACAAAATAAAGCTACCCTAGTCTAATATTAATAAAATGTAATATAGTAAAGTATACAAGAATATAATCAATAAACATAAGCGGAATGCATCAAGTAGGTAAAGACATATAATTGTTTGTAATTTTTGTTTACTTTAAGCACCATTAATGCAGGGATACGAGCATCATGCTTGACAACTAATTGGGTATTATATCATATGTCTAATATATGAATAGTTCATACACGAGACAAG